TGAAAGTCCAACAGCACTGGGCTATGAGCAAGCTGATCGGAGAAGAGATGGCCCTCATAGATGGCATCGATGCAGATCAGCAGATATGGATGAAAACCCTGACCAAGGTGCATGAGGAGCGGGTGAAGTTGGAGGAAGAGATCTTGGAGAAGAAGCAAGAGGAGGTCCTTCAAGGCTACACCGTCTCCAACCAGGAGGTCAGGAACAACTGGGAGGATTGGAAAGCCCCCATCGACAAGGAGTTATCTACCCTGCTGGAGAATGGTGCAATCTCTCCGATCACCAAGCAGCAGCGTGATGAACTAGTTCAACAACACGGCACCAGGATGGAGTGCATCCCTTCAAAGATCGTTGCTGTGGTGAAGGCAGGTGGGAAGAAAAAAGCGAGGTTGGTGGCCTGTGGAAACTATGCCACAACAGATCACATCACGGCTGAGGAGAAGACGGCCTCTGGAACTGACATCGTGGCCCTGAGGATGATGCTGAGAGTAGCAGCCCATCGAGGTTGGCAAGTCGGGTCGCTGGACGTCAAAGGAGCCTTTCTTCTGGCACCACGCAGAAAAAGAGATGTCACAGTTTTGAAGCCACCAGCCGTTCTACTCCAAAAAGGTGTTGTCAGTCAAGACACACTATGGTCTGTGAACAAAGCTGTCTACGGTCTTGTAGAAAGCCCAGCTGACTGGAGCGACTATAGAGACAAGGAGATTGCGGTAATGCAATGGAAACTCCATGACAAGATCTACGAGCTCCAGATGAGTGAGGAGACCAACATGTGGCTCATCAAAGAAGTTGGAGGAGATGGTAGTCCCTGTGGCTATCTTGCAACCTACGTGGACGACATGCTGATGGTGGGTCCGCAACCTCTACTTCAAGCTCTGATGACCACCATTGCCAACAAGTGGGAATGCTCCTCGCAAGAGTTTGCCGAATTTGGCAAGGATCTCCGGTTTTGTGGTATGGAGATTCGCAAAACTCCTCAAGGTTTTGACATCACCAGTCTTCCTACGTGATGGACCTCTTGGCCAGGTATGAAGTTGCCAAGACAGCCGACGTTCCCATGGGCAAGGTCGAAGACTTGGATGAGGATGAAGAGGAGAAGAAGGTAGACTTGGCTCAGTTGAGACAAGCACAGCAACTGGCCGGAGAACTCATATGGGTGTCAACTCGAACAAGGGTCGACATTGCCTTTGCGGTTGGTGCAATGAGTCGAAGGTTGCATCGTGACCCGACTGGAGCCCTGAGGATTGGAGAACAGATCCTGAGCTACTTGAGAAAGTTTCCAGGTCTTGGAATACAATACTCTCCTTGTGAGCCAACAGAGATGGATGAGAACCAGGTGCCAAGGATGATGGATACGATCGAGGTGTTCGCCGACGTGTCTTATGCTCCTGGAGGTGAAGCGTACAGATCCATCCAAGGAGTGCTCACAACGATGGGTGGTCAAATCATCCAGTGGCACACAGGCAGACAGAGCCTGATTGCAACCTCTACAGCCGAAGGAGAACTTTTGGCCTACCAAGAAGGTCAAATCATGGGCGCGAGTGTGGAGTCTTTGGCACAAGCTATGGCCCTGGACCCCGACGTGCTGATGTATGGCGACAACAAGGCCGCCATTTCCCTAGCTGTGTTGCAAACTGGGAGCTGGAGAACACGTCACCTGAGGGTGAGAGCCAGCAAACTGAGAGAAGTCCTGAAGAAGGGGAATGGAAAAGGAAGAGCCTGGCAAATCAGGCATATGGCTGGTACTCTGCTGGTAGCTGATGGTTTGACAAAAGCCCTGCAGAAGCAAGCCTTTGAGGACTTCCTCAAGAAGCTCAAGATGTCAGTGGCGGACCACCTCATGCTTAATAAGGTGAAAAGCGAGGACGTGCCCAAGGGCACCCCTGACAAGCTCCAGTGCAACCACCAGACAGAGATCTACTACAAAAGGATGATGGCAATTGCTTTGGCAGCCCTTGCATTTATTCTCACAGGAGAATTCCAAGTTGCGGCGGTGGTGCTGCTGGCGTTGAAGTGCTGCCAAAAGATCTATGCCGAGTTATGCAGAAGATCAAAAGCTCAGCTACCAGAGGAGGTGTCAACTTCAAAGAAGGAAGAAATGAAGAAGGTGACAGAGGAGATAGAGATGAGGCTGAAGGCGTTTCAGGTGAGGTCTGAGGCTGCTGAGGAGCTGCCCCCCAATGTGAGAGTTTTCACAAATGAAACGCCTAGAGGAGATGATCGCTGGTACCCAATCCAGCCTGGAGGATGGTTGATCCGAAAGCATGGAAAGCACCGCCAAAGATGCTTTCACCCATTGCACCGTTCGTGCCCTGTGGACTCCATCCGATTCGAACCAGTCAGGTTCACTGTGATCTTTTATGAAGAAGGAGGAAGATCAAAGAAAAAGGTGATCAAAGATGATTGGACAGGAACTCCTACGGTGATGAACTATGGGGAATGGAAGGGCTACACGGTCTTCAAACTCAAAGATCAACCTGAAGTTGCCCCCACACAGTTGGATCCTGAGGAGCCTGCCCGGTCACAGGAAGCATCTTGTGCTAGCGGTCACATAGCTTGCGGCAGAGAAGAGGAGTCTCTGACCAGCGGCAGTGTGATCAGCGGCGTGCGGGATCAAGCCCCTGCACTATCTACTGCGTTCCCTGAAACAGGTGGCTATGGAGCTCGAGATCCAAACCAACCACGTGCAAAAGCTAGAGGTCAAGTAGCTGCCAGTTCAGGCATTTCTCTTCGACCTCAACCTCAAGCAGTACAACAACAGCCTGGCGAACTGGAAGAAGTCATGAGGGGACTTCAACTCCTTGGTCGTCAATACCCAGGCTCTGGTGGAGAACAGCATTCCCCTGAAGTTCCGCGTTTTGGACAAGTTCAACGTGCTGCGAAACTTCCAGATGCTGCTCCGCTTCCAGGTGATGTTCAACTTCGAGGTGCTGGTCAAGATCTATGTTCTGGCCAAGTTCAAGGTGCAGAACGAGCTCTTCAAGCTGCGGCTCTGGCAGAGGATCCGATCTCTGACTTTGACGACAGTTTTGAGCTCATCACGGACGATGCTCCGCAACCACGTCCAGCACTGCGAGCGTTTAAGTTTTGTGGAGGTGGAGACAGTAACTCACCACCACCAACGGCTCGAGGAAGTCGAGACCCAGAGCCTTCCTTGGAGCTACAGCGAATGTCCAATGATGATGAGCTGATGGATGCTACAACGAGCAGCTCAAGTTCAAGTTCAAGTTCAGACGAACTCCTGCCGGAGTATATCGATCCACCAGAAGGCCAACGTGGCATCTGGGATGACTACAATCCATGGAACGGCCTACCACGAGGACATGACCCATGGGCTGAAAATCTGCCTTTGTACCCACCTCAGAGGTCGGTAGCAGGAGTACAAGCTGGACCTATAGAGATGTCAGCTGCCGGTGTGCAAGCTGGCCCTACAGGGAAGTCAGCTGCCTGTGTACAAGCTGGTCCGATGGAAATGTCGGACACTGGGGTGCAAGTGGGTTCTCCGAGGATAGCTATGTCAGTTGCATCTTCCTCGGATGCTCCTCCTACTGCGCCTGCCACAATGTCAACAGCTTCAAGCTGGATGCCAACAGACCCAAGGCCAAGAAAAGCACCCCCACCACCACAAAGTCCGTGGGTGCAGGCCACAATACAAGAGCTGAGACAGCTCAGAAGAGAAAATCAAATGCTTCAGGAGCTTTTGGAACCTGGAGTATTGAGGCAAGATGATATCGCCACAGCTGCACAGTTGATTGGGGCAGCTCAAGGATGGCGTCACCAACCAAAGTCGTCGCCGAACCCAAAGACGCAGCCGCTGTCAGTGTTGAGGAGGCCTGAGGGAGCTGTAGATGTAGATGCGACGTTGTCAGGGCCAGGTCAAATGCCCGGCAATTCAGCACCACCTGTGCTGGTAGATGCTCCAGCCTTGCCGCATCCGTTTTCAGCTTTTCCACCAGTCAGGCAAAAGGCTCCACCAGTGACACTGCAGCAGAACCAAAACCAACCAGTACGACCTAGACCACCCCCAAAAGCTGTTTTTCTCAACGCTGTTGGTGCTCCAATGGTCCCAAACACGGTTATGCCAAAAGCTGCAAAGCCAAAACCGCCAGTGCCACCAAAGTGTGCAGCGGACTGGCTTGGAGGAGCTCTTTTTCAATAGGCCTTGAGCTACGCAGTTTTTCCTTTTTCCTGGGAAAACCCAGGCAGGGGGAGTGTCAGTGCACAAATCAAGGAGTGTACTGGAACATGTGCATAGGCATGGGTGCCCCTGCGCAAGGATGACACATCAAATCGACCGCCTGACATAGGCCTTTTGTGTGCTCAAAACAAGGGTTTGCCCGCTACCGCCTGCAGCAGCTCCGCTGACAGAAACAAATGATTGGGTAGAAGATGGGCAGAACTGTTCTAGTGATTCTAGTGCCTGGGGAAATGTTTAAAGATGTTGCATGGCCAGAGGTAGCTGGAGGGGAACTGAATAGGCTGGACCACTGCTTGGCCATGCTTGGAATCCAGTTGTAGATGACTCAAGCACTTGGGGATGATATTGACCAGGCTGCTGAACTAGCTACTAACTGGGATGTTCATCTCAAGTACCTGGGTCAATGTTATGTTACTATTTTTGATATGTAATAAATCTGCTCAAACACAAAGTCTGGGCCACAATGGGCCATATTTATCCATATTTACTATTGCTTTGAATCCTTTCTAGTGGGCCAGGGGCCCCATGGCCTAGTTACTAGATGCACATCCAAATGGGGCATAGGATGGACATCCATTTGTTACTCACTGCAGTGATAGTCACCAGGATCAGCCAAGGCTTGTAAGGCAACTCGATCATGAACCATGTCCGGTGGAAGTTACACATTAAACAGGGGCTTGTTGTTGGGAGATTGCTGCACTTTGCATGTCAGTTTGTGGAATCCTAGACATTTAACTATTCAAAGCATGGTCCATTAGCAGATCGGACATTTGATGACATTTCCAATGGCCCTTTGCCCAAGGCATTGATCATTGTGGGCATGCGCAGCGAAGCGCAAAAGTTATTGGACGCCTTCAGTTGGGGCGAGGCCAGGCCAATTAGGTCTGTTTGCAAATAAAGTACCCCATTCCACCCACTGGTTACTATCATCATTTCGCCTGTCAACCCAGTCAACCCTGCACTTTTGAGAGGACATTCTGTTCTTAGTGAAGCTGCCTATTCACCCCCAACCTCTTGAAGGGATCGCTTTTTCACCTTGGAGCTCGCTTTTTCAGTCGCCAGGAGTTTCTGCGTCTCAACGAGGAGGCTTTCACGGTCTACTCTCAAGCGAAGAATGCCAGAGATTTGCGCCACCTGACTGCCACGGGATGCTGATCCCAGAAATTGTTGCTTAAACCATCTTAAACCCCTGAATGGTCCCAAATATGTGGAGATCTTCTATTGAACCATAGTTTCTGGGAGATGTTTTATATTGGGATGGGATGAAAATTGCGAGGACGATTATCCACTTGCGGATGGAATTTGCGGTAGATTATCGCTAACATCTGGTGCTGGGACAAGTCCAGGAATGGGGAGCGGAAGTTGCCAAGTAGAATATCTAAGCTCACAATACATTTCTATTGCCAAGTAGTTCAAATATTATCCAGAACTATTTATCCAGAAATAGTTGCCAAATACATGTCTATTGCAGGTTTTCATTTAAGCTTGTAGCTGCACAACTTGTCAGCGGCAGATTCCAGAAGAATATCCCACGTTGAGGCAGTTTTTTTTTTTAACCATGGGTTCAGGTTGCATGTGACTTCGCGGAGTGTATTTTAGGGAAAAGATTTGCCCGCAACCCAGGCATACCCCGGCTGATCAACATGGACTAGCTACATATTACACATATACCAATAGTTGCATTTGCAACTGCAACTGTGGTGATTTATATATGTACACAAAAAGGTAATCATACATCCATCTCTCCTCCTTGTACGCATGTCAATAGCGCGCCTAGAAATACGCTTAGCACATGAAAAACACACAAGAATAACATGAAGCAAGAGGTAAACAAACGGCAATCTTTACCCACAGATAGATGCTTGGCGATTCACCCCAGTTGGCAAGTAGGTTCTAACCCAAGTTATAAGCAGGGTGAATGAGGTTCGTCCAACACCAATGGCGTGAACTCATCTACCAAGTGGGGTGACCTTACATCAGCCAAGGCTAAGACAGATCTATGGATTTTTAAATGATACTGACCTTGATATACCTTGATATAAACCCACATCCTTGAAATCCCATGAAATCAACTTTTACATCATTTATCCCATTCAAAATGCCCTGAAATCCCAATTTATACGATTGAAAATCCTGATCCAAGCATTGGTTTATATTGGATCCCCAAGAAGATCCCCATGATTATTGTCATTTTTACTTGTTTATACTTTTTTTCGAGCTAGTGAATTCCTAATAAATAGAATAGCCCAATCATATCGTTATCGCCATGTTTGGTGCTGAAACCCACAGGAAAATCACCATCTGTCTGGGCTAATTAATTCGACCTCACTGATCTCCCTCACTGGAATCATGCTTAGTGGCAAGAAAAACCTTAACTAACCCCTGGTGGCCGAACTTTTCAGGTTAGTAAACTATGAGACTTCACCCAGATATGGAAATATGGTGATCCAAACATGGGGATCATCTCCTTGTTGGGTTAGTTTTCTCTCCAAGTTGATCCAAGGATCAGTTCTCCCCATATAGGATATTGTTATTATCCCATATTATCCTTTTTTTTTGATGATATTCCCGTATTATGATGAAACTGATATGGCTCAAAATTGCCTAGCCCAAGAATTGGAGTGTTCACATTGAAAGACTTAAATCTGTGGTCCCTCAGATCTTTAATTTGACTCATCCATATATTTATGGTATTAGATCAGATCCCATCCATTTTTTGGTCCCCCAGATCCATATCATTAGGATATCAATTTGCTTATTATGATCCCCATTTGTTCATGATAGTCACATATTATGATGAACCTAGATATTTTTATTCCCCAATGTTATTATATTATATATTGATGACATTCCCACATGTTTTTTAAGAGTTATATTATCATATCTATATATCAATATCCATCTATGATTTATTTTAAAATCCCATATTATCCCTTTGTTGTTGATGATATTCCCACACCATATTCCTATATTATGATGAATAACATATTAGATATCATTATTATCATCTATGATCTATATGAAATTATGATCTATTATTATTCCCATATTATACCATATTATTCCAATTTTCTGATGATATTCTCGTATTACATTCCCCGTTACAATATAGAGAATACTATTTGATGATAACACCATGGATGATCAATGAGAATCTATTATAATGATAATCAATGAGACTATATTAGAATATTCTCCATTAAATGGGTATATCATCTCTATTTGACCTTATGGATAATCCCTCTGGTTATTTAACATAATAGCCATGGAAAGATCCACCATTTTATAGCTAGGTAAACCATCTATAAATGGGTCATCTACACCATGGCTGATAATCTTAGGATGATTTATAGAGATGATTTGACCTTATTAAATGGAGAATCTATTGGGATAATCTCTATAATGGTCATATTTCATGACCATTATCATCCATTATCCATGGTTTCCCACCATACATCATATATATTTTAATATGTATTATAATATAGAGATTATATATATATGTATATATTATATTATAACATATTTCATGACCATTATCATAATATTTACCCAAGAATATAGAGATTATCTATATTATAACACCATAAGGTACTATGATATAGAATATAGAGATTATCTATATAATAACAGTAATATAGAGATTATATATATGATAACACCATAGGGTACTATAATATAATATTGAATATAGAGATTATCTATATAATATCCTGTTGTACTATAATATATTACCCTCTGGTAATTTAACATAGCTATTGAAAACTGCCATTTATAGTGAGTTTTCCCATTAAAAATTGTGATTTTCCATAGCTACGTTAAATTACCAGAGGGTATAATATAACACCATGCCATATTATAATCCCCCCTATCAACGAGGTCAGGCCGAAGCGCAGCTGCTGGAGAGGTGGCGCCGCGAGGCCCAAGAGCGCCGCAGTGAGGAGGTGGATCTTCCACCAGAGGCGCCGTTGGAAAACGGGTGAAGAACTGGGGAAATGTGGGGAAAACAGGGGAAAAACTTGGAAAATCCAGGGGAAACTACGGAAAAAACTGAGGAAAACCGTGGGAAAACACTGAAACAAATGGAGGAGAACTGAGGCTTGGAAAGCAATTTGGAAGAGATTGGAAAAACCGGGAAAAGACACACACACACTTGTAACAGGTGAGTGTCGAAAATCAGAGTGCGTAAAGTGAGAGTATGAAAATTCAATTCAACTGGGGCAAGTAAACCTACTTAATCTCAGTATATAGACCGTTTTTGTATGACACGATCTAATTTAAGTCTAAGTTTAAGGTGGGATACTTTGACGATTTCAAACCATAATTCCATAATTCCTGCAGCCCGCATGAGCACTCGTGCTGAAATATATGTGGACAGTCTCAGCTCGTTGCTCAATGCGAGACATGGATGAACATGGAATGCTCAAGGAGCTTTGTCCATATCATCCCATATCAAATTAGTCTTGGTAGCGTATCCCATGATATGTTTATATTGCTTAGTGTTATGATGTTTTACCACCGTTTTTTGTTGCTTAAATACTCCATGTGTTTAAACCTCCCTTTTTGATGCCAGTTCACCACTTCTTGAGCCAGGAGGAGGAGGAGGATGAGGAGGAAGAAGAGAGTGATGGCGGAGTAGCAGATCCCGAAGTCTCTGACGCCGCCAATGTCCCTCACCTGGTGCAGTGATGTGGCAATGATGTGACGATGGTATACCGGTATGCCGTAAGATGTGTGTGGGTAAAAACACAAAATGAAGCACCAGGAAGCACCATGAAGCGCCAATGTGCCCACAAAAGTGGTCCTTTTTGGTATTGAAGAATCCTTGTTAAGGTTGTCAATTACCGATTGTCTCAAAGTTTGGAGTTTGGAACTCCAAGCCCCAATGTTTTACACAGTCACTGGCCATAAAATGGAGCATCCGATCCACCATGTTTTAGTCAAACCCAACTTGGATATAAAATTATCATACGTTATGGTTATACGTGGTTATATACATCAATATACTGTATTCCCATTTATATTTTATGTCCCCATGTTCTGTTTTTCGTTAATCATGTTGACCCGTGCCCAATTTGAACAGCAAGCCGTACCAAGGTTGAAGACGCGCCTGCCGAGCCAGTCAGCCAGGCACCTGCGAAGCCGGAACCCAAATTTGTCACTTGGACTTTGATAAATGCGGATGTTGATAAAACAAAGCTTCTGATTTTTAATAATTATTGATAATATATACTAAATACTAGTGTTAATTATAAATAATTATTGACCATATTAGTTAATTAATTAATACTATTGAACTTTTATAATATGGCAATCCCAATAGTAAAGCATCCTCAAAGGTCATCACGACCGTTCAATGGTAGGTTTATTATCGGATTGCCCATATTATTTTGAGGACGGCTATTTTTGGGGGGAATGATTTTTTCTGTTTTGGGCAGTCTTTTCCGTTTTATGTTTCTTTGCTTCTTTGCTTTTCTGCTTCTCTGCTTTTTGTTTTTCTGCTTTTCCCTGCTTCTCTGTTTCTTTGCTTCTTCGCTTCTCTGCTTCTCTGCTTCTCCACTGTTCTGCTTCTTTGCTTTTTGGCTTTCTTTGCTTCTTTGCTTCTTCGCTTCTTGAACCTGAACCAACCCTAAAACCAAGCCTAAATAAACCCTAAAACAACCGTAAACCAATCCTAAATGAACCCTAGTCGCAAAACACCATGCACATCCATGCACCATAAAAAGTTTGAGGATGCAAATGTTGCAAATACAATGGAACATGAGAGGTTCGAACTCCAGAATGTTGCAAATACAGTTGACATGGCAGCTTCCAGCTTCCAAATAGGGAAAATAGCAAGGATAATTCGCAGAAAAACAGATCAAGAAAATACTCCAGAACGGAAAAACAATAATTCCCAAAACAATTCCGGACCCTTATTTTGATTAGATGTGCCCTGTATACGTCCAGAACCTATTCAGCATAGGACTGGCTCCGTCTTTTGCGAAAGACCTAAATGTGAATCTTAAGGCGTAGTTTGCGGAAAGTGCTGCAGCGGAAGCTTAGGATGTGCATAGAAAATTCATTCGGCCATTGCGAGATGATTAATGATTATGCAATGAAGAAAATAGGAAAAATGGTGCCACACCTTCTGAGGGAGAAATCATGGACAAACCGTGGAAAGACCAATTGAAATCGTGGAAAGACCTTCGCGGCTGTGGACCGGGGCTTGCAAAAACTTGAACATGGGCATGTCACAGGAAAATGAAGTGCCTTGGAATTAACGAGGGGTTCGAATTGAATTGCCATCCCAAAGTCCCTAAATAATATGTCTTCAATTTCCCAAATAGGAAAAGAGCTATCCTGAATGCAACATTTGGCTCTGTATGATTCAGTATGATGTATTATCATGTATTGTGGATGCTTGTGATTCATTATCGTTTATGATTAGTTTGTGAAAATTAGATCATGACAACGATACATATACTGTAACCCATCACGAGATGATTCCCGGCTTCAAAATGGAGGATGTACCCTGAGCCAAGGCGCCTGCCCCGCGCGTTGCCCCAGCCGCGGCCGTGCGGGTTGAAACGCTGCAGTCTCAAGCGGCAGGGGAACCGAAGGGCGAAGCAAAGGACACGAAGCCGCGGAGTGAAGTGCGAAACTTGACTCAGGAAACCTTGGTGTACCAAGCAAATGATACGGGTTCCATGCGCTGTAAACGTTTCGTTCAACCCATTGTGTGATATTATATAGTTTCCGATTTGATTCTTGGGAAGCCATGGTTTCTTGGGGAGCTAAGGAGCCTGGATGAAGATACGTTTGTTGCAGTTTTTCTTGGCCGAAAAAACAGCGAGGCGGCAATTTGCTCCCCTGTAACTTCCATGATTTTCGCCGTTTCCAAGGACCGCAGGCAGATGAGATCCATGATGCGGAGGTGGAGGTTGACGAGGCTCAACTGACCACGTTCTTCAATGCGAATGGGTACCAAATTGGCCTATAGAATTGGTCATTATATTTGACCATCCAGTTTTTTGGGGTAGTGATGACTCATACCCAGTTTAAAAGTTTGGTCCAAAGGTTTTGCAGCTGATAGGGGGTCTTTGGAAATGGATTCTAGGGTCCTTGGTGATTTAGTTCTTCCTCTGATTGTGTGATAAATGTTTTCCATTAGCTATTTCTTTATCTATCTTATCTATCAAGGTAGGTGGTCTTGGTATATACTAGTGAAAATGATCCCAAAGGAAAGATCGTCTTGGGTTAGTGTCCCTTGGATGTTTCAATATATTGTTATAATTCTTATCCGCCATTCGGCAATCATGCCAAGACGGGGATTGATAATTAGTGTCTCCATCCATTTACCCTTCTATTCGTGGAAGTGCCAGTCAGAACAAACGATCACCATTCGATCGTAGTTCAAATAGTTTTTTTTTTTTGGTTGGGTACTTTGGTAAAATATAAAATATATTATATATATATATGTATATCAATATATGCAGCCGATAGGGGGTCTTTGGAATTTGATTCTAGGGTCCTTGGTGATTTAGTTCTACCTCTGATTGTGTGATATATGTTTTCCATTATTTATTTCTTTAACTATTTGATCTTATCTATTAAGGTAGGTGGTCTTGGTATATACTGGTGAAAATGATCCCAAAGGAAAGATCGTCTTGGGTTAGTGTCCCTTGGATGTTTCAATATATTGTTAATTCTTATCCGCCATTCAGTAATCATGCCAAGACGGGGATTGATAATTATTGTCTCCATCCATTTACCCTTCTATTCGTGGAAGTGCCAGTCAGAACAAACGATCACCATTCGATCGTAGTTCAAATAGTTTTTTTTTTGGGGTTGGGTACTTCGATAAAATATAGAATATATTATATCTATGTTCTGCATTTGATCTGGGTTCTCTGCAAATGGATTCTCGGGTCTTTCCAAATTTTTAATATATGATAATGGCATTGAATTGTATTTTAGGTACCTTATTATTTTCCCTATGAGGTAACCAATTGGTTGATTAAATTGGTATCATCTTACCATTGGTTATTTAATGTATCTATTTTTTTTACCATGCTCATAGAAATTTCTATGTGCATTATTATGTTCACTCTTAGGCAACCACTTGGTTGGCTAAATTGATATCATCCCAGTATCGGTTACGGTTATTGTATTATATTATATTCCTTGGATTAATTGGGGTCCATTACCATTTCTGAAGGGTACCCCAAAAAAAATGCTGGATCAAAATGGAAAAGGTATCAACCACGCTCTTGTTTTTTCTAGGGTGGTGCCCCCATATACCTTTGGTATAAAGCCACCAATGTTATCCCTGATTGTCATTATTTTTTTTTCAAGTACTAAATTTCCCCCATTATTTCTACGTCTACATCATATATCCTTTAAATGCAATGTCCAGCAGCTAATTTGCCGAAGTCAGGGCGCAGAAATCAACACCCTGAGTTAGGGAAAAAAAAATGCCGATATCGTAGGGGCTTGGTGGGGTATTGCCTAAGTAAGGTCGCAAAAATCTGCACCTAGACTTAGGCAATACAGAGGTTGTACCCTGGGATTTAGGGAAAAAAACAAAATTGCCGATCTCAGGGTGCAGAAATTAGCATGTGGACTTAGGAAAAAGCCCTACTATTATATTCTACCATGATTTTTGCCGCAAAGGATTCGGGGTCCTTGATTTTGAGATTTAGGAAAAAAAATTGCCGATCTTTTGGCTTGGAGGACCCCGTATCCATCGCATCCACACATCCGTCGCATAACATTTTTTTTATATTTTATCGAAGTACCCAACCCAAAAAAAACCTATGTGAACTACGATCGAATGGTGATCGTTTGTCCTGACTGGCACTTCCACAAATAGAAGGGTAAATGGATGGAGAGACTAATTATCAACCCCCATCTAGGCATGACTACCGAAACAAGGATAAGAATTAACAATATTGAAACATCCAAGGGACACTAACCCAAGACGATCTTTCCGTTGGGATCATTTTCGCTAGTATATACCAAGGCCACCTACCTTGATAGATAAGATAGATAAAGAAATAAATAATGGAAAACATATATCCCACAATCAGAGGTAGAACTAAATCACCACGGACCATAGAATCAAATTCCAAAGACCCCCTATCGGCTGCATATATTGAGATATATATATAGATAGATAGATAGATAGATAATATATGTTCATATTTTATCGAAGTACCCAACCCAAAAAAAACCTATGTGAACTACGATCGAATGGTGATCGTTTGTCCTGACTGGCACTTCCACAAATAGAAGGGTAAATGGATGGAGAGACTAATTATCAATCCCCATCTTGGCATGATTACCGAATGGCGGATAAGAATTAACAATATATTGAGACATCCAGGGGACACTAACCCAAGACGATCTTTCCTTTGGGATCATTTTCATTAGTATATACCAAGGCCACCTTCCTTGATAGATAAGATAGATAAAGAAATAAATAATGGAAAACATATATCACACAATCAGGGGTAGAACTAAATCACCAAGGACCCTAGAATCCATTTCCAAAGACCCCCTATCGGCTGCATATATTGATATACATATATATATAGATAATATATTTTATATTTTACCAAAGTACCCAACCAAAAAAAAAAACTATTTGAACTACGATCGAATGGTGATCGTTTGTTCTGACTGGCACTTCCACGAATAGAAGGGTAAATGGATGGAGACACTAATTATCAATCCCCGTCTTGGCATGATTGCCGAATGGCGGATAAGAATTATAACAATATATTGAAACATCCAAGGGACACTAACCCAAGACGATCTTTCCTTTGGGATCATTTTCACTAGTATATACCAAGACCACCTACCTTGATAGATAAGATAGATAAAGAAATAGCTAATGGAAAACATTTATCACACAATCAGAGGAAGAACTAAATCACCAAGGACCCTAGAATCCATTTCCAAAGACCCCCTATCAGCTGCAAAACCTTTCCATAGGGAGCGCCATATTAAGATTACATATTTCAAGATGTTGCCAACAAAAACTATGAAACACGCATTGAAACATCATGAAACATCAATGTTCATGCTCATCAGTTTTCGTGACCAGGACATGCCAGGGCCATGTTCAACTGACAGTCGCAGGTGCCAATGCTGCGTGCAGATGCACCTCCCGCCGACCAGAAGGCGTCGCAGTTGTATTTGCATATGCATGTTATATCATGTTATATTATTTGATATGGTATCAGATAATATAGCGTAATATATTAAAATGGAACATAGAAATAGAATCTAACAATCCAATATTTAATCTAGCCTACTGTACAATTACATTACTATTTGCATGTATATTATAGACATTTTAAAAATAGATGAACACACCCTTCATTAGTTCAGCATGTGAAACTACCCCTTGGAACAAGACATTGTTCTTACTGTAAGTTGGGGTGATTTTCCACGGCCCATGGCCATATCACATTGCCACAAGGATGATTGGATCTGGTTTCGGTTTGTTTTCTGTATGTTTCCTATGGGTATGGATCAAGGTTGAACACCGATCGGACCACGGTTGTTGGGATAGTTTCGGTAAACCATCTATATTCATCTATAATATTCAAACCATTGAACATCTATATTCATCTATATTCTATTGAGGACGTTTAATATCATAGAGCCATTGCTTGGGGGTCCAAGTTTGGTTCCCTTCTTCTGCACCTTCAGGCCACACTGCAGACGCTGCAAGACATTGCCAGCAGCGAATTTTTGAAGGACATGGGATTGGTTTCTCTGGTTGCAAGACCTTGATTTTCGCTGGTACCATTTTCTTTCAAAGCTTCTCATAGTCACTTGACTCATAGTTTTTTTTGGGGATACCAGTTTGTATAGGAAAGTTGACTTAATCTTTGGATCATGTGTAATGCATTTTGTACTTCAGTCGGTCCAAAAGGTGTTCTTCAATCAGAGCCCACAGTTTCAACTTGGGGAAGGGTGTGGCTGATAGGCATCCTAGATTGGAGGAGTGAGTTGCCCATTGCACTCATTGGAAAGGGGGTTGTGGGCTGATTGTGACTCATATTCCCATCTTCCCATCATCCGACCTTTCAAGTTTAGTTCTTGTAGGCCCAGGACGGCCCAGGTACAGGTAGCATCATGCTCAAAGATGTCAATGTTCATTGGAAAACCTTGCAGCTATGCCCCTAAAATAATCAACAGTTATCCACAGCTGCAATTTTCGCACCAACATGTTGCTGATATCCCCTAAACCATCAAATTTCATGGGAAGAATGTATAAACATGTAGCAGATATGCCTTAAACGTCAAGAAACATCCAAGTGATCCAAGTTCATACAGTAATTATATGTAATTATCATGGGAAAAACATTTCATATGCCCAACAAATCATCAAAAATCATCCAACTTTGCCATGGAAAAACCATCGTGGATTTTGGAGGCAGATGTGCCTCCACAAATCCATGGGCTGCTTGGGGGTTACCAAGGCTGGCCTCAGTGGGTTGCTTGGCAAATATGTTATTTGATGGCATGACTTGCTTCAGCAGCTACCTTCCAATCATTTCCAGCTGTACGGGAAGTCTTCATTTCCATGTCTGAAACAACCGATGCTAAAAAACAGCAGGGATCGCTTCACCGAGGAACAAGCTTTCAAAGATGAAGCGAAGCGAATACGAGGCCGCCCGGGCGCTTTCCAGGGCGGATGCTGCTTTCCGTATCCATTCCGCAGATGTTTCCCATGTTGACCATTTGATGTTTGAGCATCTGAAGCTTCAACACAAAAGCTAGACAGAAGGTGCTGGAAGCGATTTGCTATTGCAGAAACCATCAGAATCTATGAGGATCCAGCCTCTCCAATCATTCCCAATGGGTCCGTCTCAAAATAAACACTACCTCCTCACAAGATGATGAGCTGTCCTGTCCCCGATCTGAGGTGTGCATCAAGTGTATTAGTTCATCACACGGTAAGTTTCCTCAATGATGGCCATCAATGTGGCTTTACGCCCAGAGTTCGATCGCCAGATTACACACATTAACACTACCCTCTGGTAATTTAACATAGCTATTGAGCATGGCCATTTATAGTGTATTTTCCCATAAAACATGGTGATTTTCCATAGCTATGTTAAATTACCAGAGGGTAGCAACAACTCAAAGAGTGTCCGTTGGCAGCGGCTTCTTTACGTATAGCAGGAGCTTTGGAAGCGCTTTGTGGCTGCAGAAGGATTGGAGGCGCACAGCTGAAAGTCTCGCGCTTGGCACTTCATGAATTGTAGTCCCTTCCTCCAATATTAAATACACCTCCAAACAAAACGCTGATTTGGTATGATTACTGATTTAGTATCAATTAAACTATAGCTTATTATTAATCACTATTTATTCATTGAGAAACCAAAACCAGCCTGAGCAGAAAATGAGTTTCGAACAAAAGGGCAGTTCGGAGATGTTTCGGAGACATGTTGCAGGCAAAGAACAATTATATAACCATATTTGATAGGTGAAAACCCCATGGGATTAGCCATGGGATTAGCAAGTTTGCCAACGCCAAGTTTGGCCAGGTGGAGCCCGCAACACGTTCCAAGCTCTTGACGCCCAAGAGCAGCTCCACAGGCTCCACAGGCTCCGGAAAGCGAAGGAAATGAGGCGCTAATTGGGGTGACCAGATGCTGGTCATCAGTCCATTCATGTGGTAAGGTTAATGAGTTAATGATGGTTATTATTACTGGTTGGTGGTTGGGAACATGTTTTTAAACCGTATATATATATATATATATTGGAAAAATCATCCCAACTGACGAACTCATATTTTTCAGAGGGGTTGAAACCACCCACCAGTTTTTATTAGTTATTAGTAATGGTTAGTAAATGTCAATAATTAATTGGTAATGATGGGATAACAATGGTTGATCAGTTAATCATGTGCTATAGTTGTTGTTGATGGAATGCACCAATGTTATGGGTGAATTCTCAAATGGTAGGTTTATGGCAATTGGGTTTCCCACATTATAATTGTTTGATTAAACCATTTGAGTGTGGCTGGCTGAGTTGCTTATATTAACATAGATTAACCAGTTGGGACATTCTGAGTTTTCTGGTTGGGTCAAGCATTTGAGACAGTCTGAGACATGGTTTTTCTATGTTTTCCTTAGGATTCTGAATCCTCAAAATCATAGTCCAAGGTTCTGGATTCATCATTCATCGTCGTTTCGCGTTTTTTTTAGTCCATATTTCAAGTCAGGAAACCAATGCACCGTGCGTGTGTGTGTGTGTGCGCGCCTGGGTCTCCAGCGTTGTCGCTGGGTGCGAAGTATTTCTGGGATGATGCTGTACTCACAGGTGACCGGGGCTAGTTTCAACATATTTTTCCTGTTAGATGACATCATCCCAGATGTTTGAATTGGGCGATGGGTCCTTTCACGGGGTGAAACGAGGGGCCAATTGGCACATGGGTTCAACATTGGCTCCAACATGAAATCAACATGGCACAGCTTGAGTTTCAATTCGTTGGTGACATTGGTGATTTCAACCGATCATGAAACATTTTGTTCAAGGAATTATGATCACTTGCCCTCCAGTAAATTGACATCTTGTTATAGTGTTACCGTAGATAGAAAGCACCTGATTTCCAAAGAACATGTGTATAGATGTGAATTTTCCACAGTGTCAATGCAGGAATTGTTCATATCCTTGGTTTGTAAATAGTTATGTTATGCCAATTCTACATAATTCTACTAGTGGGATAGTAGGATTTTATCAGATTATCACTATGTTGGGGACTCCTCGATCCTTCATCGACCACGTTTATGAAAATCCAGGGTTAGAGATGAGAATTTACAATTTATTGATTTTGTTCCAAGGGAATCCATTGGTTTTTCACATTGAGATCCATATCCACATTCATGAAGTTTGCACATACCGTTACCTGCAACTTGCACAGGTCGCGCAGGACAAAAACGAAAAAATGTCCCAATGGCCAGCCGATGGTTTGCTTGCCCGGATGGTCATATGCAGTGATGGGCCCCGTTACCATCAATAGACAGGGACAAACAAATACACATACCCACAACTCCAATGACCCTTAAGCCATAGTGTTTGTAGTTATTTTGGAGGTTTTGACCACCCATAGATGAAGGATTAACCAACCAAAAGAGATGACATTTGGGTTCCGGATATTATATGCCCAAATCACAAAGTTTACCTACAAGTTGAATGGACTTATCAATTCAGCTCTTTTCAACTTGGTAAATGGGTGTATTTATCAGCCAATAGGGGTTGTTTCCCCCAGTTACATGTGGGGTCAAAAACCGAGATATTGATTGTAAGGGTCATCACTATAGAGTGATTTGATCATTTAGTACTATCATCAAAGCTGCCTGAGATGTTTGTTCAAACAAGAATCACCTGAATAGGGTGGGTGGGCAGTACACTTTCAGAAAATGTGAATGTGGAAGGTCCAATGGCACAACGGTCTTTCTTTCCACAAGAAGAGGGCTACAATACTATAAAATAATCATAACAATCCTTCCCCCGAGTAAGAAAACTAGCCCAAGATAGGTCCCCGAAAAGTACAGATCCATTGGATTGCTTTAAGGGACAACATTTACCCGGAAAAGCCATGGTTTCCTCTAGATTTTGCCATAGATTCAACAATTACCAAATCAGGATTTCTGCAGCAAGCCCTGCACCAAGCTGAGGAGATGCACAAGCCATGTACCAACTGTTGCGTCGGGCCAGCCGCGAGCGTCATGTCACTTGACAAATTGGCGGGTGTTTGGGTGTTGCATTTGAGTGAGCTGGCCCTAGTAGAAGTTGGTGATTGATGGATTGAGAAGTCGGGAGGTTTGAGTCTTTTTTTTGGAGGAATAGACCCAGCATATTCCATTGAGTATACGGCTGCAACTCCTGCTGTTTTTTTGTTTTTGCGTGACGTGGAATTTAGCAGACGTGGAAGTCCATAGCATGTTATACATGTTGCTCGTAGCTGGCTGGTGGTTTCATGTGGTTTCAGAAATGTGTTACTTCGTTTCCATCTTCACCTGGGATGATTCTGATGCCGATTTGCTTGTTGAACCTCGTGGTTGGTGGCTCAAGCCGCGCCGCGCTCAGCAGACCCGCAGCCTTCCAGGCTCCCGACCGGAGGTCATGTTGCGCAATGCGTTGGCGCCAGGGCCAAGCTGCCGGTGCCGGGACGAAGCTCAGCACACAGAGTTTATCCTCAAAAGTGTGGCCAGAATCAATCAGACGATGTATGAGGACCAGATGGTGGTGCCAGAGTGGCCCAGCGAACTTGAGGAATTCATGTGAATCGCGAGCTGTCATGACAATAAAACGGTGAAAGAATCGAAAATACTGTAAATCATTTGAAGTGACCAGTGAGCATTTGTTGCTTATTCTGGTCATTTGATATATTGCATGTTTGATCATGTTTCATCATCAGCCTACCCTGATCTCATCCAAGGTGGTCCGCTGTGGTGACGCATGAAGAACCAGACATTGGATTCAAGAGTGCTATGTTCGAGACCCGTCACCGCACGACGGGCCACACAATCAAGATTCTGGCCATACGTGGAATTTGGGACTTCAAGGATAATGTTTTGGGCTGTTAGTTTGTTCAGTGTCAGTGCCACCACACAATTTTCTCACATCTTCTTCCTGGTGTTGGGCTTTTTGTTTCATCCTGCATTTCTCCAATGGTGCAGAGAGTCTTGCAGAGAGCATCTGAGGAACCGTCATGGACTGGAACAGTGCCAGCTTCATCCCTAACATCCGTGATGACTTCAAGCTGCTCTGGGGCCAAGAGCCGGAAGCTGCCCAGATGTTTCCTCGCTTGATTCGCCCAGATCCGCTCTTTCGCCCTGAAGCAGAGAGGATGGCCCTAGCAACCACCCACAGTCTGGGCCGCAGTACTGACTACATGTCATTCATGGCTGCAGCAACAGAGCGAGCCTTGGCACGGCAGGAGGTACAGAGAGGCCACGAACCTATGGAGTTTTACATTACTGGCCATTCCCTTGGCGCCTCAGCCGTCAGCATTGGTGCCTTGAGATTTGTTTTGAACACTCATGGGCCAATCAATGGCGGCAATTGCGTCATTGTGAATTTTGAGAGTCCTGGCATCCCAGATGCCATTTGGCAGGACGTGGTTGCCAGAGCTGATGTCGAGCTGGTGCAGTGCTTGCGACATCAGACCATGGAATTCTTTGGGGCACCAAATCCCATCAACACCCTGCACCAACAGAAACTGGGAACCTGCCAGATTCGCCTCAAAGTACCTCACAATTTGGGCAATCTGGCATCAGTCGGCATGTGTGCATTGGCCAGTATCGGACGAGGAGTCACCATTGCGTCTGGAGTTTCTTGGACCTGCCTTTTGATCGAAATACATCCAACTCTCGAGAGTAGTGATTCCAGACACTGTACATGTCCAAGTTGGTGCTGTCCATTTTAATTCCATCTACCACCAGCTCCAAGAACTAAAATCTTCAAACCAGTGCGAACCATTCCATTATTCACCGGGTCAATATGAGGGAGCATTCACCATGAAATCCGACGTTTTCAGATCTCAGATGGATTTCCTGTTAAACACGATTTGCCAAATACATCGCAAAGCATCCTGAATCATTCTCAAATATCCTAAAACCATATAACAACTGATTCAGTAAAAATTCTCAAGGGTATCGTAAAACCATCTAACAGATTCAGTGATACCAGTGATACATTACAAACACATGCGCGCTCCATTTGCCAGCGAGGTTGCGCTGGCAAGTGCTGCCAGCGCGGCTGCTGCAGGGGTAGCCTTGGCGAGCGAAGAGGTCGGGCTGCTGGGTGCCGGAGCGACCTTTGCTGCACTGGATCGCTTGGTTGGCACCTGGGACGCCAAAGATGGTAGATCCCTGAGAGAAATGGTGGTTTCATGTGGTTTCATGTGGTTTTAGATGTTTTTTAATGGGTAATTAGTAATTACTAAGTCCCCAGATGTGGGGATCATCATCTATCAATACACATCAATACACTATATTTCCTAAATTTCCTAACATTGATGGGAATTTGCTGGCAGTCCGATGGCACAATCATTTAAAAGCACAAGATATGCATCGGGATACCCCAGAAGAATCCGTGTTGGATCGCTTGGGAGCTATGAGGATAGCATTTGCTAAGACTTTCCCAACCACGTGACAGCGTAATTATTAGTTAAGAATCTTCGGTAACGGTTACAACGGGAAAATCAGCTTGATATTGATAGTGCGATAAATAGCTCTGGTGGATCTTCCAGTGCCGTAAATTGATGTAAATTGGTGACACCATGTGACACCGAAAATCCACATGCAATGGTTTGGCATCCCGATTTGGGCCCATACCCATGGTGTCAAAACCTGGTGAGCAACGCCAAAGATAAAAAAAATATGAACAGATTTGACATTGAATATAATTCACTGCGACTATGTTGGTATTTTCTGTCATTTCTCCTTTTTGGGTTTTTGCATGTTTTTTTTGCCTTTGGACCTGCCCGCAAATCGGGCAAGATATTGATTCCTAAGTTGGTCATGACACGTTGAGTTTCACAAGGATGGAACACAAATGTGCACCCATGTCTAGCTTAAGGTAATTTAAGCTACTGTCTGGCCATTGGGTACAGCAGCGTTTACCAGATGATTTACTGTACCTCTGAATTTCCGGATTTGAAATTGTCATGTTCGGTTCACCCGAGGGTACCACTTGAGAATGGCAACACCAAGGAACCATCAATTTCGGCCGCTGGGTTCTGGCGCAGCACTCCATCTCCAACTGCCAAGACACGCTATGCAAGGCCCTTGAGAACCCTGAGCACTACGAACACATCATCGTATGGCCGCAGTTTTGTGTTATGAAGCTTTGTGGATCGACTTTGTCGAGATTGAAACCCTTTGATCCCTGCAATTTTGGGTTGCACAACCGGGATCCAAACGTGGCTGGTCGATACATTCCAGTTGTTTGATTTACATTAAAACAAATCCCTTTTTGGTGCCCATTTGGGGGAGCCAATCCCAATGAGATGTTGACATTGTTGAGGGCCCAGGTGGCTCAGCCAGGTGGTATGGGAAAATCGATTGAAGCATCGACTTGGCTACAAGGGTGAGGCCCTACCTCATCCTCTCAGAGATTTGTGCAGCGATGCACCTTCGATCCACCACTGAGGGTGCGCGCTGTGATTTGTGATTTGATAGGGCGCCCGTATTTCTTGGCGTTGGGCGTTTGAAATTTACTGAACGTGTATATGCATGGATGATTTTATTATATGATAGTAGGTGGCACTGCTTTCTACAATGCGCATGATAAGGTAATAGCAGTTAATAGCATGTAATTTAGTAACTACAGGGTTATTTATGGTTGACATTGGTTGACAGCATTCCCTACGCATGATGGGCCATTCGCCAGAAGTTTTTGCTGTCTGTTGTTTCTGGGCTCGACTTGCGCCAAGCGAAGACTTGGGCCAAGAAGATGAGGAGTCCTTGGTGGAAGACCTTTTCATAGATGAGATGCCTCAATATACTTCAACCATTTGATGATGTTGTTTGGCGCTGATATAAGCTGATCTTCAGCCGAAATATACCCAGCAAACCACCTCCAAATGGAACAGGTTGATGATGTTGATTATTTTTAATGAGTTTGATTATTTTCCCGTGCGGCCGTAGTACGCCATAGGTGTTGTTTATATATGGTTATAAGTTATATAGGTCACTTTTTGTTCACCACATCGTTTTGTATTGATAAACAGAGAAATGCTGGGGATCATTAGCCCGGAGCCGCAGAGGCCGCAGAGAGCTGCTGAAGAGAAAAACAAGGGGACGATAAGCCACAGAAAATATATGGTCTTCTGCTATTGTTGAACCATGTAGTAGCCAGAGGGAAATGGGGATTGAACCGATCCAGCATATGATATATATATATATATTACTATCACTATTTGTATTATTATCATTATTATTATTATTATTTTTTCTTATTATTATTATTACTGTTATTATTATTATTCTGAAATATGAGGCGGCAAATTGCTGGACATAAAAAATGGCAATTGGAGTTATCAACTTCCCCATATTGCTGCCACTTGTGATCCAATATCTTCCACCCGGGGTTGGGGGGGAACTTGGCCAGCTGGGATAAAAAAAGAATGGGTCAAAAGCTATGAACTCCCATATTTTGTTGGGTTATTTCATGGTTATAACATCCATTCTGAACATCCATTGACCAGCTGCTGGAAGATTAGCCACCAAGGTTGCCTCCACCTCCGCCAACGAACGATCCAGCAGATCTCATGCTGTGGCTCGGCGATGAGCGGCATGGATTTCGTATACGGTGAAGATAGGATGGGGAAAGCTATGGGGAAAGCTGGGGATCTGGAATTTAATGATTTCTAAGGTGTTATGACAGTAGCATACAGTAACTTTGATTACTGCAATTTGTTTTCTGCTTATGGATGTTTATGGGACTTATGGTATACCTAAGGAACTATAGAGGTGATATTTTTTTTGCCACCCTCAGCAGCGCCCTCAGCGGCCCCAGGTGATTCAATTGGCGTTGGTGGGAAAATGCACCGTTCCAGGTTGGGATTTCTTGTTCTGCCAGATGTTTGATCCGAAAAGGAGGCTCAAACTTGTAGACTGCCTTTTGTGCCGATATGTTTGTTCATGGGGATCATTCGTTTCCACATATGGTTTGCTCTTTTCATCTCTTTTCCGTGCTTTTTTGGTTCATCGTGCAGCTCCCAAATGGGCCCCACATGGTCAGTTTTTTCAGCGAGATCATCTGCGAGATTTCCCCCAGTCACCAGGCATGCAGCGAGAGGTGCCCGGGTCCATAGACACGACGACTGTGTTTTCACATCCCGGCAGTTCACTGTGACCATTGCGGGATTGGTAGGTGGGCTGGGTTCAAGGTGACCATAAGTGATCCCACTTAAGTGACCTCAAAGTAAGGGATTATAAAAATGGCCTGGACATGATTTGTTTTCCTTTCCTACAATGTGAGGCCCCCAAGATATCTAAGTTGGTTTATAAATCCAATAACTATGGTTTATGGTACTTATAACTATAGTTACTGGGGCTTATAAACCAACTTATAACTGGGGGGCCTCACATTGTATGTTTTGCTCCCATGATTAGTTGGATTGGAAATTGGATGAATACATATGAATACAGGGTAGCAGGCGGCCGTTCGGAACAGACAACGAGCCATTGCCCGGCTTGGAACGAGGTCCGGTTTGTTGTCTTTCGTCGATCTCGCTGGATCCGAACGCTGGCAGCCCAGAGACGGTCTAACCGTGCTTGATAGATATGCAGTGTGGAAATTACGTGAAATTACATCTTGCTAAATATAATTCAAATTTCACAAGCATGTTCGTTTGAAAATGGATATAAACTTCATAAATTTCTGCAGATCAATGATTTTGTTTTATTTTATATGATTTTAGTTTCTTTTGCGAAGGATTGTGGTATAAATTTCCATCATTTTCCGGAATCCCTCCATCTTCGGAACTCGTGTTTCCGAGGATTGGCGCAGACCAGCGCAACAGGTGAAAGGCTCAAGGAGGCCCAACACATCAACAGGCGGGTCCCATTGTTTGCAGGTTATCATATTATCTTACAATTATCATATAATATGATCACACAGAAGAAATTCTATATTACAAATATCATGTATGCCAAAGGTATAAAAAGAAAAACATGGTCAATTACTTAATTTGTCATACAATCAATATCATAGGATGATCATATCCTCTGTCAGCAGCTTCAATGGTATAAACTTCGACTACGACACATGGCCTTGAGCCTTGGCTGGCTGCAGGTCTTTATGTGCGCTTGGGGATGTGATCGAGGCCTCATCCCGTCTGAGATACCAGCTTTGGCTCAGACGTTTCGTGGCTTTTTTTTGGTTTCCAAAGGGGGAGCACTGTGAGATGGTAAGATGATGTAATGATGTAATGAAAATTGTAATTCATATGTGTACTAGACGCTCCAGGTACCCATTAAACATTACTGTAGGATTTTAACATATTTTAACCCATTATTTCAGTATATTTCAGCAACACCAATATTAGACTCAATTTGTATGTCCATACATGTCCATACACTTTTTGTGATTTGCTTGAAGATATGTATCGCCACTCCGCAGATTCCCATTCAGGATTGAGCTGGAGCTGGGCCCGCCCTAATATCAAAAGGGCCGTCTTTGGCCGAAGAATCCGGAACCATTTGAGGGTCGAAAACGTCACGGGTATAATCTTGTAGTTGTTTTCCTTCGTTTCAATGACAACTGATAGCTATGTTGCGAAGGATTTTCTCAACATGCCTAATGCGTATTCATTTATCATGACATTGTGGGTGACACATGGTGACACTAAGGTTGCGTCCCCATTTTCAGCACCCGTCCCCGGTACGAATCGTGTGGCCCCCACAGGCCATTTGCCGGAAGGGTGCTTTGCGTGGCCCTGCTGCTACTGCGGTGCACGTGCCGTCTCTTGGCTGGCAACAGAAGGAGGACAGCCGACCCAGCATGAATTGATGTGGAGATATGTGGAGTCCAATCATGTCCAACCAACAAAATTTTCCAAAATTGATTCAAACCTTCTATGACTCATGACATTGTATAATCCGTTTTAACATGTTTTAACCGTACAACCTAGAATAGGAAGTCAAGAGAAGTCAAGCAACAGACAAAGGATTTAACTTGCTATCACGTGATATCACCCACAAGCATCGGGATGTGACGGACAACGGTGCTGGGGGTGAAGTTGGTTAAGTCCAAAACTGGGTGTCGGATTTGTTGTATGAACTCCTAGCCCCACACTTGATGATGTGCTACCTCTTGAAACACCTCGTGAAACACCCTGGGTGGGCAACTGCAAAAATTGGGGTTCCATTTTTGAGCCATACCTATCCGTGTGGCCCCCTAGCTCAGTTGGAAGTTGGTTTTCAGTTCTAGATATATCCATCAGAGGTCATCAGAGACCCTACTTTGACCCTATTTTATTGGAGTCATAAACCAACTTAACCCTATCATAAATCAATATAAATTAAGCCTATTGAATCATCATAATCAATCAAGATTCTTGCTGCTTGGAATGGGGGCAAAACTGAGTTCACCCCATACCCCATGGAAAGTCGGGAGTCGCTGAGGTTTCGCAATTCGCGCTTGACGATGCTGTTGCGCGACTCGCTGGGTGGCGACTCCAAAACCCTGATGTGGCGGAGACCCAGTGGTGTAAGGTGAGAGGATTTTGTTAGACTTTTGGCCGTAACATATCGTAAAATTGCATTGTTTTCTATAGAAATATTTGCTTATATGGGATGTTGCTATAACATGATGAGCTTTCCCGTGCTTTCTTTCAATCAACTTGGAGCAGCGCTTTGTGAAGAGTTTGATTTGGGATGTGTAGGCGCCATGTCAAACAAGCAGCCCCATGATGTTCTGCTAGTGTCTATGTAACATGGCTTCAAGTGACTCAATCTCGAAACAATCAAATTCTTTCAAATTTAGATTGTGGAAAATTGCCAAACTTAGCATATTTGTGTGCCAATTGGCATACGTGTACTTGCTTCTTTGAATCATTTGTTTGCGCTAGCTTTTTCTCAAATAAACTGACGTATTTAAGCGCCCCAAAAAAGGGTCTTTTCTATTGCAAGAGTCTGGATGGATGTCCCAAACAAAATCTCAACGCATAGAAACTGGGACCCGACCAATGGATGGCACCCAGTGACTGCCCCTTGGCAAAACTTGGTGATCCACAGATTCCATGGCAGGTTTGCGAATGTTTCCCCGCTGCAGGAGTGTCTTTTTGAGAGCCCGCTGGATGGGGCAACGGGACGAAGTAGTTTTCTATGAATGCTGCACAACTGATCACAGAATATCACAGATGGTACCTCTGGTATCCTCACAGTATCTCATACTTGTAGCATCTTGTCGCAGTGGTTTCAGCTGCTAAAAAGACCACACATTCGCATCATTCGCAACCAACCATCATCAATATTCTTCAAATTAGATTCATGAGCATCCACCTTACAAGCATTCTTCAGCACGTGTGAGCATCCACAACAGCAGATCTTTAAAACGAAATGTCCTTTCATTTCCCCATCTTGGGTGGCGAAACGTGCAGTTTCTTTCATCATGTTTGATATATTTCTCCACCACAGGAACACCTTGGCGAGACTTTGTCGACCCTGCGCTTCGCATCAAAGGTACGCTTAGTGATCGACTGCGGTGTGTGGGTCGTACAGTTGTCCTCCAGGTAGCGGATGCAACTCAAAAATGGGCCGAAATTTGGACGGATAAATTAAGAATTGCTGAATGCTTGCCAATAAAACAATCATGGGGATATGATTCTATGATCTTCTAAAGTGATCGGATTGATAGATTCTACGAGGTACCCTTTCAAGTACGTTAATTAGTTCTCTTGCCATTTACTCGTTCATATTTCTCCATCTTTTCAGGGAGCACCAGAATCAATTACCACAAGCCAACTCGTCTGTCCGGTTCCATCATGTTCCATTGAGGCACCTCTGTTCACCACGGGTCTCCGAAGAATGACCATGGCCAGGTCCACGCCTGCTGCATTGGCCTTGCCAAGCGTCACGTTGTGGAGGTGGGAGCGATGAATGTGGCAGCGATGACACCCGGAAAAGAGTCCCTACAAGTAGCCTGGCAATTCACAAACGATATATAGATATTGGAAGTGATATATATATATATATATATACACTGTATAAAGAAGTTGGGTATATTCATGCAATGGAAATGACTATCTATATAAAGTAAGATATGCTGAGATCCTGATTTGATTCTATGGCAGTTTTCGGGTACCATCATCTCATCTCATGTTTGCTCTTGGTTGACGGCCAGCCTGGGAAGTTTCTCGTGCGCCAGGGGCAGGAGGAAGCTCGCTGAGAGGATGAAAGAGTCTGACATGGGAATTTCACCAAGAAAAGTTGAAAACTGATATTGATATATATATACAGATGATATACATATAAATATATCAGATTGGGATATTCATGGTCATTTGACCGGCCAAAGTTGGAACTTAATATGATTTAGTGTAATCATAGTCAATGGGGATAATATGGGGGTATTGCATGGTATAACCGACAATTGTATAGTAATATTATTTGGGATTGTTTGATGATGGGGCCTTGGGGAACATGATGATAAACTACGGTTTTTGTGGGCACCCTATTTTCATAGAAAGCCATGTGTTGCATCAGAAATACCCTCTGGTAATTTAACATAGCTATGGAAAACCACAATTTTTTGATGGGTAAATCAACTATAAATGGCAGTTTTCAATAGCTATGTTAGTTTACCAGAGGGTACCACCTAAACTACGACAGGGACAGGGACAGCAAATGAAACACATTAGCACTTGAGAACAATCAAGAATTGATTTCACATGGCGGCACCTTCAAGGATTTTGAATTACCAGTGGTGCATTTGGTGATAGGAGGTGATTTGTTGCGAAAGATTCCTTCAGGATTTGCTTATGTTGCTGTGCGGTGGTATCACTGCCTCTCACCCCATTGGGGTCGTAGTTTTTTGTGACAGTTCGACAGCTCACTTCATGGGGCTGCCGGGCTTGAAATTCAAGTGCAACTGATGATGTTGGACGTCAAAGCTGGGGGCCCTCGACAGGTTTCTTCCCCACTTGGCCGACTCTGACATCCAGCTAATTTGTTTTCACGACTTTGTAGGGGTGACTCCTTCAACTTATTTTGACTCTTGACTCAATGGATCCAGCAGCCAATGCGATCTCAAGACTTTAAAAACTTTAGTCGATTTAGTCAATTCCCAGCCTTTGATGTGTGATTTCATGTGATTTCAACATATTTCAACGTTCAAAAACCGGTTTGGCTCGTTGAATCAGGCACCCCAAATTCGCAGTGCCTCGTTTTTCTGCTGCTTCTGTGGGCTCGGGCTCGGGCTCGGGCTCGCGCAGGTCGTCGGAGCGGAAAATCCACCGAAGTCGTCGGAGCGGGGCGTTGAACGCTGAAGGGAAACAGTCCAAACATGTCCAAACCGCCAAGCGGCAGTGGATAATGAGATACAAGTTGCAAAAACTATTCATAGAATATATACATTATATATATATATATAATCATATACATAACATATATATATATATATATTTACTGTATATAATATGTAATTATATCTACTAACATATGTGCCACATCACTAGAAACTATCAATAACTATCGGTGAGAGTGCTTATGTCATTGTGTGTGTGTGCTGCAACTTTGCAAAGCATAATGTTGCAGATTTGAACAGTGTGGTTGGGATGGCTGGGGCACACGGTGTGCCAATGAGATGTCCATGCGCTTCTCTCAGAGTGACATGTGCATCCAAATTGAGTGCTTCCTAGCTTCAACCCCTCTTTAGATGTTGTTGGTAAAAAGGCACACATCCACACATGGGTAATTGGAACCTCAGATTGCAGCAACGTACACGCCTACACTAGCGAGAGTATGAACATTTGGGTACAGAAGGACGGGTAATGATTCTAATGATAGATGCGTTGACAAGAGACGAAGTAGCAAGTACATGCAAGTACCAGTGACACCTGAATCATGTGAAGAATAGGACAGGATGATTGAAACCCACTGTATCTACCATCAATTCCATGCTTCTGTGCCTGTGTTGAACGACCATTAATGGTCTCGGATTCCCTGAGCGCCAAACCAAAGGTGTTGGCCCTTGGTGTGCTGATTTCCGCCATGGTGATGGCATTTCGGTGGCTACGCCATGGGAAGGTCTGTGGATGTGTAAAACGTTGGAAGAAAAAAACATAACGGAAAAGTGGTTCCATGTGGTTCCTAAGGGTGGTTTTGCATTGCTTTCCCAAGTTGGATGTTGTTTGGGTGGCTTTGTAGGTCTTTTCCTCTTTTTAAACCTTCTAGTTTCAGCAGACTTTTGCGTAATCGGCCACGCGGATGCGAGCATGCTGTAGGCTGGTGGAAGAACTTAAACCTTCACCCCAAATTGTTCATCCAGGCTATAGACTTCCAAGCCTTTACTGCACAAATCCAAAAACATGTCATACTTGCTGAAGGCAACCCAACACCTAACGACTGGAAATCCTTCCGTGAAACGCAACTTTGACCCCCAACAGCCAGCGAAGACCCTCTTCCCACGCTGCGCCGCCCCTGGAGGCCAGCTTGACCACCCAGTGTGCTGCCAGCGACATCATGGCAAAGCTGAAAACGATGGACCGTCGGAAACGATGACTGGCCCGGCCAGCCCACCCGTTTTTGTTGACTGTTGCAGCACCCATGCAAAGTCAATAGACTCAATAGACTCTGCAGTGCTGATTTTTGTAGAGATTGTGGAGGAAATATGTGAATTAGCTGATTAGCTATACTGGTTGTTGTTTGGCCCTTCCGAACAGTTATTCATATGACTGTTAACTGTGAGTTTCTATGACTGTTGGCGCTTTGTTGTTTGCTTGGAATTAGAGAGGACGTGGCAGTTGTAAGATGCTTTCACTAAATATGATTAAATATGTACATATATATATATATTTATTTATTTAGCCGGCATGCCCAATTTGTCAATCGCAACTTCAAGTCCCGGATTTGGTTTCAGGGAAAACTTGCAGGAAACTCGCAAATATGTGGATGTTAAAACATGTTAATACCATGGTATCCTGAGGATTTCCCCGGGTTTCTCTTAAGCCAATGCATTGATCAAGGCATAAAACCCCTAGCATGGTCCCCCAGGACACATGTGCTTTGTGCGATGCCAGCGACAAGAAAGCTCGCGTGATTACCACGGTCCGCCCGTTGAAGCCAGGTGGACCGTTTCTGCCACCCGTTTCTCAGGGGAAGATGACAAGGGATTCAAATTGCTTGATATCCATTACTGGAAGTCAAGGGCAAAATACATATAATCATATATATATAATATACATATATATATATAATCTAATTTATGTGTGTGTGTGTTTTCTCAACTTGTCTTAAAACTACCAGTACGATATTAATATTTTGTTGGTTTTTGGCTATCTTTTGGCGCCGGGTTGGCACCTTTGGTGACCGGTTGGTGAGGGTTGCTTCCCGATGCCACTGGAAAATCAGTTGATGTCATGACAGCAAAATTCCATTCAGTTCTTTCTCCTCTCAGGATATGGGGGTTTCCATAGTCATGGGGGTGCCCCAAAAGCTGGATGGTTTATGGAAAATCCCAATCTTTTAAAGGGATGAGAACTGGGGGTACCCCCATTTTAGGACACCACCATATATATATATATAAATATAATTATATATATATATATATATATCAAGATCCAATTTTCACCATGAGAATCTGGTTACCGACAGGTTACCGCATGGTGGGCGTGGCGCGGACCGTTGCGGTGGACGGTGACTTCTTGGGAGTTCTGACCTCGCTGCGCGAGTCTGGGCCCGGAGAGATCATCATGATCGACGCTGGCATGCGAGGGGAACCAGGCCCCATTCGCGGGGTGGTTCGTTGGGCTGAGGCCGGCTGAGGCCGACCTGGTGTGATTCACATCATGGTTGATGGGATGGCTGGATGAATTACAGTTAGAAGTTAGAAGTGATTTGTATGCTGATGAAGGGTAATTATTGGGGAAATTAGATGAACTTTGGATGAAATATTGAATATTTGTTTTTATGTATGCTGTATCCTTACCGTGTACAGTATGTTTCCCCATGTTGGAAGGATTTGAGCGTTATGGATCGCTAAGATTCCTGCGAATTCTTCACTATCAGACATGTCCAGACATCTCAAATTTATGATGGATATCAAGCTAGCATCCAATATGCCAATATGTTCACGTTGTTATTTGTGAAATTGCCGCTTTAAATTACTAAACTTTGGCTCATACTGGATCTTCGATTAGCATTGCTTCCCCTGCTCACATGGATTTGTGTCCTGATGGACGAGTCTTTACGCTCTTTTGCCGGGAAGATACGCTCAAAATTTGGCTTCAAAACACACCAAGTAAAAAAAACATGCCAAGAGTGATGCAATATGATGCAATTGTGACCATGTGGGTTCAAAAAGGACAAATACGTCAAATGAGCCATTTTTTCTAAGTGTTTTTCTTGAGGATGCAGGTACTGCACTACGACCTTCCGCTATTGTTTAAACATCAACATATCGTTCCGCGGAGCATATTCCCCCAAGAGTCACCCCACAGGCTGCCTGGCCATCGTCTCTCCAGTTTTCAATGGTACTTAAGTACCGCACATTTTCATACATGTTCATACATTTTCCCTTCAGCCAATCCTGAACCATCACAAGTTGCTTTATAATAATTTATAACTGCCATGATTTTGCATTATTTCGCATCCTCAAGTCTGGATTTGCTTAATCACCTTTCACAAAACTAAGTTGCCAAGCATTGCTGGTCGATTCATGACATATTCCCGTGGTTTGTGTTGGAGGTATCCGATACAATCCCTACCGGGTGGTTTACCCCAACTGTAAGTAGCTTCATGTGGTTCAATAACATGACAATTCACCAGAAACAATACCATAAGCAATATAGGTTATCAAATGGTTGTCAATATTATCAATCATATACAGATTATATATGATTACATAGTATTACGTATATATATACATATATATATAGCTATATATTATATAACCTATAGTTACATAACCCAGCTGCCCCAGCTGCTTCAGCACCTTGCTAGGTGACGCCCATTGGCCCCGTGCGGGCGGCCTCTTCGGGGAGCTGTTGGCCAGCGAGGCCTGGCGCCGAGGCCTCGGAGGCCTGGTGATCGACGGCAACTGCCGGGACACGCCCTTGCTGCGGCAGACGCGTGGCGCCATGGGGTGAGACTCGTGGATGGTGGACTAAGTGACGAATTAAGCACTTGAGATGGATGGGCTGATGTAAGAAGATAGAAGATGTCGGGATAGTAAATTACATCTGATCATTCGAAAATCACTATGAAGGGACAATCCTGGAAAGCGGGTGATTGGGTGGTTGGTATTTGGCTGAGACGAATCATGTCTTAGTAGTTTAGCCAAAAGAAGCTTGGAAGAGAAACTTCCGAGTTTACGGGAAATTGACAATGATGGTTTGAAGAGGGTATAGGTACTGTAATTGAAAGAGTAGAGTAGAAGGCGAAGAGAGATTTGAAGTGAAGACTTCAGAAGTGAAGAGAGCACTGTAGAGAAGTGAAGAGAATAGAGAACTGAAGAGAGCAGAGAAGTGAACAGAGCAGAGAGTAGAGAGTAGAGAAACGGTTGCTTGTGTTTCTGAAACGGATATCCATGCGAGCTGTGTTTTTGAAATATCCGACAAATAGTGCAGTAAACCCACCAGATTCTTTCAGGATGTCGCTTCCCATCTACCATCGCGGTCAGCATCCCAACGCCGGAACCGCCGGACAGCCAAGCCGTGTGCATTCCAGTCTTCAATTTGGAGCTTTTGCATCGATAACGCCTATTTTTGGGACAATTTCTTCATTTAGCCATCAAAATCAAATGCCATCCATTAGGTTCATATGCGACTAAAGATATACTAAAATGCTGCACTCTGCGGCATGAGGCAGTCAAGCACAACTCTACAGACCAATTTTCCATAATTTTCCTTATAGAGAAGCATTGTAACCCATAAATCACCATTAAATCACCATTAAATCACCATTCAGCCCACGGCCTGCGAGGCCAAAAAACCAGGAAGGTCGCAGGTGGAAATTCAGATGGGCTCGGCGACTTGGTGAAGTTTTTGATGATTTCGGGGTCTGAAAATGGCCCCGTACAACGGTAGTTTGCATGTATCTTAATGAATTTAATGAGGAAAATGAAGGAACATGATCATGAACGTAGACGTAGTACGAACCATTTTTTTTTGTGGGTGCATTTCACGCAGACCCATGTTGGGCTTTCGCCTGATGAAGTCATTGAATTTTTACAGATGTAGGCTGATGTTCAGATGTTCATTGAGGGGCCGAATCAGGATGCACGTTTCTGTTTTTTTTGTTGGTTGGAAGGCATGCTAAGGATCACCGCACCTTCTACTGAGTTGGCATAGGGCCTGTATATTGCATGCACACACAAAGTTACATTTGATCTATATGTGTAATGTTGTATAATGCTGTATACTTTTCTAAGATAGTCAGATAATGTCTGATATAAATTGATATTTTCTATGATCTAAGAGAATCATTGATCATCCAAGGTCACCGTGAAGCCTGGTGACTTTGTCTTGGGCGACGACGACGGGGTGGTTGTGCTACTTGGATCGGGTGTAGATATGGGTAGATCATGACAAAACGGGTCCAAATTTCAACTGATTGACCCTCTATTCTTATTACAAGAACATCATTGGCTCCCACTCCCAGAATGGTTTGGTATGGGAATAGGATACCCTTTTTATCCAGGTGAAGATACGGTTTTGTTACAGTACCCTGGAATCGTCGCAGTGACCAATGTTTATTTGATCACAAGATTATGCGATGATGAACCACAGACTTTCGAAGCCAGACTTTCGAAGCGACCATAGCTTGGCGCGTGGACAACTTCCAAGTTCTGCAAGAATTGACCTTTTTTCAAATGATCACTTTGCATTGGTTACTTTTTACTGATGTTATACCGGTTGTACAGCTTCCCCCCCGGCCGGGACCGGGGAGGCGCTTTGCGCCCCAAGGTGTTCCCCAGAGGAGCTGGAGATGTGGCTCCCAAAAGCCTTGGAGACACAGAGCCTGGGATTGGCAGGTTGTTCCACCTGGCTTTGAGCGGCGACAATGCATCAGCCCAAATGAATGAACTGCTACAAGGAGAATGAAAAGGTAAAGGTAAAGGAGAAAGGCAGTAATGAACAATAAACCGGGCTGAGATGTGCTTTGTTAGCTTGGGGGGAGGGGCTTTTATTTGGGGTGAGGACACCACACATGGGAGGTACCCTTTGTGAGTTTCCAAGACCAGCATTTTGTATGCAAAACATATCAAGAAGCAATAAGAGATTGATCTTTTCAGGCATTTTTTTTGGGGGGGGAGGAAGCGAAACGAACCATGTGAGAGATCGGGGATAAGAGGCGCAGCAAATATGACTTGCATAGTAGCAAAGGAATGAGATAGGGAAGGGTCAGTTAGTAAGCTTGAAAGTTGCAGCCCTAATGAAAAGTAAAAGGGAGTACTACGAAATTAGTACCACCAAAAATCTAGGGGTCGGAGAGCGGATTTACTAATTGGGGGGCAACGCACCATTATTGTGTGGTGGGCACCCTTGAGGCAAACCAAGAGGGGTGTTTTTTTTTCATCCCAACATATCCCAACTATACATTGGACATTCTTACAGTACATTTTATATAGTCATGTTATGTCATGTTATTATATATAAGTAATTACGTAATATCACAGTCTTATGATACATTTTTGAACACTGCGTTCAAAAATGTTCAAAACAATGTGTTTAGAGTTTAGAGGTTGCATCTTAAATTGGCAGCTGGACTGCTCCCAACATTAGATAAGTGGGCATTCCTGCAGGTCTTGGGGGCTGATCAGGCGAGAAACACCATGCTTCTTCATTAAATAACAAGCATAAGTGGATCATTGTTTACTTCGATGATCCAGCATATTTACATATAATTATTCAATATTATTCACATGAATCAAACCTCCCAGGTAGTCGCCCAGTTCCCCAGGAGAGTGGAGGAAAACATTCTGGCCCACATCCAGTCGGGCGGCAGCCTTTTTGAAAAGCTGAAAAACCTGGAGGAGACGTGCGCCATCCACTAAGGGATTGGACCAATTGGGCCGATGTTGCTATGGTCAACCGGGGGGTAAGGATATTATGTAAATGTCTGGAGGTAGAATGGACCCCAAGTTATCATTGATCTCCAACTTACTGGCCATTTCAAATGGGGAGACCTATTGTGTTAGGGCACCCCAATGCTCAGAAACACCCATATCTTCAAAGCCTTTGGCTGCTCATGAAAAGAACAAACCATTAACTACGACTTCCCGAGGGCGGCATTTCCGTGCGGCTATCGACCATGAGCCGAACGTGGAAAAAGACCAATCCATTAACGATTGACATGAGTCGAAGGACTTTTGTAAATGATCAATGGTTTGGTTTCATCTTGTTGCTCTTACAAGTGAGTAGATTGTCCATTTCAATCATGCTGCATTGAACACTGCACATCAATTTTGGTGTAATACCAATCTAGCATGCATGTGTGCCCAAGTGCATCTATGCAACATATTTGTGTGCAATCTTTACCTTCCATTTCCAAGACATCAAATCTTAATTCCACAGCTCCCGGGCACCAGGAGCATTTGGAGGATCTGCGGCAGGGCAAGCCATCGTCGTTGAAGTTCCGCTCACCTGAGGAGTGATGGATCCCAATCCGCTTGCTTTAAAAAGGTGCGAATGGAGATGAAGCCGGGATAGCTACTCATTCCAAGTGTCATCGTATGTCATAGTAATATGGTTCAAGTTGTGGAAGAAATCACCAGCCAGCTTGGCATTGCAAGTTATTGGAGTTGGACCAGTGTAAGCACCAGTTGTGAGACGGATGGTTCCCCATCCTATCTTACTGCATGTTTGGCTCCAGGTGGATTTCTTCGCGGGCAGATTTTGTTAGCACAGCTCGCGCCATGTCTCAGCGCAGGTCCCTGGCCCTGGGCGCCCTTGCCGGCCTTGGTGCCTTTGGTGCCACCAGCTTCGTCCAGTCAGCCGTCCCAGAGGTGCCCCGCCTGCCGCGCGCAGCTGGCGCCACCGGCCCCAGCTCCAGCAGCTTCGGTGCTGCCCTGGGCGCGTTGGGTTTGGCCTCGGCAGTGGCGCTCCCCGCGCGTCCGCGCCGCCTGGTTTACCGGGCAGCGGAGCCCAGCCAACCGGCACCAGGGCGGGAGCCGGAGATTGATCCCAGGCGGTCGGATCCACCAGGGACTGTGCCACCGGTGCGAATGCCCATGGTGGACACTGGCAGTGGGGAGAAGATTGATGTCATGTCCAAGCTGCTGCAGGATCGAATCATCATCTTGGGCGGTGAGGTGAAAGATGAGATGGCGCAGGTGTTGGTCGCACAGATGTTGTACTTGGCCAACACGGACCCCAACCAGGACATTACCATGTACATCAACTCGCCTGGTGGATCTGTTTCTGCCGGTATGGCAACTTTGCTGCAACTTCTGTGTCATACCCTCCTACTTTGTTGTTGTGCGTCCTTGTTTCAAAATGTGTAATTAAAGTATAATTAAACGTAGGGCGACGTAGGGTCTTGTTATGTTTGTTCCTTTGTGATCGTTTTTTGGGAGATCTCAGATTACACATTTGACACCCAGCTACTTGCGCACTTGCCAAGGCCATCTACGACACCATGCAGTTCATCCCTTGCGTTGGGAAGCCCAGGGGTGGTCCTGCTGCCTGGCATAGCCTGCTCTGCCAAGTCAACTTATTGGCATATATGGCTGCATATCGCCAGTTCAGGATGGTTAAACTCCCTGGTTCCCAGACTCAGAGCTGGATCAAGGTAAATCTGATCGGAGAAAAAACACAACTAGTTTCGGGCAGATTGATACCCTTCAACTCATCCACTTAGGAAGTGAAACCCTAGATGTTCTTCATGGAGTTAAAACAGGTTAAAACAACCGTATATAACTTATATAACCGTATGTTAGATCTATAGATCTTCCATCGCCCTAAGATCCCCAGATCATCATAGACCATTTGTAGTAATTTACTTAACTATCTTAACCAATCATCATCAAAAAATCTATGGTATAGATATGTATACATCGTCTATAGTAGTTCAGTATAGTTTAGTTAGCTAATCATCATTAGAATATCCCGCAAATCTTGAAGATGACAACCACCTATGTTGACGAGGAGCAACACAAACCAGTGAGTTTATGAACGGAGAGCTCCGGATAGTGATCCTTTACGACGTAAGTAATAACTTACAAACAATGGAAGTGCAATCAAACGAACTTATTCACACCAAGTTCAGATACACTGACTATCACTGACTATTAGGATTAATATTATTCCCAAAATTACAACATCCTATTGATTGCACGCCAACGTTAAGTTTAGGTTTTTGACTCGCTTGCGCGCATGTGTCCAAACAACCTTAGATGTTGCTGCCAAGTCGCAGCTATGGTTGCACGGTGAAAGAAACATTATTCTTTGAATCTATTTTGATTCATTCGTTAGCTAAACTATACATAAACGTTAACCATAAACCAGAGATTTGTTCTATCATACTACTAAGTTAGCTAAACTGCTAATCTATATTAATATCAACCCCGGATTAATAAACCATGGTTTATTAATTAGGGGGTGTTCCCCCAATAGTCATGATTTGATACATAAATGGTATCCCCCCCAATTAAACAGCCCAGGGGTTTATTAATCCAGGGTTGACATTATCTGTATTTTTTGATGATTAGTTCACTCAATACTTCCAGGACGTGAGCACCGTGTGCTTCGGCATGGCCGCCTCAATGGGATCTTTCCTCCTAGCGGCGGGCACCAAGGGCAAGCGCCACTGGGCGATTTCCCATGGGAAAACCGTGGGAAAACCGTGGGAAAACTGTGGGAAACGTTGATGAACATCCATGAAGAATGTCCAAGTTTTGGATGAAATGGGTGGTGTAAAGACATATATAAAGACTATTGCATATCTATAAGACATCCACGGTTGGAGTTCTTGATTAGATTGGCTTTGCCCACATTGCCAAGCTGCGCAGTTGGGAAAGTTAGTAGTTTCAAAGACTTATTGGCAACACTGCCAAGACAGAATGGCAAAAGTCACTGCTGGAGGGCTGGTGAAACTTCATTTGTGATAAAATCAACAGCAAAGGGGAATCAACACTCAAGGGCTTGCAACAATATTTGGATGTGCATTTTGTAACAGTCCATGTCAATGGCATTTTTCCTGCAACATTGTTTGCCAATCATGATTGTGGATGCTTACCCAAAAACCCAAGCAAAAGCGGAAAACCAGCAGAGTGGGCATCCTTACGCGAGCGCACTGATAGCTTTTGCTTTGGCGCGGGGATGGGTTTCTCTATGTTTCTCTCATCCAAAGGTGTGCCAGTTTTTGTTGACGCCTGAGGCAAGAGTTTGCCAAACTCCAGCAACTCGGACTGGCAGATTGGCGATGTACTGTAGTGACTGGGTCCATCTTTGGACAGGAAACTAGCTGTTCTGAGAGGACATGCCTGCGCACATAGTAGTAGTACCATCTGGTTATTTAACATAGCCATGGAAAATCCCGGTAAAAATGGAGGATTTCATGGGAAAATCATCTATAAATGGGCCATTTTCCATGGCTATGTTAAATAACCGGAGGGTATTGCAATGCACTTCACACGTGGCTATATTACAAGGTGTGCAACTGCCTCAAACCGTAGTTATAAGATCAAACCTGCTGTTACATATGTTTGGATGCAGAAACACCTGACGTTCCCACGGTATCACCCGATGACTCCGCGCCGAGGGATCATGATCCATCAGCCTTTGGGAGGAGCACAAGGCTGACGAGCAGAGATGGTTTCTGTGGAAGATGGTGCTTCAACCACCCTATTGTGGGCAAAAAAAAACCAAAGTCACGTTCTCCAAGCGTTTGTGAATTTCAGAAGGGTTCGTAGAGGATTTGACATGTCTGGGTCTGGGTCCAGAAACTTCATAAGCTTAAGAGGTTCCACGAGTCGAAATGACATTTTTTTCCGGCCAACATTGGTCTGTGAATCTCCCATTTTGACTCCAAGAATTTGACTCCTAGATTTTATTCCCCAAGAAGCAAACTTGTTTAAAATCCATAGAATCCCTATCAAATCCCAATACAACCTCCATCAAATCATTAAATCATCAAACCCAATAAAATTCCATGAAATCACCATCAACTCACCATCACTCACCATCAACTCCTTTAGAATTCCATGAGTTTCCTGCATTTCTTCCCTTTTCCCTGCCAGGACAGGCATTGGACGTGAGGATCCAGGCAAGAGAGATCCTTCACATGCGTCCGGGGCACCTGGTATGTGGATTTGTGGGAGGACTATGGAGGACTGGTGTATCATGGTGTATCTATCTGGATGATACTCGAAATTCGTCATCATTCGTCATCGTTTTATACGTGCCTGGGTCATTTTTTTCATCTATAATCTATATATCAAGATTATCAAGTATGCAGTAACTAACCAGTTCCTTTCAGGGATCATCCAAGTATAGGTGGTTCCATAATGTGGATATGGGACGACACCGACACACCTTCGGCTAACCATTTTCAACCCAAAATTTGAACAATTAGATGTTGGTAAGTTGGTAACATCCAACCCATTGGGAACTCATGAATCCCAATATAATCTCACTCATTCAAAATACCAGCATTTCGACTCATTTCCACCAGAATTGCCACCATTTTATTGCCATTTTTGATATTAATTTTGATCAGGTCTGGCCGCCTGGGGGCCCCATTGATCTCCACCCGATTGGTTCAGGTGAGATCCTCAACATGCACCTGGCAGATGCCACCGGGCAGCCGATCGAGCAGATTGCCAAGGAGGGGCACCGAGCAGAGCAGCTGGAAGTTGAGCTCGCGCTAGTCATGGAGATCTATGGATGTCCTATTAAATAGGGTGTATGCACCATCCAAAAATAGTGAATCACATTACATATAACGTATTATAACGTTACTGGTTATATTACTGGTTATATAGTTATATATAATACGCAATCGTAATCGTATTATTCACTATTAGTGCATAATTATTCATCGTATTATTCACTATTTATATCAATAATCGTAATCGTAATAAATTATGTTTCATATGCAATATTATTGGCTATAATGTATTATTCACTATTATTCATCGTATTCACTATTATTCATCGTGAATAACGCTGTTTGAGCTTTGGAAGCTCAGGGCGAGAATATCAGGGCAAGTGTTCCACATGACCTTTGAAGATGGTAAAGAGGCTCCCCCAGAACCATCCAGAAACCATGGTGACTGTAGGGTATGAAACCCCATTACACACACATATATATATATATAATATTATAGTGTATATAATATATATATATATACATGTGTGTGTATGTATATATCTACAGAATGGAGCTGTCTAATATATATATAAGGGTATATATATGATTATATATGAATGGGGATGGGGATTACAACTGTTTCCAGGAACTTCCCTGTCTCCGAATGCCAGGACTGTGACCGTGACAACTTCATGACCCCGGAAGAAGCCAAGGACCCATCCGCTGCTGTCCCTGATCACCGGCTCACGATGATTTAAAATGATATCCCCAAGTGTCAGGGGAAAAAAAAACATGTTTTGATGGGCACTTGACGTCAAGGCAATTGGATGCAATTGGAGGATGCCTTTCGCTGGTTTATTTGATAAATCTCATGGGAATGGATCAGGGATAGTCAAGGTTAGCTGTATGGTACAGTTTTGGCATACCATTCCCTTTTGGCCACGTCATTTTTTTATACAACTCCTACAGGGTACGATGTTCCTGAAACCTTCCCATGCGGCTGACCTGCTGGCTGGGTTTGTTGAAGACCTGGGGTATGTCATGGTATACCCTAATTCATGGCAATTCTATGCAACGCAACTGTAATCATGATTGTAATGGGAACATGATTTATAAACACTGGATTTTGGGGTGACAAACCAAGCTTGGACCTATGGTGTTGAGGATCCAGGAACGTGTCCAGAGACGCTATTTGACTGGTGACATGTCCGATTTTCAACAGCTTCAAGTACCCCGATTAGTTTTCAAATGGGTTTTATTGATGTACCAACAATTGCCAGTCTGTTTCTTTTTGAGACCAATGAGTTGTTTATTGATGGGTCCATCCTGATGCGTGCTCGGAAAAGAGACGAGCACCTCTGTATACTGGACCGGTTTGGCCTCGATCTTTACCTCATTTTCTGGCGTCAGGCGTACGGCCTCATTGATGATATCACACCAACCAAGGTGTGTCGCCGGTGTCCTTCATGGGGGGTATGGCATCAGATCCAGCTGCCAAGATCTCTGAAAAGTCTTTGAAATGGCTGTTTTCCCCCAATCACATCTTCGACATTTACTGTATATTAGCCTACCTTGATCTATGTCCACATAATATACCATCATATATGTAGGTGTTATATGGTGTTATGGAGTTCCTATATATATATATCACGGCAATCCTTGGCCTTTGCCTGTCGACGCAGACTGGCGTTGTCTTTTTTAAATTAGCGCCAAATATTGTGCAGAAGTTTTAGCCATCGTTTTCATTTAATTGGATGTTAAGTTTAAATATGTTAGTCATTAATTTAAATTCATACTGTAGAATTATAGACTCCAAAAGATGGCAATGGAGGGAGAGAGAGAGAGAGAGAGATTTAATGGAGGTTTTAATAGGAAAATATGGAAAATCAACTATAAATGGAGGAGTTTCCCTTGCCATGTTTTCCCTTGCCATGTTCCAGGCCTGGCCGCGGATTCAGAAGCCCAAGCGTCCTGAGCTGTGAGGCCGGACGGCGCTGAATCCACCGATGGGGGATGTAGCGATGGTTATTTTTATAGGGGAGTACCTGCTGAAAAGGTAACTGGTAACTATGTGTTATATACACTAATCATAATTTACCAATCATATGCTCGTGATATTAGTATTGAGATTGTATTAAGGTGATAGAACTTATATTTTAAAACTAATCAAACAAATAAATGTGAATAATCCCATCCCCCGTTCATATGTTTTGTTGACACCCATTCTACGGTACAGTAGCTTAAAGGGGATGGGATGAAACCATCGCCTCCAAAGTGACCGTTGGGGCACCATGGGCAGGTTGACATCGACTGCAACAGTGTGGTTTCGAACTGGTGGGTGTCTTCAAAGAACTGCTTGAAGTGTCACTTGAGTATACTTTATTTGCATAATATGTTGAATTATGTTGATGTTTTCTGATACAATTTTGTCCATGGAAACATTTGCATAAAGTATGGTGTCAGACTGCTTCAGAGATGCCCCGCCCCGGCAGTACTGGTTCATCATCCTGTCCCGGTGCCGGCCAGCCATCTGGCTCATGACCCATGAGGATCTCAAACTTAACCTGCTAAAAGGCAGCACTTCCGCCGAGATGTTGAGCCGCGCACAGCTTGCGAAGCTTGGCCAAGGGAGCGGCTGCTGCAAGGTCGAATCTAGTGACATTCCTATGTCGTTGTTTACGGTTAAGTCAACGGTTAAGTAGTGTTGTTGTGATCATGTTTGAATATTGTATTGCAGATTATTCTGACACATTTTTTTAATCATATTATCACATGATATTGTAATAACATGTAATAACTTTATGCTATAGCATATTATACTGATATATTGTCTATGTATATATATATATATGTATATATATATATATCCCACTGTAACTTACACAATATTGTGTATGTATCTACTTTCAATGTACACATGCATAGAAACAATCATTCAGATACTTCACCTGAATGCCCTGATTTGCGGCCTGAGGATAATGTCTTTGGGTATTTGTACCCTGCTTCCCTACAACTGCCTGCTGAATGCTCAGCCCTACTTTGAACAGAGACTTGGCCCGGTGGCTGATGCCCAAAGGGGGACACACAAGGCTCGGCCAGGGTATGACAAGATTTGCATACTCAACGTGTCCGTGCAACTGTCCGCGGACACAAGGACAGTTGATGGACAAATGTCCCAATAAGATGGACAAATGTCCCAATAAGATGTCGGAAGACCCTTTATTTGGATATATTTGGCATCACCTGGCTTCATTTCCTCTGGAGACTCCATGGCCCCTTGTTATCTTGTTGAGATGTTCAATGCTCTGTTTTTTGTCCCGCAGCTAAGGCATGCCTTCAATGGTTTGGACTTTCCATTTACCAGTAGCTCTGACTGAAAGCAGCGATGCTATGGGAACATCTTGGTGGTTGAGGCAATGAAGTTTTGCTCGTTGCTTGTGTTAAACATCAGGGGTTATTAGCAACAGTGACCAAACTTACGCAAACCATGTATGTTTCATCCTCAGAATGATCAGAACCATGTTGGTTGTAAGTTGCATGTGTTTCTTTCTTAGTTTTATCTATTTTCTATTTGGTCACTTTTTTTTTCCTCCCAATCCATCCAATCTAGGGATTTTTCAAACACCCCCCCGCAGTGCACCCTAAAATCTCCCTAATTGGTGCCATTTAGCATTTTTTCTCACGAAGTCGCTCGACCACGCTCGATTTCGGGAGCCAAATTGCCGGGCCATATCATGCCGGCCCCGCTTTCCTGCTTCTCTCACGTGAGCCACAGTTCTGTGCCAGCGGCTGCTACCAGGTTATAGCTCAACAAGTACACAAGGACATTTGGAAGTGGCGGAATACGCCCTGAGCCCGACATATCCACCGACGCGCTGGACCCACCGCCAAATAAAGAGAAAAGAAGGTGTAATCTCAGGGCGTATCTCAGAAACTCCCAGAATCCATCGATGAAAACAAAAAAAACTCTACAGTAAATTCATCTTTCCCAGACTTGAATGATGGGATGTTTCATATTTTTATCCATATGTTCACCGGGTTTGCCCCTATCTTTGCTGGTAAAAAACCCGCCGCTTTCCCAAGGCATGATGACGTACTCCTTGTGTCTCTGCAGCGCGCAGATCTACATGACCTGCAAAGGCGAAGCGGCAACACACAGAGCCGGCAGTTCGGGCTGCATGGCAACATCCCAATACCTATAGGACCTACCCTCTGAAAAATTTAACATAGCTATTGAAAATGGCCATTTATAGTGGATTTTCCCATTAAAAATGGTGATTGTCCATAGCTATGTTAAATTACCAGAGGGTATACTTAATAATCTTAATCTTCAATGTTGTTAATTTTAAATGAAGCTTTTCGACCTTTTCGTGTGGTTGCTATAGCTGCTATCGTTTCGGATATACCATTGCAAAAATGTCGCCCCTTTTCCAGCTGAGGTGCCTCTAGACTCTAGACTCTAGACAATTGTTCCGGGGGATCCCAATGATTTTTGCAGAGGAAATGGATCAAATCAGCTTATTAGTATGTTTGATTGTGTTTACCAGACATGTCTTTTGATGTTTTTCGATTATCTCTCCTGATTTCTTTTCTTGCATCTACTCAGTTGGCCCAGTTGCTAGCAAGTCCTACCGAACCGTAGAACTCGTTAATTTCACTGTGAAAATCTGTTCAAAAAGTGCCGAGGTTCCCATCCCCAATTCACCATTCTGGTTGATTGATGTTGATTGCATTCCATCTATCCCAACAGCCATATCCTCATGTTGGCCGGTTATTCGTATCCATCATTTTATTCTTTTATTCAGGAGGTGGTCATATAAACAAAAAAAACTGCATAGCTGATTTATACGCCTAAATTTATCCAAGTGAATCACCATGTTGGTTCTTTCCATGGGCATTTCCCCATCATGCTTGGATTGCTGTGTATCCATGGGTCAACCGCACCAGCGAGGCGATGGTTTTACAGTGAATCAACGCATGGGCACGGCCTTCATTACAGAGGTGTGGATCAGCCGGGGATGACTTGGAAGATTTTAGAAGCAGCCAGGGATTTTAAACCATACCCATATATATATATATACATATTTATATATATATACGATTATATACGTATATATATATATAGGTATATTCATTTATTTATCATGTGCATACCGGCAGCTGAGAATAGGTTGGCTTTCATCAGTTTTAGATGATGTTTAGGATTGGGCACTGAATGTTTGTCCTTTTTTTTAGGGAGCGCATGGTTACATACCATACATATCCAGTAGTAAGAGAAAAAACAGAAAGGGACGCCACCAGGGCCCACAAAATACATGTCTAGAAATTTGTGCTATACAAGGCATAAAGTCAATGATCTCTCTTTGATTACTTTTTTTGGTGGATATTTTTTTTTTGGTTTAGGGTCCGTTCATTTGGTGAGGAGGGGGGGGAGCAAAAAGGGGAGCAAAAAAAAAGTATTTTTTTGCTCCCCCCCCCAGACTGTGAACAACATCAATCCCTTCTAAGGTCGCTTGAAAGCCTTGAGTGGTGGGGCTGACACAACACATTGGACTAGGAAGTAGCATCTCCCAGAATGCATTCGTATGGAAAGGGGTCCCTTCTCCATCCTTTTGATCAATACTCACTCCTGTTCTTAGCTCTTTGACCTATATACGGTATGAAAAGTTTCAGGTGTTGTTTGTGCTTTAGTGTGTGGATGGTTTCAACCAGTATGCAAGCGCATTGCCACAAGTGTGCAGTAGATATACAGTAGAAATGGCAGCTTCAAACATGCACTGATATCTAGTGGGTTTCTTGTGATAAAAGCAGTACATCTTTTTTGCAGATACCATAGCCATTTGCTGTGTCAACACATCCAAGCTGCATACGCACTTGGAATGCAACTATTTTATATATACATTTTTCTTATATAGTACATACAGTTATGGAATGGGTGGCGTGTAAGTCACCTATGCCCTGACAGGCACAAGTTTTGTACATTTTTTCCTGCATATGCAATGGTTTTAATGCAGTAACAGCTCTTTGCTTAAAATATTGGTTGATCACAAGAGTTGGCAGATTCCAAGGGCACTTCCAGTTCCCCCTTGCTTCAGAAAAGGCGTTTTTCCTGCATATTCCATGGTAATTTGCTGTGTCACTGCACATATAACGGCATACATTTTAGTATCATAAATGTACTCATGACTGCGGGTAAAACTTAAATTAAGTCAGTATAAGTATAAGTTTATCATGGTATCCAAAAGGGCACAAAACCAAGTAAAAGAAACACCTATGCAACCTTACCAAACAATTGTATCTATAGAATGGCAGCCTTGTTTTGTGCATCGATGCAGCAAGTTACCATGAAGGTTACCATGAAGTATGCCAGAAAAAATATTGCAACTACTTGAGCAGGGACAGTAGATTGGAATTTGCACTTTCATGTGCTAAAAGAGTTCCACTGGAACTGTCGTGTCAGCCAAAAGGCGACCTGGCAGTCCAATAGCAAAAACCACCAATGCAAATACCAAGTGCTTTGCATATATATATATATACCGTCATTGCAATAGCTGTATACCTAGGTAGTACCTATATTTTAATATATACATGAAGTACCAATTGACATCATGAATCTAGCTGTATACCTAGGTAGTACCAACTGACAAATCCTATGAACTTAATAAATATCATACTAAAGGTATGCAGTAAATGACAAAAAAACACAAAACATATGAAAAAACACAAAAAAACACTGAACAACACGGGCCCTCACAACGTCCCACTCTCAAAAAACAAATCATCGGCAATGTATTCCGGATCGTGGGATTCCAATGGATTCCAGGCCGAGGTCTTGCAGCAATGATGATATGACCCATGAATCAAAGATCCAGCAATCAATGTATTTACTGCATGCATATTTATATATATATATTTATATGTATATGTGTAGATGGATAATTCCAACCACATTTAACATTGAAACAGCAAACAACCATTCCACAGAAGCTGCCAGGTTGTGGTGTGCATTTCCTTCTTTTGCTCCTTGGATGCCTTGGATGCCTTGGATGTGTTGGATGTGTTGGTTGATGCCCCTTGGATGTCCAGCCTCGCCAGGTTTGACCTTTGCATCCAAGAGCCATGGGCATCAGCTTTACGTGCCTTGGACAGTGGCACAGGTTAGTGACTGTTAGTGATATTTTGGAAAGGGTTTGGACATGTTTGGACCTTTGTTCAGGTGTTCTGCCGATTTCCACTTGGGTCGGTTTATAGTTTACAGCATCTACCAATTGCTGATGGACTGCTCCCAGAAGTTTCATGCAGTACCAGAATAGAACCACCCTGAATTTACCCTCCAGTAAATTAACATAGACCCTGCCAGATAGGGGTTGGAAGACTAGTTTCCACTATAAATAGGTCATTTTCAGGGTCTATGTCAAATTACCAGGGGGTAAGAATCATGTGCCCAATTTCACCTGTTGGATCCTTTTGGGGGCATACTGAGCAATAACCAGTGGATCTTTCCTGAAGATCCACCCCGAGCTGCTCAGGTGCCGGTTTTAGTGACCATTGCTGCGTGGACACCGAGGGCGGGGACAGGAGGTGCAAATAAACACCCTGCGAGCCATGAAATTGATGCAGCAAGAACATTACAGTTAGTAATGAATAAACCTTATCAGATATATGATATGGATATTGTCATACATTATACATTCATTATACTAACTATATCTTATCATATCATATCTGTATTAATTTGCCAGAGGCTACTGCCAACCAGTTTCACACTTGTGGCCTCCTCAGTGCCAGAGGATGAAAATGGATGAAACATCATCGCGGTTCAGTTCTCGTGGAAGTAGATGGTGCATCTATACCATATAGCTATGTTCAATCGAGGGTATACATGGCTATACCATCAGATATATATATATATATCATGTATACCATGAGAATCCATGGAAAATATTGAAATCAATGAAATCCCATTAAACCATATTAAATCAAATTAAATTCCATTAAATCCCATTAAACTCTACTAAGTCCCAGTAATTCCAACCAACTAAATTATATTGCCTTAAGAATCTGAACCTGAAGAATTCGTAGGGTGCAAACAATTCACGAGGTTTTTTGAGAAAACCCGAGCTTTTCAATTGTGTCCTCAATCAAAGCCTATTCTTGCAGGCCTGGACCCCCCAAAAACTTTGAAGACACGAAAAACATGGTCGATTTTGAGAGGTTCAATCCCATTAGAATCCCATTCGAATCCCATCACACCCAGGTCCTGGCGGTGTCCAATGCGGTGCTTCAAACCGGCGTCTTCGGTGTCGCAGGTGGCCGCTGGTTGTGCCACAACCGGTTCCAAACGTCGGTGTCATGGGCATTTACCAAGGTTGAAATGGGGAAACCATGGGATAACATGGGGATATGATGGGGATATAACCAATGACAGTTTCTTTCAAGTCAGTTTCATTTTTAAAAATGCATAAGAGAGATAAATACCAGCCAACGGAACCCTGGTTAGTATTGAATCCGTTTATTCTGAATGAGCCCATTCAGGTTTCGGTTCTTTTTCAGGGTGTTCACATATTTATTATGTTTCACGCATACTTGGGATGATTCGCTGAGATGGCTTAAAGCCACCAACCTATTCAACATCAACCGACGTGTGGAAGACAACTTTGGTATGATTTGTTCGACATAAAATGCCGGCTGGTTTCAACATCGTTTCTTATTTAACTTGGGAGGATTTGTTCTTCTACCCATGTTTGGCGGATTGTGGTTGCGGTTGTCACATAAATATACATAAACTGGTTGGTGGTTTGGAACATGGCTTTTATTTTTCCATAATATATGGGATAATCGTTCCCATTGACTAATATTTTTGAAGATGGTTAAAGCCACCAACCAGATAAATGTTCAAGTAGATGTGGTGTAGGGCAGGTGACAGCAAGCGTATGATAGTGTATGCAGCATGTTGAGTGAGCAGAGAATCTTGTGGCATGGAAGTATCGTCATGGGAGGCCTCACATGTAATCGCCGGAAAGACTCTGATCTCTGGTCGAAGGGCCGTAGGGCCTCAATTTAGAGATTGTCATGTACCTCACCAGGTAAAATGCCAGATAATGACCACACCAAAGTCAGGAACATCATTTAAACCTTGACAATTCAGGCATTTTTCAATATGACTCCCCTCCCTTCCCTATGCACATCACCATCCCAATGTCACTTTTTGCCAGGCTCCATCAATCAAGGGATGTCCTCGGCCGGGATGTTAGGCCTAGGCATTTCGGGCTTAGTCACTCAGATTTCAGATGTTTGCCAGGGTATCTTACTGTAGATCCATCTAAATCTAAACACCGTCATTTCAGTAATTTTACATATTTTACGTACATTCCAGGTTTCCACTTAAGAACCCACTGAGGGCTCCTGTAACTGAGCTGGCTTAGGGATCCTGGGCTGTTTTTGAAGACCAGAGGGAAAGCACTGGAAGGTGAATAGATTATCAATTCAGAAGTACCCTGGAACACTTCCCAAGAGGACATTTATCTTTCAAATGATGTTATTTTTTGTGGTTGAAAATTGTGTTTAGAGGTGTGTGTGCCAACTACCCTTGGCATGTTCGATGCACTGAAGATGGGGAACTTTCAGGAAACGAGCATGCCGGATTCTTGTCCATTTCGAGACACGTGTAGTTTCTAGCAATCGCACTGTGGGCGAAAAAGCCACCGACTGGCAACGACATGCTACACAGAGAGAGAGAGAGAGAGTTGATTTCACCTCTACCTTGGATTTTGATCCCAGAATGACTTTATTTGAGATGGGTGGCTGAGACTAGCAACCAGCTACTTGTACTGTACGATGATTGGCAACTCAGACTGCCAAACTCTCCAACACCAAGGTGAGTTTCTTCGTTTCCCTGTTGGTGCAGGGGATTCAGCACGTCCCTCGCAGTGATGGCTGGTTACAAGGGAGGTCTGACCCGTTATTGAATCTGTATGTCCGTTTCTGTCAACATATCAAACACCTCGAACAACACATCAGCCCAACTCAGTTTGGTCTTCGGGAGGGTAGATCAACAGTGGACCCATTATTCTGCATAAGGAGACTTACAGATGTTTGCGAACAAGGTAACGAAAAACTCATCTTAGTTGTCTTAGATATGGGAAAAAGCCTTTGACAAAATTAGCCACAACAAGATGTTCCTCTCCCTTGAAAGACTGAATATTCCCAGCGATCTACTTAACCCCGTCAAAGCTATCTACAACAGTCCGACATTTCAGGTAACCCACGAAGATAAATTCAGTAGATGGCTGCCTCAGAGAACTGGCATACGACAAGGTTGCCCTTTAAGCCCATACCTTTTCATCTTGACGACGCAGGCTATGTTTCATGATGTTCAAAAGAGGTACAACGACCCTCGTCATTCCAAATCGTTCCAAGGCATCAATTTCCATGAGCTTCTTTACGCGGATGATACATTAATCGTGGCCAAAAGTTTCGCGTCAGCAACTAAATACCTTCATTTAATTGAAGAAGAATCTGATTATTTGGAACTAAACCTGAACAGATCAAAATGCTGCTACATCGCGTACAACTGTCAAGGACAAATTCGTTTCCAAAATGGAGAGCCCATGAAATCTTCAGAGGAAACCACATATTTGGGAGCATCCGTCACGCAGCACATTGACCCTAAACATGAAATCAGAAAGAGAATCTCTGCTACAATGACCATACTCAAAAAATTGGACATCTTCTGGATAAAAACGCGTTGCAGCAAGAAATGGAAACTACATGAAACTACTCGTTTTCAACGCCGTCATCACTTCTAAAGTCCTTTATGGCTTGGAAACCTTGGAGCCCACGGAAGCAGCTGGAAGGCTATTAGACACGTTCCAACTAAAGGGCTTGCGAAAAATTCTGAAACTACACACCACGTTCGTGCAGCGCAACAATTCCAATGAATATGTGTATAGAAGCCAATGAAACTCTCAAACGCGCCATCAGAGGGCCCTGGGAGACAAACCAAACCACTAACCGAAATTTTGGAAGACAGAAAGCTGAAACTTCTTGGGCATGTCTTGAGAAGGGATAGGCAACATCCGCTACACCAAGCTGCGTTCTCCACAAGATCCGCGCTCCCACGGGAAACCGAACACAGAAGACGAGGCCGCCCACGACAATTCTGGACAACCAACAATATGAGTAAAGCATGGGAAATGATTAAAACGCATGATGCTACACAACCGCAAATACCGTTCGACAAGAACAACCGATCGATGCGTGAGAGGATTATTGAACAAGCGCAGCGATACCCACCCCCATTCAACAAAGGAAACCCAATATGAAAGATTCTATGCGAAAGTTTTGCTCAGGGTGACACCTTTACTCAGTGTGAATCTTTTGCTCAGTGTGAAGTTTTTGCTACACGGGAAGATTTCTTTTCAATAATACACCACCAAGCAGTGAGCGAGGCCTTAGGTTCTTGATAGTAGGTAGGAAGCGGGTTAGTGCCTACGACCTGTGGCAATTTCCATGCTATAGGTTATGGCAATGGAAAAAAATATCAAACACCTTCAGGTTTGCCACAAGATATATTCTGAATGTGGCGCAATAATATTATGCGTTTTGAACATTGCGAAATAGTATGCGGAAATCATCTTAAGTGTCTTAGGTCACCCGCAAACAACCCCCATGTGGGCCCAGTTGTTGTTGTCATGGCCTTTGTCCAAGGCAATGAACCCAGCGACCAGTGATAGCGCAGCCGCGGGGATGACTGTCGCCCTAGTGATGTGGGTGTGGGGCCCAGGGATGACCTGCCAATTTTACTGCTGAGTTGGTTTAACTCAGAACTTCAGCAACATAGTTTGTAGATTATATATATATATGTATAATAATAATATCAATATAATTTTTGTAATACATATGATATAATCATATTTAATTTTATATATATCATTGAAACAGGTTGAAACACTCTTTTGGTAATTCTATGGAGTTCCATAGGAGATTTGGATGAGTTCATGATTTGATGATTTTTGGGGGTTTCTCTGGGATTGTGAGGGGGCTGTCGTTTTTCTATCTGATCACGACCTCAGGTCGCAAGGTCACTGGAATTATGGTTAGGACAAATTGGAGTAACTATCTCACACAGGTCTTGTCTCAGGCTAGTGAATTGGTACAATTCATCCAGATACATTTTCCAAGCGACAACAAAGGTGCATCTAAGGCACCTATATTAAAAATTGTTTGCTGCAAACCCGACGTTTGCCTGTGCAAACTTGACGTTTGCCCGGGCTGATCCCGTATATCCTTTGGCATGCTCAAATCCCTGCGTAGGGCTAACGTTTTTCTCAACTTTCCAAAATCAAAAAAACACCTAACACCGTGAAACCCTAAGCCCCTAAAACTCTAAAACTCTACTCAACTCTAAAGCCCTAAATCCTGCGCCTAAAGTCAAAATCGCTGCATATCGCCAGTGTTTCGTTCATCCTCTTGTGACAAGTATATGAGATTGTTTGAGTGCTTTATTAGGATATGGGCGAACGTCTGGGTTGGGCCTTGAACCACTGGGAGAATTAGGTGTCGATAGCTAAATAGGTTTTCCAGCACCTTAAGCATATTCATGAGGCAAAACCACAAAGAAAGCGTCCCCAATTTACCCCATGTTGCCATCGCGAAGGTTTTGTGGCCATACCAAAAAAAATCCAAAGCAAGTGATTTATTTGGATACTGTCCAATGAACCTCGGCAGATGTGGAAAATCCATGACTGTTTTGAAGATGTTGAAGGGAAACCATAAATTTCCATATCATTTTCCTTTATTTTTCAACCTTCCATCCTTGATCATCCTTGATCCTCGCCATGTCGCCAGGGCATTTGCATCCTGCAGACGCTCCTGTCCTGCTGGGTCTACTTCGTTTATCTCCGCTTGCGCCTTCCTGAGACGGCCAGTGCCATTGCCATGTTGGAGGAGCAGCGAACGCGGACGCCGTCCGAGGTCCGAACCGGGCACAGCTGGTGTGCCGCACAGGGGCCCTCTCGGGTGGCCAGTTTTGGAGTGTTTGGGACATAGATCGGTTGAAACTAATGGACATTGGATGACATTGGGATTTAAGAGGATGATTTTAACCAGTGTCTACTATAGTTTTGACCAACGTCTATAATAGACACTAAATATAGACACTGGGATGTTCAGGGTTGATACGTGTCATGCTTAGTTGTTCTGCGGTGCACCACCATCTTGGATGTCAAAATTGTAGAGAACCTCAAACATGTGGTTTTGCCCGCCTCATCTTTATTCGAGTATGCCCAAGTTGTAACAAGTTTTGGAAGGGTTGAAATCAGCATCAAAAACCAATGGAATTGGACATTGCCTATTAAACATTCCTTGGGAATTTAAACCTGGAAGGAGAGATTGTACACCCACAGTACTCTATAGAGCAATGAAGTCTTGACAATTTGGTTTGACTGTTGCATTTTCCATTTGCATTCAGGATGCTGAAATCTTCTTCCAAAGGACATCATTTTTACTCATTTGCATATATAAGTATATGATATGTATGTATTTATTAATGCATATATTTATACATTTGCATAATCTATATTTAATTTTATTTAATATCCATTATATGCATATATGCATATATACATATGTATTGTATGCATATATATATATATATGTATATATATACATGTGCAGTTGTACAATGTTGTACATATTATGTTTGCAAACATAAATATATGTAATTATATTGTCATTTATTATGTACGTGTATGTATATATATATATACATTGCACGCCATTTGTGCATACTAGTTTGCATATTTTCAATAATCCATATCAATCTAACTATCCAATATATATATATATATATTTAGTATGTATATGTATATATATATATACATACATAGCATATGATTAAATCTTCTGTGAGATAAGATGTCCCACATTGGCTTGCCAGGGCTCCGGCAATTTGGCCTTTGATACTGGGGATGGCGCTTGGGGTCAGCTCTGCAAGCGCCTCTCACCGATTTTGCTGGAAATTTGGCCTCAGGAGATGGGATGCTTGGAAACCCTGGCCAAAATGTGTTCATATGATTACATATAATTACACGATGATTCATATATGAATTTAATCTCCATATATAAAATATTTGATGAAATCATGAAACTCACTGAAATTCATAACTCATGAAACACGCATTGTTTTTCGCTCTCCCTCTGAACAGACTCGGATCTGTCAGCCCCACTTGGGCTTGGCAGGCCATGAATGTGTGCGGCGTGTTCTGCGTGACCATGGCCATTTTCCCGGGCGTCCTGGTCCACTGGCTGCCTCTGGCAGCTTCCAGTTTTCGCAACAGCAAGCAGCTCTATGGCAACATCCTCATCGGCTGCTTCCAGGTAAAGGATGGCATTTCTGGGTTTTTGTTCTGGGCTTTTACCTTGGGTTTGGGTGATTGTTTTTCTCTCATTCCAACAGCTACCAAGATCGGTCAAGATTTGTCAAACCAATTTGGGAATTGCTGGGATCTATGAGGAAAGCTGGACAGGAACGCCCCCGCAATCTGCATCACTCCGCAACCTGCAGGTCGGTGACGTTCTGGGACGAACCATGACAGGGCCGCTGGCGAAACGCATTGGTCCTTCGAGACTGTGGATCCTGGTACTTTTGCATCTTGGCAGTGGCACTGTCAGATTTGTAATCTGTTGAGTTGAACTTCTCTAGGTGGATGTGCATCCCAGTTAGCAAGTGGTTTAAGATGCATATACAACTGGGATCAACTGGGGGTACACATGGATATCCCAGATTTAACTGAATTATATTGAATTATAATATATTTACTATATGGTTATATATCCAGTTACGTGGCCCAAGTATTGGTGTCCAAATTTCTAGTACCCTGGCGAACCCCCAAATAGCTGGGATTCTTATGGATATTCGGATATTCATCCCCGAAAATGTTGCATCATATGGTTCCGTTCCATTCCCATAACGGGTGAGTAATTGTGTCATTAATACAGATATCAGGCCAGGCATCCTGTTTGATGGCGGCCATCAGTCTAAACCAATGACCCTCGAGTTGTACTTGTGGAGTCTGCTCTGTTCTTTGGTGCTTGAACCTTTTGCTGCCGATCAATCTCCAGGTTTACCCCTACAACGGTAGATCACCCAAGTTGGTGCATTTTGGGGACATGGAGGTTCCGTCAGATTTTCGGACATCACATTTATATACATCACATTGCAGCATCACATTTGTCGATGCTGAGACGCTTTGCTTTCATTCCCTTGTTCATGTTGGGTCAACGATCGCCTGAAAGCTGCTCGCTCTGGGGCTCGGATGCTCCTCAGATGCACATAGCTGGGCTTAAGGTTTATAGTTGGGATGGGGGATGGATGGGGGATATTCCATTGCCAAATAGTTTGATTACCGTGGGGCTATTCATTTTCTGCAGGTCAAATGCTCAGTTTCTGGCCATTATGCTCCATCTTCACATTCTTTGACTTTCAATGGCAACTTCCATGACTGGAATTGCCGCTCCGTCTCAAGAGTCGGATGGTGTCAACTGATTCAACTGGTATCAGAGAAAATGTCCGTATAACTTGCACATGGTTGAACTATATCAATCTATATAATGGGTACATACTACACACAGACACAACTATCTTTAGTTTTGTGTAGTTATGAACACATGATTTAATTTTACTATACACATATACAAAGTTATATAATATCATGATATTATATGATATTATCTTATGAAATTATGTATTATTCTTATTCCGTGGTTATGTATATATAGTTACACTCTGGTTATTTAACATAGCCATGGAAAATCACCTTTTTTAATAGGTAAACCATCTATTTCTATGGGCCATCTATACCATGGCTATGTTAAATAACCAGATGGTATATCATATTAAATCCCATTAAATCCCATTAAATCCCATTAAACCACCATTTTCCCATGGTTTTCCCTATGTATGTAGTTCCATCCTTATCGGATGTCCGATGTCGAACCTTATCAGGTGGGTCGAATGCTGCTGTGCTTGCTCTTGGCCATCAGCAATGGCCTCAGCGTGACTCGGTTACGCGCACGGGTAGACATGTCCCGGGAACAACTGAATTTATGGTGATTTAATGAGGGTTTATGGTGGTTTAATGGGATTTAATGTTGGTTTATAAGTGGCTGAATTCGATTGGGTTTATATTATATATGACTGGTTGGTGGTTTCAAACATGTTTTATTTTCCATGATATAATAATATATAATATGTTTCAAGATGGTTAAAAACATTTAAAAACCACCAACCAGATGGGATATGGTTGTTTAATGGGACTATTATTGTATAATAGGGGTATGATAATTATTAATAGTGTTGATTAATGGGATATTAAAACCATCAATGGGGATAGGGTTATGATAACTAGAAAATAGTGTTGATTACTGGGATATAAAAAAAAAAACTATCAATCGGGATAGTGTTATGATAACTATTAACAGTGTTGATTAACGGGGTATTAAAACTATCAATAGGGATAGTGTTGATTAACGGGGATATTAGAACTATTAATAGGGATATATAGTGATAGATTGTAATATGTAGATGGTCCTATGGTTGATTAATGTGATATTGGTTATTAATAGGTATAGAATGCAATATATATATATACGCGTATATATATATATATATATTATATTATATTATATTATATTATATTTATATTATATTTATATTATATTTATATTATATTACATTAAATTATATTGTAATATTTTTTTATTATATTATATCTTATTTTATTATATATTATAATTATATTTATATTATATTAAATTATTTAAAATTATATTAAATTATATTATATTATATTATAATATTATTATATTATATTATAATTATATTATTATATATATATAATTATATGGACCGTTGATTAATGGTGATATTACAGCTATTAATAGGTATAGAATGTAATACAGAGAGCCATGAGCTATTTAACCTACCTTATACGCATTGGGGATGATCAATCACCATTAAACAATGTAATTCCTATTTGCAACACCGCTCAATTGTTTGGTTGGCGAACAACATTTGCTATCCATCATTTTGAGAGTAAGTACCCGTAACTTATATCCTGAAAAAGACAACAGCATTTGACAATATGGCTGTTGAGTTATGGATCATCCCAGTTGTGCAGCAACGTTCGGGCCTGAGGCCAGTTTGGCCATGATGTTTGGCCCTGAGTGCTGCAGTGTGCTGGAGAAGCGAGAGGTCGCCGGAATGGCCATGAGTGCGATCATGGTCACTGGCATCCTGGATCAAAATATCTCAAAACCATTTACCCTCTGGTAAACATACAAAAAGCTATTGAAAATGGCCATAGAAATATGGTGATTTTCCATAGTTATGTTAAATTACCAGAGGGTAGCCCCAAAATGATTCATCAAAACTCCCAGCCAAAACCCAGGCAACCTAAGAGGTTGGGATAACTCACTTGGGTTGTCCAAGTATTTGGCAAGACAGCAAGGTCTTTGATCTGAAGAATTTCATCGCATTGCCGCCTTTTTTTTCCCTGGGTTTGGTGGGGTGGCGGTGGAGGCAGCGAAAACCCAGCTGAACTGTTTTTGGGTGATTGCTTTAAGGCTCCAACGAAGCAATGAATTGGTTGGTTGGGAATGCTCTACATCTACCCTTTTCATATCTTTTCATTCTACCTGTTGTTGTCTAAATGATCTCTCTCTCTCTCTATAATATAAGTTATAGTTGACAACTGAGCCAACCTGGAGAGGATCAAACCCATGGCGGTTCACTGTGCCTGTTTGCCACTGCAACTAGTGGAACATGTGATCTCACCCAAGTGGATGGATCTTCCAGGGCAATAAGAGTGGCAATGGGGCCCTCAGCCGCCGATGTTATTTGGTGGTTTCTATGTTTTTCAAGAAATACTGGTTAGTCAAATCGTTTTAAACATCCTGTTTCAACCGGTGTTCTGTCCCTGATTTTAAGGGATGATCTACCTTGATTCAAGCCCCCAGACCCCTCAAAGTGACTCTCAGTTTCTCTCAAGTCGGACTTTGGATCACTATCAACAACAATCCATGACTCATTGATTCTTGTTGGGTGGCAGATGGGCTCACCAGACCATGCCCCGCCGGTTGACCATTGATGTCCTCTGAGGCATTTTCACAGGCTCGCTCTTGGCCTTTGCCACTCAGATCGGAATATCCACCTGATGGCCTAGGGGCAGCAGGGCGCTCTGCTGCGAGATCAGGTTTCACTGATACTCTGGGGGGATTTGATTGCTAAACTAAAACCATATAAATTTGATTGTAGCCTAATTATAGCATTGGGTTTAGACAAACTTTCCCATGTTGGGGCTTAAGAGTGCATTTAATCTCGGTTGGTATTCTTGGATTTCTGTAGGTTTAGCAGAGTCGGCAGGCTTGTAGGCCCTGGCCTGGGTGCTTAGTACCAACAAGGCCCTTTCATTTTGCCGTTTTGCCATGGACGCTGTAAGGGTGGCTCCGCCAGGCTGAAATGATACTCGAGCCATCCCTTCGAAGGTAAGATTTTGGAGATTCAGCCACAGCCAACCAAAAGGCCCCTAGCAAAAAATGAGGATGCAGGATAAGAATGGATCATGAACGGGACATTTCCACTTCCATTGTTGCTTCGTGTGCTGACTTTATTGCAGCCCAGTCACATCCATTTGGAATGGAGGTGTTCCATTCCTGGATAAGAATAGATCATACTTTACAATTCCCCCCAACAAAAATCCAAAAAATGCATCACCCCATCATTACTGCAAACACTGTTTCTGGGCCGTTGGGCCGTTGGGCCGTTGGCTCGCCTTCAGTCTGTGACTGAACTCTTGGGATTCCAACGAGCGGCTGCTTGGGCTGCGGGTGAAAAGTGCAGAGCCCTGGTGGTTGATTCATGATCCGTTCGGGGATTATACGAACGAATAAGCCCGGCTCAACCGATGGTTGTTGAATTTTGCTGATTCTTTTTACATCCAACACAACAGATACTGGAATTATATGGAATTATCAAGTGGGTTTATTATTTTCACCTTCATAAATCATCAATCAAATCATATCAAATCATCGATAAGATTAGCATAATCATAAACCATAGTCTATAATGATTGATGATGATAGATGATAATGATTGATAGATCAATTTATACAGTGTTGGGGCTTATCATTAGCCATACACAACTCATCGCTGCCCCGGCTGCCGACTTTCCGCGGCGTGTACCCAATGGATCCAAAGTGCACCTGGATGTCCTATGGCCCAAGTATTTTACTTTAAAAAAACTACATATAATATATATATATATGGATATTTTATCATATTTAACGTACAGAATATATATATATATAATTATATATATATAATTATATATATGTGTGTAGATAGCGTTCTTTTATGTTTTATTGTCCACACAACCTGGTGATGTCTGACTCAATGTTTGCAGTGGGCCAACTTGGTTCAAAAACACAGTCACACCAACCGGTCAGGTGACGGCGAGTATGCGGCAAGTCGTCAGGCGACGGAAGGACAAATCGACAGCGATGTAACTGGTGGAAACAGATGCTGCGGTGGTGCTGCAGTTGTGAGGTGCTATACCTCTATGACTGGAATGATGTAGAATGCACCCCTGGCCAAATGGTGAATGGGATGGTTGATGGCGTTGGGTTTGCCACATTTTTTTTTGTAGATTCATTGATCTTTCATCGCGGTCGAAGATGCGCACGAGAATGTGGACTTTTGTTTGTAGCTTGTTGGAATATGAAGTCAGGCTGGAAACATGTGCCAACAGTTCCAAAGGTTATGGAACATCACAAGCTGCATGTCCTGCCTTTGACTCTTAGCTGTTTCTTGCTCATATTTTTTGCGGCTATGGCGTTAGCTGCAGGCGGGTGCGATGAACACTGCCACAAGTGGCCACATGGTCACTGATGGCAGGGGCTTTCCCATGATATCATTGGGCTTTGGGCTTCCAGGAGTGTGCCCGTTTGAATTACAGCCCGAGGGTTGGTTAAGAGTCCGAAAGCTTGAGGCCCAGGGTCCTTCAAATTTTAATTTTTAAATGCAGGCAAATTTCCACCACAATAGGTCGAGGGTCCCTCAAATTCTTAGAGCATTCTTAGTTATGTATTGCACGCATCTGCGCAATTTGGAGCGAGCTTAAACGAGGTAACGAGGTGGAGTTGGCAGATTTGACAAGAGGCACGCGAAAAAAAAATAGGGCCATATAGAGCCTGATTTTTTTTTGCAAAGCCGGGCTTTTCTGAGTTTCAAAGAGTAGCGCGGAAAAATAATAGAGCCTGAAAAAATATGTTTTTTTTGAAAAGCCGGGCTTGTCTGAGTTTCACAAGAGCAGTGCGGAAAAAAACATTTTTTTAGAGCCTGAAAAATTGCTTTTTTGAAAAGCCGGGCTTCTCTGAGCTTCACAAGAGCAGTGCGGAAAGAACAATTTTCTAGAGCCTGAAAAAAATATGTTTTTTTGCAAAGCCCGGCTTCTCTGAGTTTCATATCATAAGAGCAATGCAGAAAACACAATTTTTTAGAGCCTGAAAACTTGTTTTTTCGCAGCTGCAACTTGGCTGCAACCCAGGCTAAACCCAGCCCTTTGCAGCCAGGGCAAAGAGAGAGAGAGAGAGAGAGAATGAGAAGGCGAAATGCCTTAAAAGGCAAGGTTCCTGTAGCATAATGGTCAAATCCCGGTGCCGCACTCTTTGGGCATCTAAAAGCGTCTGTCAATATGTCGTTTTCTTGGTTTCCTGTAGCCTGCCTTTCACAATCACACCGCGCACGCAACTTGTCAGAGTCGTTGCAAGGCCCGAAAACAATGTTTCTGCAAAGCCTCAGTTTTCTTCAAGTTATTTAGGGAAAACAGTGTTTCAGGTCCCCAAGTCTATCCTCATATAGATTTTGCGTGGATTGGGAGCAGTCCAGGCATGTGCGAAGAAAACAATTTCGGAGCTTGAAAACTTGCTTTTCTGCAAAGCCTAAGTTTTCTTCAAGTTATTGGGAAAACAATGTTTCAGGTCCCCAAGTCTATCCACACATAGATTTTGCGTGGATTGGAAGCAGTCCAGGCATGTGCGAAGAAAACAATTTTTTGGAGCTTGAAAAATTGTTTTTCTGCAAAGCCCGATTTCATCCCATAAGGGGTCACACCACAAAAAAATGAACCGCAAAGGGGATTTGCAAACTTCACGTATTCCATATTAGCAGTAATGTAAGAATTTGGCAATCCTATTCCAGGGTCCGTCAAATTCTTAAAGTACTATGTGCTTGGTATAGCTGAAAATATGTAGCCCACCTTGGATTCGAGCCCCTCAAATTCTTATACAGTGAATTCTTGTACAATACTCAAGCTGTATTTCAATTGGACACTGAACACCTGCAGACGTCCTGACAGGATATATTTGCCCAAGGTCCTGCAGTAGTTCCGGTTCAGCAAGACTCAAGAGTTCTCAGCAACTCTTGCAAGTTGCTGAGCAACTCTTGAAGGACCCTCCTCTATGAAAACCCTTCTTGGGTAACTTGGGTGATAGTTAGCAGTCGTCCTGGCAGGGCCACGAGCCGTGCCCACCGCGCCCAGCACCTTTCTGGGCCGGCCCGTGGCAAGCGGTTCAAGCAGTTCCCGGTGGAAGCACCTTGGATCAAAGGTTTTTTTTTTTCAGGGAAACCAATGGAGAATGGGATTGGTTCGGGGTTGATGGAAGATACAGTAGGGTTGATCCAGTTTACCCGACCTTACTGCAAAGTAAGCGGATCAGGCTTCGATTTGCTCCAGATGTTGATGGAGAAAGACGGAGTGAGAAAGTCGGCACTTGAGTACAACTTCACAATCAAAACTCCTTCACAAGTGAGCCCACTACGACCCAGATCAGAAAGGTAGCATATAATATAAGCATGCGTATTATCTATCTATATATATATACTATATAATATATATTATATATATATATATATTGTGTGTATGTGTGTGTGTTTACACACACATACGTATATATATATATATTCATAATTATCAATAGTATATATATATATATTACATTCAAAAAACAATCAATATGTATATATATATATATATTTATTTATTTTGCTACAGCGAACATTTGCCTGCAAAAGATATCAACATCATCCCTTGGTCAGAGACTCGCAAGGCCCAGATGGCCAAGCAGCTGTGCACCAGCCGCGCTGGGAGACATAGCAGAGGTTTCGGGTCATTCTTAGACTAGGAAACAGGAATTTAACTGGGATATCATGGGGATATAAAATGATTTTGATCCAGTTTCCTGGCATCTGATCCCAGTGGTTTTTGGAAACAACTTTGACATATTGGCACAAGAAAAATTATTTTGTGTGTGTGTCTTTTCTCCGGATGTTTTGTTTTCCCCTGAAACATGGACCTCGTGACATGAAGCCGTGAGAGCAATCCAACTACGCAACAACCTGGGAACTAGATATATGGCCTCAAAGTCGTCACCTTTCAGATGTACAGATTTGATCAAATTTTCATAACATCTATATAATCCATCCAAAATTGGATTGGAACAACATGTTTGTTGATTCCATCCAGCACATGCAAATCATCATCAATTAGCTATACCACAAAGTTGTGATATGAAAAGTTGTGATATGATCTCCCCAACGCATTCCCATCATATACCATTTTTGTTTAGTCTTGTAGTCAACCATCCCACTTGAGAATCAACAAACTTGGCTGAGGCTGGTTGTGCTGGCGAGTTGGGCCTTCAGTTGTTTTCACCAGCCTGGGGATGGGTTTTCCATCATTTTTCCACCAAGAACTATACGGACGGTGGGACGGTGGGAGCCCCTGGATCGCTAAGTTAGTTTGTAACGTGTGGAACTGCACATTAGTCATGCTTATTGGGCTTACAGACCACCCCACATCGCTGGCGGGCAACACCAACTTAGCTATCGCCCACCTTGGAAGGTGCTAGTCATGGATATGGTACCAAATTTGGATGGTATCCCCAACGGTAGTAGTAACCACCTAACTAGTGCGGATAGCGATCACCAATGGAAATGGGGAATGGTAGCCACCAACAACCAAGAAGACATACGAAAAGTAGGTATTTAGGACATGATGGAAGACGGGGGATGGGTTACTGGGAATTACTGGGAACCACCAACTATTAAACACGGAAAGTATTGGAGTGATGAACAGTTTTGTTTGACTTTAGGAACGATAACTCCCAGCCAAAAAAAAAACTTATGTTTATTGCTGGGCATCTAAGAATTCAGGATTAGACATGGATATGAGATGACATTTTTGCCAGGTCATTGACGATGACGACATGAGGAATTGTTTTTTGTTTTTTAAGACATCAATAAAGCTGGGGATGATGATTAAGCAGTGGTTAGTGATTTCAAGTATATACTCTTTCATTTCATCCCATTGGGGCGGAGGCTGCTAAGCAGAGACAATGGATGGTGTCCTGCTCCACTTTCGCCTCCCTGGACAGGTTGCGCAGCTTATTTGATCTTATTTGGAGTGCCGTGGGTCATGGCATTTGGAAAGCTTTGGTTCGATGCACTGTGAGAGCTCAAGAAGCTCCGGATCTAAACAAATGTCAAAGCCCTTTAAGCATCATGAAAAAAACCCCATCAATCCTGGTCATAAGGTAGAAGACGCTAACATTGGTGACCCGCGACCTGAAGAAAACAACAGCCCTGGTGTTGTTGCTTGGGCAGAGGTCCCCTGACCACCGGTTGAAGTAAACAGTTCGCAGGTAACAAAGTTTAACAACCATGTTGATCGGGATTAATCATATTGTAACATATCACCACCCGGGCAAAGCCAATACAAACCGCAGTTATATGCTGCCATGCGCTCGCTTCGCTGTGTGCGGCCCGGGCGATGGCACCGCGGGCACCGCTGGCACCGCTGGCACGGTGCCAGTGTGGTGGGTGCCAACAGTGTCAGTGGCCCAGCTGAAAGTTGCTGCGCAGGGTGGAAGGGACAGCATTGGAACCGTTTTGAAGCCAGGAGGGTTCCAATCGGCATCAAAATTCATCAGATATTTGGGCTGAGTTAAAAACTGTGCTTCCTTGAAGACGGAAATTTCATGAACTTTGCCGGGTTGAAGAACGACGGCCTCTTTCAACTGACAAATAACGTCAATCTTGATCGCCAAAAACATGTTAACCAACCTATTGTTGGTTGGTTAAAAATGTTAAAAGGCAATATGTTGTTGCTTCAACCAGCATTTCTCGTTGTTTTTCAGCCACAGCACTAAGCCATGGCCACCAAGGTGATGTATCCAATGTATCGGACGCCATGAACTTGGTGCCTCTGTGGTTGGAAATCCACCATTTTTAGGTTTGTTTATTTGGGGATGAGTGGTGTATCGATGGATTGGGGGTTAAACATCATGAAACATAAACATGTGGGTATGGGTCAATACCTATAGATACATTTTTAGTGGGATGAACATCCATAAATCCCAGCTATTTTGGGGTTCACTAGGTACCAGGGTTTTGACCCATCCCCATGTATGGCACAGCTTGCTACAATAGTGAGCCCAGCAAACAAACCTACTAAAGTGAAATGGAGCCTCTCCTGGTCCAGGGCCTTGGAAAATTGTGGAAAAGCTGTTCTTTAATAAGGGTTTAATAAGGGATTGGTTCTTTTGGGAAAGGCTTGGGGTTTGAATTTGGCAATTGCTTTTGGAAAGGCTTGCTTTTCTTTTGGCTTCCAGAGCTGCTCTGGCACAGCTTGCTACAATAGAAAGCCCAGCAAACAAACCTACTAAAGTGAAATGGAGCCTCTCCTGGTCCAGGGCCTTGGAAAAATGTGGAAAAGCCGTTTTCTTAATAAGCTGTTCTTTAATAAGGGTTTAATAAGGGATTGGCTCCTTTGGGAAAGGCTTGGGGTTTGAATTTGGCAATTGCTTTTGGAAAAGGCTTGCTTCTCTTTTGGGCTTCCAGGAGCTGCTCTGGCACAGCTTGCTACAATAGTGAGCCCAGCAAACAAACCTACTAAAGTGAAATGGAGCCTCTTCTGGTCCAGGGCCTTGGAAAAATGTGGAAAAGCTGTTCTTTTTCTTAATAGCCGTTTTAAAAATAAATAAAGGAAAGTTGCTCCTTTGGGACAGGCCTGGGGTTGTTGAAATTTGGGCCAATTTGGCTTTTTGGAAAAAGGCTTTGCCCTTCTCTTTTTGGGGCTTTCCAGGATCTTGCTCTGGCACATCTTGCTCAATAGTGAAGCCCAGGCAAACAACCCCTACTAAAGGAAAAATGGGAGCCTCTTTCCCCTGGTCCCAGGGCCTTGGAAAAATGTGGAAAGCTTTGTTTTCTTATAAGCCGTTTTCATAAGGGGGGATTTGGCCCTCCTTTTGGGAAATTCTTTGTTGGTTTGGAATTTTTGGCAATTTGCCTTTTTGTGAAAAGGCTTGCTTCTCCTTCTGGGCCCTTTCCAGGAAGCCCTGCCCCCCCCCCCCTTCTTGGCACACAGCCTTGCCTACAATAGTGAGCCCAGCAACAAACCTACTAAGTGAAATGGAGCCTCCTTCCCCTGGGTTCCATGGCCCTTGGAAAACATTGGGGAAAAAGCTTGTTTCTTTTGACCCTTTAAAAAAGGCCGTTTTAAAAAGGGATTTGCTCCTTTGGGTAAGGCTTGGGGTTTGAATTTGGCAATTGCTTTTGGAAAAGGCTTGCTTCCCTTTTGGGCTTCCAGGAGCTGCTCTGGCACAGCTTGCTACAATAGTGAGCCCAGCAAACAAACCTACTAAAGTGAAATGGAGCCTCTCCTGGTCCAGGGCCTTGGAAAAATGTGGAAAAGCTGTTTTCTTAATAAGCGTTTAATAAGGAATTTGCTCCTTTGGGAAAGGCTTGGGGTTTGAATTTGGCAATTGCTTTTGGAAAAAAAGTCTTCCTCTCAGCAATTACAGGTTTTTTTTTTCCAAAAAAAAAATCTCCCATTTTTTTGCCACAAAAGTGAACCCTCCAAACAATACATGGGTTTCAGAATAATTTGTAGAAAAATTGCCACAATAACGAACCTAGCTACTAATCAGGAGCCAACATTATGATCATCCCCCCAAAATAAAACATGCCTGATAACTATTACCATGCTACTGGGTAGCTTCATTGTTGGGATTGAACTGCCTCGTATCATTTGGCTGGTGGTTTACAATGTTTACAAAATGAATCTTCAATTGTATTTGGGATGATGACCTTCAATCAACACTTGGGACAGGAAGACGCACCAGGAAGTGTTTAAATGGTTTTTCTGGATGATTTTGGAAGTTCCCATCTTGATGTCAACCTCACCCAAAAGTCAGATCCTCACCTTGCGTGGTCAATCAGTCCTGCAGGTGGCATCGATCCGAGATGGAAGCTTTGCTAGAGAGAAGGCACGAAACGACCATTTTTGGCATCCATTTGTTAAAACCAATCCGGAACAACCCTTCATGGTTCAAGTCTGACTGCCAACGACATTCCCAGGGCCTCATCGTTGGTGATGAAAACTACAATTGCCGAAACATTGCCAAATCATCCATGTGTGTTCAACCAATATATATATATATATCCAAAAATATGCCCAAAACCACGTTTTTGAGCTTCAGAAAACCATGGACATGTAAGTGTATGTAAATGTGTTCAACCCAAACCTGTTTTTTTTAAACATTTTTTTTTGATGTTCAGACACCCCAAAATGTCAACGGCCCATCAGGCCATTGAAGAGCTTGAAAACCTCCACCTCACCGCTAGTAGCCTCCCGGAGATGGGCGGTTGCTTCTGAGGGATGTTCAAAAAAAACATGGTTTGTAACCAAATGTAACCAAGAAAGTAAGAACATGGAAGAACATCAAGGGAGTTGCAGGGTCTGATCCTATTGAACCGGAGGGGAGTAGGAAGTGTACGGCAATCCCGTTGGTTTTTTAACCATTGGTTGCCGGATTTTTCTATGGGACTTTGGGATCTCCCCCCTCCGCCTGCAAATCCGAGGGCTACCCGAATCCCATTTCCTTTCTCAGCAGTGCTCTAGATCAAGTTTGGCTGGTTGTTTTCAACATGGTCTATTTTTAAACATGCTTGGGATGATGTTCCCAGTGACTTTCATAATTTGGGTATGGGTTGACACCACCAGATGTGGTCAGCACGCCAAAAAGAGGAGCTTACAGCTGCAGCCAAGCGCACTGGAGATCTAGGCAAGGCCCGCTGGGGTTAGACCGTCGGATCCACATGGTGACTACCCTCTGGTAATTTAATATAGAAAATTGATTAATCACCCTTTTCATAGGTAAACGGTAAATCATCGATATGACCATCAAATCCATAGCTATGTTAAATTACCAGAAGGTATGTGGGCTTGGCATGCTGCACTGGAGGTCAGTAGGCCTAGGGTGGCCCAGTGCCAAATCATGTTGAATTGCTCGAGAGTTGGGGTGACAGGTCAAACCACGGAATGCCTCAAAACTGCAGGGTTCAATACGAAACATATTGAACATTTACCACACGCGAAACATGAGTAGCAGCTTGTGGACTGTTGAGCCTCCACGCCGTTGGCAGGTCTGTGGCAACAAGTGCTAAAAGTGCTGGAGGCAGGGTGGTGCTGGAAGATTTTGGGTGCGGAAGAGGAATGCTTGGAAGCAGGGTCTATGAAAACGGTTCGTTGGTTTATAAACATATGATCAATTATGATCATAGATATGTCAATAGATAAAGCATGATAAAGCCAAGACTCTGATGGCATTGGATAGCTAAATATACCCCCTGTGAGATGCTCTCTCCACATCCACAGATTTTGCCCTTGCAGAGGGCTCTTCAGTGCAACTTTGGGCGACGCTGCGTCAGGACGCCCAACATCTACAGCTGGCACCGGACATCATCCTCTATGGAGCCGTCATGAATGGCTGCAACTTGCTCCAAACTGCCTGGCAGCACCGTGTAAAAACTCCCATCGGCCTTGGCTCCAAGGTGAGAAGAGCCACCAATGGCAGGTGGCCCTGGCAGTCTTTGAGCAAGCTCAACTGGAGGGTCTCGCTCCCAGCCTGGTTGCGGCCGGTGTGGTGCGAACCTCAGATTGAGTTCCTGCAGAAATGGGCCATGTTCCATCATGTTTATTCATTTGTTTATCATTTCTGGGAAAAAGTATGGGCACATAGCAGGATACAACCAACCATAATGAGTACATGTGGTCTGTCCAATCATGGGAGATCTTGATGATGGTAGACCGCGGACTCATGATTGGCGGGCGATTCCTCCAACCTGCGAGCCTGCATGAGTCAGCTTAGATAGCAAAAAGCATGTGCCTTCGAAAATCTCAAAAGTACAGATCATTAAGAATGAGCAAACCTGTTGGTGCAAAGCATACTTCAAAGATACTTTTGCATTTTCTACTAGCAAAAAGTTTTCCCAAGTGTCAGGAGTAATTTCAGGGTCTAGGCACCCAACATCAAAAAGATAGACCAATGATATGTGCTGTGTGATTTTTTTAAATACGTTTTTAAATGTAAGCCTCATGAATTTGATGAAATTGTCCTTGAAATCCAAGCCTTTCTTTACCTCCACCTTTACCACGGAGATTGGAGCCTTAACGACGTTGAAAACCCGGCCTATACATAATCCCATCCCGCTGATATCAAACACCCCCTGAATGGTTGTGTAAATCCCCTACTGAACCATGGTTCATAGGGGGGTGTTCTATATATTAATGTTAGTAAAGCCACCCATCCAAATGATGTTTTTGGGGATGGTGGATACTATGACTTTATCCACCTATAAAGGGTTCTTCACTATACCATTTGAATCCCAGTACTATCCCCCATTTAACCCCCATTTTGCCTACCTGGAGGTGCCTTGGAATGGGATTCTTCTAATATGTTCATCATTTTCCCATGCTTTTCCCATCGTTTCCCTCCCATCCCCCGTGGCAAGGCCCTGAGTGCCATGGGCCGTGCCTCATTGTGGCCTCGAGCTTTGGATCTCTTGGAGGAGTTGCCGCGCTGGAAGCTGCGGTGCCTGGCTCAATGGATGGTGAAAAAACATGGGAAATCCGAAGATCACATGGATGATTTGGGGGGAATTTGTTTGTAAACCCCACCAAAAAAATGAAACACCTCCTATAAAACCTCTGGTAGAAATTCCTGTTTTATCCTTTTTTCATGAACATCATCTATAAATGTGATAAAGCCAAATCCTTTTTTCATGAACATCATCTATAAATGTGGTAAAGCATCCTCGTTAAAATTTCCACTACAGAATGGGAGGAGACGTGTACCATATAAAATGCCTGGCCAGGGTTGTTTTATATGCAACTACCTCCTTGGTACCCATCATTTTGTAGAAGAACAATTTTATCGAGCATGATAGGGTTATGCCCATCATGTTGTAGAGCCTTGCTCCCCTCGTATTTTTACGAGTCATTCGAAATCAAACCATCATTTTGTAGTGACCATAGCTTTGGTGACAGATGAATCCCCGTTCGAATTTCCACTACAGAATGGGAGGCCTTGTGCCCCGTTTCAAGGCCTTGCCAGGCTTAAAATAAGATGAAAAAATGGGGTTGAAAATAAATACTATAGCCAGGACCATGACGAAACAGTAACTAGTCTGCCGAACAGGCAGTGTCCTGAACAGGGACGTTTTTTTTTTTAAATAGGAAACATATGTAGTCCAGGACTTTGTCCTTGGAGTTATATATATATATATAGTCCAGGACTCTGTCCTTGGAGTTTTGTATATATATATATACACCGTGTCTTTGGAGTTATACAAATATGCGTAGCTTAGTTCCCTAAAATAACGCACCTACCCTAGTAAAAAAAAACAAATTGCAGCTCTTGGCAACGTTTTGTGGGAACTCTTCATTTGTTGTGTTTTGGTTGCTTTTTGTTTATTATTACACACAATTAAATGATCCATAGTGATCCTAATTGACCCTAATGAACACTAAATAACATTCATTGACACTAATTGGACACTAAATGTCACTAATTGACACTCAATTGCACTACTTGCCACTAAATAAAGCTAATCGATACGAATTGACACCACTAATTGACTCTAGATGACACGATGTCACACTAATTGACACGCATATTAGATACCATGCTTACATGAGGGTCGTTGGAACTTCATGCAATAGTTGATCACAGCATGCATTTTGTAGTGAAGTGAGGCGGCCTCATCATTTTGTAGCGCGCAGTAATTGGATGGGCAGACTTTGGTACTTTAGGTGCTCGACACGAAATAAAACCCAGATATATAAGTAGTTAATACTACAGATATATATAAATATATATAAGTATTAAAAAACACATATATATATATGTAAATTGCTACAGATGTATACTAGGATGTGGTCCTTGAAAATAAATACTATAGCCAGGACCATGACGAAACAGTAACTAGTCTGCCGAACAGGCAGTGTCCTGAACAGGGACGTTTTTTTTTAAATAGGAAACATATGTAGTCCAGGACTTTGTCCTTGGAGTTATATATATATATATAGTCCAGGACTTTGTCCTTGGAGTTATGTATGTATGTATATATATATATAGACCAGGACCTTGTCCTTGGAGTTACTTATGCGTATATAGTCCAGGACTTTGTCCTTGGAGTTATGTATATTCATATAGAATCATATATATATATATAGACCAGGACTTTGTCCTTGGAGTTACATATGTATGTATATATATATATAGTCCAGGACTCTGTCCTTGGAGTTGTGTATATATATATATATATACACCGTGTCTTTGGAGTTATACAAATATGCGTAGCTTAGTTCCCTAAAATAACGCACCTACCCTAGTAAAAAACACAAATTGCAGCTCTTGGCAACGTTTTGTGGGAACTCTTCATTTGTTGTTTTTTGGTTGCTTTTTGTTTTTTTATTACACACAATTAAATGATCCATAGTGATCCTAATTGACCCTAATGAACACTAAATAACATTCATTGACACTAATTGGACACTAAATGTCACTAATTGCACTACTTGCCACTAAATAAAGCTAATCGATACGAATTGACACCACTAATTGACTCTAGATGACACGATGTCACACTAATTGACACGCATATTAGATACCATACTGGGCTTTGAGCAAAGATGATTCGAAAACAAACTGGGTGAGACTACAAAAAGACTTGGGCTTATCTTAGTCGCTTTTGCATCCGTTTTCAACATCCATAACAAAAATGCGAGTGGCTTTTTGTAGGCTCCACCTGGGTATGTGTGGGGTACCTGCAGCATCATTTTGTAGAGCTGCTTTTTGGGTTGGGCATACCTTTTTGTAGCTAGGGGACCCGTGACCCCGTATTTCATACCTACAAAACTGGTATACAGATGATAGACTCAAATAGTCGAGAAGGTTGTGAACGCATGTTGTAGAGAGTGCAGAGCTTGGGGGTGAGCAGGGGTTTGTGCAATATGCTCGCCTATACCTTGTAGCCATTTTGGATCATTTTGGACTCAGACCCTAACAAGAAGATAACGAGACCACATGCCGGTTCCACCGGGGTGCCCGACCGTGTGCCTAATCAGTGGCTGTACGGAAGATGTCACAAAGCCTGAATGGGACAAGAAGCGATGGCGTTATCGTTTCTTGGTGTAAACACAGACGGATATTCATCATCAGTATACATCAGTCAATATTCTAACACATGTCTACATCAATGCTGATTTTTTTCAAGTGCTGAGCTTTTCACGCATACGTGTGCCGTGGGAAAGATGGCAGTTGATTTTTTGTCTTTCACACAGAAAAACATATTCATCATGGTTGGTTCAATCTTTGATCAGCGCATGTGCAACTGAGTTGCTGTTTGCAAAAGAGAACGTGGTGGCAAAAAATCCCACCATCACTACTTCTGGGACACGCACCTTGTGCTGCAAATGGCTGCCAGTCAAAAACCATCAATGTATATCAATGTTGGGAATCAGACACCTTTTAGATCCTTTTAGATATTTTTAGATCCTTTTAGATCCTTTTAGACGCTTCCAGAACCATGTAGCATATTTTAGCCTGAGAATCAAGATACACTGCGTCAAGGCACGTTAGCCCAAACACACTACAAAATGGCATGTTCTTACTGAGGCACTATAAAAAGATGAAATAGCTAAGAGATGCTAAGCGCTAAGGGCACTTGTAGGTTTGGTGTTTATATGCTCTTGCCCAGGACGACTGAAACCTGGAGACCTGCTCTAGCCATCAGCCAATTTCACAAGGTTCAGAAGACAGACTCTGGGCTACAAAGACGGTGGTCAGTGATTAGTGAAGATGATGGCTAGTGGTTAATGATGGCCAGCCCAGGGTAATGTCTGGACGCATGTGAATTAAGTTGGGGCTTTGTTTGTAGGGTCGTAGGTTGAGAACAGCATTTTGTAGCAATTAATACATGTAGCATAATGTAGCAATTAATAAATGTAGCTAACCTTTTAGGATCCTGTAGGATGCTTCAAAGGCATGTGAGAAACAGTCATGCATGCAGACAGTGGATGAGAATTAGTTTGACAGCGAATGTAAGGTAACCGCTCTGGAGGCTACAAAATGCATGGACCCGGGTTCTGGTAATACAAAAAGATATCTAGTGTGGTTTTGGAATGGAAAGCTTTGAGCTCATGTTTCCATTCACCATTGATGCGATATGTTGTGGCCCGAGTAAGTGGTTGGATTTCGAAGGCTTGGTACTTGTGAGAAGCATCCTAGTTGGTTTGGCAAGCAATGTCAATGCTGTCTTCAATGCTGTCGCTTGTGCTGATTGCAGCCTGGGTTCCCATGACCATGGCAGCGCTGCCGCGGTTGAAAGATGACACGACCTGCCTGACCCCTGAAAATTTGCAGCTTGGTACTGAAGTTCATTATGCATCATTATGCCTCAACCTTGTTTTTGTATGTTTTTCTACATGTTGTTTTCCCCACCTTCTCTCTCTACAGAATGCAATCCAATAGGTGGTACAAGCCGGAAGAGCACAAAGACCTTCTTGTGCAGTGGATCAGTGAAACAGCTGATGTCATTGAAAGAACTTTGCACTGCATCGATGTCTTTGGTGCATCTGGCCGAGTGAGCAAGACTTGGGAGAGGGCCGGATACAGTGCAGAATCTTTTGACGTAAAACTTTCGCCAAGGCACGACTTGTGCTCAGAGCAAGGGTTCAAGACCCTAATGACCTTGGGGTTAAAGAACCTTAAACTGAGCATATAGGTGTCAATTTTGGATGGTTTTCACATGTTTTCACATGCTTTTATTTGAATCTTTTAGTTGACATTGAAGATGCCTATAAGTTTCTATTGGCTAGCCAGCCCTTGATGAATCTTAGGTTGTGCGATGGTGGACTTCTTGTGTGTGCTCCACCTTGCAGCCTTTTTGGGGCTGCAAGCAGCTCTGTACATAAGAGGTCAGTGGCCAACCCAGCTGGAGATCAGACCCGGTTCAAGGTAAGATTAGCTCAACGGATATGGAAGAGCTTCGTATCTAGACTGAGAAGAAAACATGTTTGGATATGTTTGGATTTCTCAGGGTTTGAGGCCTTAATTAGGTTCCATGTGTTTTGACGATCCTTGAGGAATTGCAACTTGTAAAGGTCGATCATGGGGATGTCATTTTGTAGTGGCAGGGTAGATAGTATATCCTGGCCACCCCTTTCGATTTCTAAGGCAGTCTTTGTATCCATGTTGCTGGTCGCACGACCTCAATTGTACCTGGTGATCGAGCAGCCATGTAGTTCGTGGGCCTTCAAGCAGGACTTTATGGTGGAATTGTCTACGGCCCTGAAACTGCTCCCTGGTGTCATAATGCGCTTATATGACCCAACAATACCCAACATGATTAAACTATATTTAACTATATTCAATTCAGTTCAAGGTTGGTGTCACATTGGAATATATCGGATGTATATGAACCACCGAAACCCCACATTTGATCACATTTGTAGTTTGGGTAGTTGATTATTGCGTTTTATGCGAGCAACATCGTTAAAAAAAGAAACATAATTTGTTCTCTGTTTGGCATTTTGTAGTGTTGAAGTTGTGACCCACCATTTTATAGCACTTCACACACTGTGGGTGTCCTTTTATTCCGTCCTCGGTGTCAGGTTCGTCGTGATTACATGGATGGGCCTGTTTGGCCATGACATGCACAAACCCACTCATCTCAAATCCAACCTGAGGCTGGGAAGGAGAGTGTGCTGCTTCAAAACAGGGTTACACCCTTAAAAGATCATGTTCATGGCATTCATTGGTCATGTTTTGTGGTTGCTTTTTGGCTCAGGGATGTTCAGGGTACGTCCCACTTGATTTCTCTGAAGAAATTTATCATTTTTATCAGAGATATCCAGAAAGAACGGGAATATACGGGAATTATGTTTGTTTTTGAATGTTTTTGAAACCCTGCTAGATCCATCGTAGACCTCCGGAGAGTGATGACCAGAGAAAACCGACTCATGGTGACCGAGCGTTTCCAAGAACGACAAAAAAGTCGTATCAACAAGAAGGCCTGTAGAGGGACAACCATCATGGTAAATGAAAACACACTGACATGCACTGGCAACTTGTTTGATTACATAGATAATTTGCAGATCAGATACTATATAGTGAATATGAATATACTTGTGTTAAGATTTAAGATTGTTCTACAAAATGGTTTGCCCAAGTCAGCATGCTACAAAATCATCCCAAGCCCCAAACCCTTCCAGGTATACCACAAGCGCACCAGAACAGGCTGGCAAGGCGGGAAGGATCTTGCTAGCAGTGCGTATTTTACCTTCGAATTCTGCCAAGCTCTTTTAAGAAGCTGGCAGTCCCGCGATCCATGCGATGGTGATTTGGTCACACCAGACAACACGCCAATGCCAATGGAGGCATCGCAAGGTGAGAACTCACTTGCGTCCCTCGCACCTGCCGAGGAGGATGGACCCATTGAAATTGTGATTAACAGTGACAGTGATTCCGACACACCTGTCACACCAATGCCAGAAGAGGCATCGCCAGGTGATGATTCACTGGCTTCCCCCGCACCTGCCGAGGAGGATGTAATCACTGTGCTTGACAGTGATAGTGATTTGAAACCATTGAGAGCTCAACAGGAACTCTCTGAATTGTTGCAAAGCGCCAAGGCGCACTTGTCTTAGACATCTTAAGCTTAGGGTTCTGACATAGACCATCAGTTTGCTTTTGCTTGCTAACTGACATCAAAACAGAGCCAGGGGATGAATGGAGGTTCAACCTTTGTCGGAGAATCAAAATCGACAGGGATTCCATCCAATGCCAACGATTTTCTTTTGGGCAGTCAAACAGCTAAGCCATTCCAAGCCTCACTGAGGAAAAGACTGAGGAGGAATTCCAGGCCGAGCAAATTACAACTGATGCTCGGTTTCAATCCTGTGGAGGGAATGAGGATGTCAAGGGTTTTGTACTTTTAACGATTCTATGTTCTTGTAGTGCTGCGAGGGCATAATAGCATTTTGTAGTGAAACATATTGCTTTATTTTGCAGATGGTTTAATCAAAAGGAGATCCTGCGCTTTTCATCTCAGGCGCCTCCATTGATGAACGCGCCGGGACCAGCTGCCGTGGGGGGTGCTGCTGCAGAGGCCACTGGGATTTGGATGGATTTGGAACGTTCTGCAAATTGGATGATGATAAACCATTTCCTTTGAATACCATGTGGATCCTTGTGGGTGTTGGAACCACATTTTGTAGTGATGATGATTGAACGCATCATTTCATAGGAAGATGTATAGAGCCAATCTAGATTCAATGTACATATCACCAGGATTGGCTAAATGAATCTAAATGAATCTAAATGATGCTTGTTGTTTTCTAGATTGTTCGTGATGGTGAAGTGATAATGGGGTTCATGATGGTTCATGATGGTTGGAGCATGGGGATGTGTTGTGGTCAATGAAGTGCCTAGACCTCTTCCCGCTTGCCCAGGGTCCTGGTGATGTTAAGCACGAGCCACTAGCCGATCGTGGCGATGACCCTTTGGCTGAACAAATCATTGGGGATGGATCGCTGTAGGATGTTGGAACATCATTTTGTAGTGATGATGATTGAACGCATCATTTCATAGGAAGATGTATAGAGCCAATCTAGATTCAATGTACATATCACCAGGATTGGCTAAATGAATCTAAATGAATCTAAATGATGCTTGTTGTTTTCTAGATTGTTCGTGATGGTGAAGTGATAATGGGGTTCATGATGGTTCATGATGGTTGGAGCATGGGGATGTGTTGTGGTCAATGAAGTGCCTAGACCTCTTCCCGCTTGCCCAGGGACCTGGTGATGTTAAGCACGAGCCACTAGCCGATCGTGGCGATGACCCTTTGGCTGAACAAATCATTGTGGATGGATCGTTGTAGGATGTTGGAACATCATTGTGTAGTGATGATACTTGAAAGCGTCATTTTATAGGAAAGATTGTTTCCATTCATTTGGTAAAGAATGATTTGGATTGATTTGGCTTTTTCGTTTTTGCACGTCTCCAGTAGTGTTCCAATATCCAGGACTTTCGAATACTTATTGGAGAACAATTCTCATTGAATGTGATTTAAACATATGTGAATATATTGGAATACATTAGAACATACCCATGTGTTGGAATGTTTTGGATGTTTTGGAGGGATTTGGAGGGTGCGTTCCTTCTCAGGTGCCTATGGCTGATCGACCGGATGCTCTGGAGAGGGTGCCCTTGCAGCCTGTGGAAGTTTGCTTGTTATTTTTTTTCAAAGGGCCTTTTCAGCAAATGATAGGAATTGTCTGGAAATGTACGGAAATATGCTTTGAAGAAGACACCCCTTGATCAGTTTCAATATTGATCGATCTGGTTCCATATGCTTTGCAGATCGATATGCAGCCACCAGTGGTGTTTCTGCTTTGCATCCCAGGGAGATCAAGCCTGCTGGGACATTCTGGAGCAGTACATCGATGAGTTTCAAGATGGGAACTTGTTTGGCTGGGACTTCAAGGAAGCTTTGTTGTAGAATTTACTTTTTGCTTGGCGTTGTTGGGAAGCGTTTACAAACATGATTGCGGTGGAGGTGCCATGGTGGTAGCATGAGATCGGAGTCATGTAGAGCCATGATATTTGATGAGTCATCTTATGGTCAAAAAAGGGGAAGTCCAGATTTGAGCAAAAAAAATGCACAAAAGAGCAATTTTGAATAACAACTCTTGTAAAGAAAAATCAGCCTTGCAAAACCTCGTGTTTTTGCATGATTTCTGCGATGTCATGACCAGAAGGATCCAAGAGACAGGCTCCAGGTGATATGTATAAAGTATTCTAACATAACAGGTTGTAGTGGTTCAAGTTGGGAATGCCATTTTGTAGTGGTGACTTGTTTGCCTGCCGCGGTCTGAGGAAGATGCGCCGATGCCAGCATCTGGGGAGACTGTCGAGAACACGGGTGGGACTGCCTCGGGTCACCGTGAAGGTCCACCAGCACCTGCAACAGCTCCTGGTTGGAAATTTCAGTTGTTGTGCATGAGGTTGGATATGGTTAGACAATGTTAGACATGGTTATATGGCAATATCATTCAATCTGCATGGTCTTTTTTTTCATATTTTGATCTGAGGATATCTCAAGGAATTGTTTTTGGATTGTTTCAGGTTGGGTCCTACTTATAGGTGAAGTGGACAGATTTCACGCAAGCAGCACAGATGCCATGGTGGTAGCATGAGATCGGAGTCATGTAGAGCCATGATATTTGATGAGTCATCTTATGGCCAAAAAAGGGGAAGTGCAGATTTGAGCAAAAAAATGCACAAAAGAGCAATTTTGAATAACAACTCTTGTAAAGAAAAATCAGCCTTGCAAAACCTTGTGTTTTTGCATGATTTCTGCGATGTCATGACCAGAAGGATCCAAGAGACAGGCTCCAGGTGATATGTATAAAGTATTCTAACATAACAGGTTGTAGTGGTTCAAGTTGGGAATGCCATTTTGTAGTGGTGACTTGTTTGCCTTCCGCGGTCTGAGGAAGATGCGCCGATGCCAGCATCTGCGGAGACTGTCGAGAACACGGGTGGAACTGCCTCGGGTCACCGTGAAGGCCCACCAGCACCTGCAGCAGCTCCTAGTTGGAAATTTCAGTTGTTGTGCATGAGGTTAGACAATGTTAGACATGGTTATGTATTGCAATGTCATTCAATCTGCATGGTGACGTTTCCATATTTTGATCTGAGGATATCTCAAGGAACTTGTTTTGGATTGTTTTTGGATTGTTTCAGGTTGGGTCCTACTTATAGGTGAAGTGGACAGATTTCATGCAAGAAGCAGAGATGCCATGATGGTAGCATGAGATCGGAGTCATGTAGAGCCATGATATTTGATGAGTCATCTTATGGCCAAAAAAGGGGAAGTCCAGATTTGAGCAAAAAAAATGCACAAAAGAGCAATTTTGAATAACAACTCTTGTAAAGAAAAATCAGCCTTGCAAAACCTCGTGTTTTTGGATGATTTCTGCGATGTCATGACCAGAAGGATCCAAGAGACAGGCTCCAGGTGATATGTATAAAATATTCTAACGTAACAGGTTGTAGTGGTTCAAGTTGGGAATACCATTTTGTAGTGGTGACTTGTTTGCCTTCCGCGGTCTGAGGAAGATGCGCCGATGCCAGCATCTGGGGAGACTGTCGAGAACACGGGTGGGACTGCCTCGGGTCAACGTGAAGGCCCACCAGCACCTGCAACAGCTCCTGGTTGGAAATTTCAGTTGTTGTGCATGAGGTTGGATATGGTTAGACAATGTTAGACATGGTTATATGGCAATATCATTCAATCTGCATGGTCTTTTTTTCATATTTTGATCTGAGGATATCTCAAGGAACTTGTTTTGGAATTGTTTTGGATTGTTTTTGGATTGTTTCAGGTTGGGTCCTACTTATAGGTGAAGTGGACAGATGTCAGGCAAGCAGCAGAGATGCCATGGTGGTAGCATGAGATCGGAGTCATGTAGAGCCATGATATTTGATGAGTCATCTTATGGTCAAAAAAGGGGAAGTCCAGATTTGAGCAAAAAAATGCACAAAAGAGCAATTTTGAATAACAACTCTTGTAAAGAAAAAATCAGCCTTGCAAAACCCTGTGTTTTTGCATGATTTCTGCGATGTCATGACCAGAAGGATCCAAGAGACAGGCTCCAGGTGATATGTATAAAGTATTCTAACGTAACAGGTTGTAGTGGTTCAAGTTGGGAATGCCATTTTGTAGTGGTGACTTGTTTGCCTTCCGCGGTCTGAGGAAGATGCGCCGATGCCAGCATCTGGGGAGACTGTCGAGAACACGGGTGGGACTGCCTCGGGTCAACGTGAAGGCCCACCAGCACCTGCAACAGCTCCTGGTTGGAAATTTCAGTTGTTGTGCATGAGGTTGGATATGGTTAGACAATATTAGACATGGTTATATGGCAATATCATTCAATATGCATGGTGACGTTTCCATATTTTGATCTCAGGATATCTCAAGGAATTGTTTTTGGATTGTTTCAGGTTGGGTCCTACTTATAGGTGAAGTGGACAGATTTCACGCAAGCAGCAGAGATGCCATGGTGGTAGCATGAGATCGGAGTCATGTAGAGCCATGATATTTGATGAGTCATCTTATGGTCAAAAAAGGGGAAGTCCAGATTTGAGCAAAAAAATGCACAAAAGAGCAATTTTGAATAACAACTCTTGTAAAGAAAAATCAGCCTTGCAAAACCTTGTGTTTTTGCATGATTTCTGCGATGTCATGACCAGAAGGATCCAAGAGACAGGCTCCAGGTGATATGTATAAAGTATTCTAACGTAACAGGTTGTAGTGGTTCAAGTTGGGAATGCCATTTTGTAGTGGTGACTTGTTTGCCTGCCGCGGTCTGAGGAAGATGTGCCGATGCCAGTATCTGGGGAGACCGTCAAAAAGTCCGGGGCGGAGTCTAAGAACAAGAGGGGCAAGAATCGTGACGTCCGACGAGAAGCTGCCACTTTGGAGGCTGAGAACAACCCAGGTAGGATTAGTCGAGGCCAAGAAGTACCTGCCAATGCGGAGTACACCAAGAACAACGTATCTTCCAAGGTTCCTGGTCTGATGTTTTGGCTGCGGTGCATGGTGCGTGATTGTGCATGATGTTTTCTTGATCTTCCGTAATTCTGGTATAGTTATGTATAATCCCTTCCTCCTAATACTAAACGTCCCCCTAATACTAAAAACAGGCATCCATCTCCAATTTCCGAAAATTTCAGTTTGGCCAATTTGACTTTTAATTGATCCCCTTTAAAAAACAATTCAAAAATCAACCTACCATTTGTGGGTTCTCCCCCCTAATACTAAAAACTAATTCATCCCGGGGTGTTTAGTATTAGGGAGGCTAGTTTTTAGTATTAAGGGTTTTAATTTAGTATTAGGGGTAAGCTTCGAACTGCCATTTTTGGCAATATTTTAATTGCGTTATATAAGGAAATTTAATTGATTTTGAGATCGGAAAAAATAGTTTTTAGTATTAAGGGTTTTAATTTAGTATTAGGGGTAAGCTTCGAACTGCCATTTTTGGCAATATTTTAATTGCGTTATATAAGGAAATTTAATTGATTTTGAGATCGGAAAAAATAGTTTTTAGTATTAAGGGTTTTAATTTAGTATTAGGGGTAAGCTTCGAACTGCCATTTTTGGCAATATTTTAATTGCGTTATATAAAGAAATTTAATTGATCTTGAGATCGGAAAAAATAGTTTTTAGTATTAAGGGTTTTAATTTAGTATTAGGGGTAAGCTTCGAACTGCCATTTTTGGCAATATTTTAATTGCGTTATATAAGGAAATTTAATTGATTTTGAGATCGGAAAAAATAGTTTTTAGCATTAAGGGTTTTAATTTAGTATTAGGGGTAAGCTTCGAACTGCCATTTTTGGCAATATTTTAATTGCGTTATATAAGGAAATTTAATTAATTAATTAACATGACTTCGATTTGGTTCCCTAATAATAAATACCCCCCTAATACTAAAAACTACCTGCCGTGTTTTGTATTAGGGGGGGGGGTTTAGTATTAGGAGGAAGGGATTAGTCTGATTTTATATGGTGATACGATGTTCATTTCCTGCCAAACAAAGGGGGAAGTCCAGATTTGAGCCAAAAAAATGCACAAAAGAGCATTTTTGAATAACAACTCCTGTAAAGAAAAATCAGCCTTGCAAAACCTTGTGTTTTTGGATGATTTCTGCGATGTCATGACCAGAAGGATCCAAGAGACAGGCTCCAGGTGATATGTATAAAGTATTCTAACGTAACAGGTTGTAGTGGTTCAAGTTGGGAATGCCATTTTGTAGTGGTGATTTGTTTGCCTGCCGCGGTCTGAGGAAGACACACAGCACGTGGATGGTGCGGAACATGGTCGGCAGAACTTTAGCAATGTTGCGTTGCCGCACCCTGGGGTACAGAAGCTGATGCAAGAGTATTCCAAGGTTGTCCAGCAAGATGGTCAGTTCTTGGGGATGGCAGATCTGGCTCTTCTAGCTTCGGGCAAGAATGCCCAAGTCTTGACCATCATGTGGAATGAGGATGTGGAGGGGGTGCCTCCGTTGATGCCCTTGAATAAGACTCTGGAAGACATCACTGGTGGGGCTTTGCAAGCACATGGTGGGGCAAGTCCTGATCTGAGCTTGCATAGCACTTGGGTTGTGGCATGGTGCAGTGCTTCCTATGAGAAAGTACGGTCGCAAGATTTTCATTTGCTGAACCATTGCCTACCAGCGTTTTCCAAGCTGCAATTGGACGATCTATGGGAAAATGCTTCAGAGGCTTTGAGGAGCAAGCAATCCCAACGGATTGCCAAGCTTCGCAAACAGATCTCAAAGCTGAGCGATGACTCAGATGGAGCCGTTGAGGCTTCCAGGATCGTTTGCGCATCCTTGAGAACAAACAGCGCTTCTTCAACTTGCTTCTGGACAACGGGCTTTTGCCAGTTGATGTGCCAGCTGATGGCAACTGCCAGATCTGGAGCGCGCTGACTCTCAAAGCTGGGTGCACTCTCAGAGACAATGTGATCAAAAAGGAGAAGATCAGGGAATGTCGTTGGGATGCTTGGTAGCAGGGCAACATGTGTGGAAAACCCTGGTGGTCCATGATTCTTCATCAGTTTTTTTTTATGATAATGATCCTTTGCCTTTTTGTAGTACGTCAAGTTGGGTGAAACATTTTGTTGGGACATGCATGGAACAAAAAAACAGCCACAAATTAGAGATCATCATGGCTGACGGTAAGCCATGGTTCATCTCAGGAATTGAGCCAGATGTGGAGCAGGGTTGCCATGGACAAGAACTGGCAGACACTGTTCTTGGCAGCCGGTTTGACTGATGAACTACCACCAGAAGTCGTTGCTGATGTACTTGCAACAATGCATGAACCAAGCACTCCGCCCAAGAATGCCAACAAGCGGCCCATTCCAGACAAGGATGCGCCTACTCCAGATGGGAAGGAGCCATTTCCCAAGCGAGTCAACGCATGTCGACCTGCTCCTTTTGGTCAACCCAAGGCAAAGGAGACCATCCTGAAAGCCGCAAAGCCCACGATCCAGCCAAAGCCAGATGAGACAGAGAAAGACACTCTTGAGCTTGATTCAGATGAGGATGTCAACTGTTCGAAAGTGAGGAGGGCATCCCATCGCAGAACTTGCCGCAAAAAGAGCCCGAAGCCTGCTGAAAAGAAACTCCAAGCAGTCCGATGCTACCTGTGGCAGATTGAATTGACGTGGCCTGCCTTCCAATCTTGGCACAGAAGGCAGGGGTGGGAGGTTTAACGTGACGAATGGGATTGGCAGCGGTGTGACATTTTGTATTCATGAATGTTGCTCCAGGCTTCTTGTAGTGATAACAAACGGTGGGGTATGATCCAAATCGTTTTGCTTGTTGTCCTTGCTCCGCTTGCAGGCTGGCTCCCACAAAGAAGGTCAACAAATGCACTGATGGGGGGTTCAAGACTCTGCAACTGAAGCTTCTGTCAGACCAGTCCTCGAAGTGTGCAGCTTGCAACAAGATGCTTGAGAAGTGCAAGTTCAACAGGGAAGACATGAAGGCCACGATTCAAGCTTACCTGAATGGGGACTATCAGAAAGCTTCTGAGCCAGCGCAGCCTCTTCAACCCATTCAGGACCCTGACAATGCAGAGCAGGATGCAGAGAATGAAGATGACGTGGATGATGAAAACAATCGCCAGAAAGCCATTGCGTATCTTCGAATGTGGGAGCCTGACCTGACCTTGTTGCCACTGGGCTCCTTCGGCAAGCGGGTGCCTCTTCGGTGTCGGATCTGTGTTACCAAGTCTTGGCCGCAAGGGAAGATCATTGAGCTGTCACAACTCAAGCCCAACTGCGTCGAGCACTTTGTGAAGCAACATGTTCGAGGTACCAGGCATCAGGTTCGCAAGCGTCGAGCCAAAAACGGGCATGTTGTTGTAGATCAGACCAAGTGCGAGGGTCTTTGCATCTCCAGCCAGCGGGCCAACAAACTCTACCAGTTCCGGGATGAGTTTGCGCTGTGGGCAGGGTACTGCAACTTCGAAGAGACCGCCAAGCATGAGTATGTCCAGCGAGCGAACTCTCGCGAATGGTTTGTGCGCTCGGCCAACTGCTTGAAGGACTGTGATTTGGTTGAGAGCGAGGAGTACCAGACCTGCCGGACCTGCCTGGCTCTTGGAACTTCACATGGTGTTGCTTGGTCTGTTGAAGGGCTCGTGGCACTCAGTTACACATTATGTGTGCAATCTAAACCAAATGAATAGGAATCCAACACGATGGAATCCTCAGAGAAACTACTCATAGATCTTTATATAGAAGATGGTTGTGAATAACATTTTGTAGTGGTTCAGGTTTCCATAGTTTCGAGACACGATGAAGAACACTGACAAACCATATGTATCCATATGTATCCATATGTATTTCGATAATTTAGATATATTTATTTATGATTCATAAAATGATCTTTACATATGGGTTTCAAATGTTTTATTCTTCAATGATCAATCTTTACCGATGGCTGTCACCAAATCATGAGGTGGGATGGGTATCATAATGGTATCCTAAGAGAGCCCCTTTGTAGAGAAGATAGTTGCGATTAGCATTTTGTAGTAGCTCAATGTATGGGTTTCTTTCGCAACTTGCTGCCACTGAGGTTGTGCGGCAGGTTATGAGATTCGCACGGAAGTACTATGCAGCCCAGTTCCTCAGTGCCCGACTCTTTCAACCAGAGAGAGAGGCGCAGGAGGTCAAGGAGGAGATTTGGCAGAGTCAGCTCTACAAGAGTGGTGACAAGAAGCTTCTTGAAGTGCTCGCTCTTCCTGTGAATCAACTTCAGCAATGGGTCCGACAAAGTTGGCTCAATGAAGGCCATGGGAGTGTTGAAGGCAAACGCTTCTCTGCCACCGTGGTGAAGCCCAGTTTGTCTGTGAATCCAGGAGCCATCCCCGAACAGATGGTTTCAGTCATTGGACGCTTCATGGCTGTGTTGACCAGTGAGGAGGCCGACGAGGCCGATGCTGCAAGCTTCAAGGTGGCTTGCAGCGCGTTAAGCGGTGAGCTTAACGAACATCCTCTGATCCTTGGTCTAGCTCTCCAAGCACGACGAATGATCAAGAAAAAGGCCAGAGGCATCAGCACCATGGCTGGCCGTCGTGATTCTGAAACCAGTCGGGAAGCGGCCCTGATCTCTGATGCCGGGATCACGCTTTCCCTTCATGCGGCCAACGTGTCGTTGGCCCGTGAATTCGGGTTGTCAGGGGCATCATGCCGAATCGACCTGGCAATCCTTGAGGAGAGAAGTCTGCCAAGTCCAGCCCTGGCTCTCAACTTTCCGGACAAGATGAAGAACAACTTTGTTCTGGCCGACCAAAGATTTGTCATGGTTCCAGCGAGCAACCGTTGTGCCTTGGAATATGAGGAACCATTTTTTGTAGTGATTACACTTGGTAACGCTCATTTGTATTCATTTGTATATCATTAGATTTGTAAGATTTGTGTTATGGGACCTAGGTGGCCTGAACAGAAAATTAAAACCATCACCAGCTTAAAAAGGCAACTTGATATTTTGTTTGACACATTGAGATGCCACGATGTAACCAATGTGATGGTTCATTTGTATGACCACTAGTACTGATATGTACTGGAAGTATTTTGAAAAATGATGCATCATATTTTGATCCAAGTATTGACAATTACCAAAATTTATCCACAAACATGAAATTCTAGTACTTTGAAGTTGGTACCTGTCTATTTGTAGTATGATATATCTATATATATCATGATCTGTTTCCAAGATTCCTGATACCCAAGGCCGGCTCGTCTTGGCCTTCGACTGCACATACCTGACCAAGACCCTGGCCCAAATGCAATTTGGTGGGGCCAGAGGAATGGTGGGGGGCCTCTTCTATCCAAACGATGAAGAGAACATGAGTTTCCTGAGCTTGGACGGTGACATCCAGTTTGACAAGGTGAACAAAGCTGCCACAATGTTGGATTGCCTGGTATGGGATCCATGTGCGAAGCGCAAGCATCCCCTCAGTGTCTTGGCGCTCCCCGTACAGCATTCCTTCGGTGGTGCCGGTGCCACCAATCGAGCTTGCCACTACATGCTTGAGATCGTGGGACGCATGATGGCTGCCAGTGGAGGCATAGTCAGAGCACTGGTTTTTGATGCTCATGGGTCACACCAATTCATTCGCAGAGCCTTGCATGGCCAGTTCATCCCGATGCTCGAAGAGGACCTTCGTCAGGTCCCATTTTTTAGCGAGCTTTGCTACGAGGACGTGGGCCATGGCCTGCCTCGTTGGCCGATCAGGTTGGCCAAGTGGCGCAATGAGTTTGTGTGGTGTTTCCCAGGCATCTGTACCTTGGTTCCGATGATAATGGAAAATCAGGGATCATGGTTAGTTAATGATTCTTCGCCATTCGTTTTTTAATGATAAAGAACTTTTGCCTTTTTATAGTGCAAGAAGTTGGATACAACATTTTGTTGGGGCATACCTGGAACCAAAGTAGCCACAGTTTAGAGATCATGATGGCTGATGGCTAACCGTGGTTAATGATGAGTGATAGTTGACAATGGTTATTGGATGTTATTGGATATTAATGGATGGTAATTAATGGCATCGTAATGGTCTGTGATGGTATGATTTCACGGATCATGATCCTCCACCATTTGTTTTTTTTCAATGATAACGATCCTTTGCCTTTCTGTAGTGCAAGAAGTTGGGTGCAACATTTTGTTGGGGCATACCTGGAACCAAAGTAGCCACAATTTAGAGATGTTTAGAGATCATCCAGAGATCATGAGCTGAGGCCACGCAAACAAGAACTCTGCGGGTCAAGCCACCAGCTGGCTCCGTACCATATACTGGGGCCAGTTTTGGACGGACTATACCATGGCCCGTGAGTTGCACATGCCACCAGGAGTTTTGGGAAGAGAGTCGCCGATGAGCGACAAACTCCAAGCTTTGTTCAGCAATCCATTCTTCTTAGTGAAAGAAGATGATTCTCGATTCCAGTGAAAACAGAACATGTTTGATGATAATGGATGACGATGGTGTGTAATGAGACTATTGATATCTATTGATTATTGATTATATATGGTTATATATATGGTATATTGTTTCTGTGTTTTTGTAGGTGCTAAACTTGGGAACATCTTTTTTGTAGTGCCAGACCTATGCAATGGAAAACATGTTCAAAAATTTGTCATCCGAATATGGCTACCAGGTGGGTTGATTTAGCCAGCTTTCTAAGGACGGACCACTGGAAGCTATGACTGTTCCGTGGGCTCTTCGAGGTGCTCTCATTCACAACCTTGTCATTGCTCTCAACCTCGTCCCGCTTCTACACAAGGAAGTGAGCTTGAAGTTGCGAGCAGAGCTCGGAGTCTCTGGGTTCGTGGCCCTGGACGTCTTTTCTATGTTGGCTTCCCAGACGGCAGTGAAGATGAAAGCACCTACTGGATCATGTTTCATGGCTGGGCAGACCAGCGGCAACCTACAGGCTGCATGTCTCTCGGGGGTGCTGGTGACGGTGAGCAAGGAGGAGACCTTTTGCCCCTGGACCCACGGGTCCGCGAGACTGTCAGAAATCTCCATCGAGGAGAACTTCTCCATGCTGCGACGTCAGTCGCAGAACAGCCAATTGACTGCGAGAGGCTTCTTCCAGGCAGCAGCCCGGGTATCTTTGAAGCACGATGCCTTGCTGAACCGGGAGAAACCCACCGTGTGTGTTGGTGAGAAGCCTCTGACCTCGGAGGAGTTGCTGGTTGAGAATGCTTTGTAATGCTTTGTATATTTTTGTGCACCGGTTTATTTCCATACATGAGCCACAAAAATCATTGCCTCATTAACATTCATTGATTATCATGATGAATGCTGGTGACAATTTACAGTGAATATGGTCACGTGATGCTGAGTGAAGTTTGTAGGTACTTATGGTACTTATGGTCAAGGTTGGGCATCCTTGGGTGTTTGAGATTGGCAGTGGCTTATCTTTTTGTAGTGTGTCAGCTTGTGGCCACCTTTTTGTAGTGTCAGTGTGCCCAGGTTCAAGAAGGCTTGCGAGCGAGGGTACCAGGGCGCGATCAAGCTGGCGGCCTTTTGCAGCGGCAAGACAGAGGCTGCCATCGACAACGCCTACAAAAAGTGGGCTGCAGATGGTGGAGGTGGTGCTCATGATAACGATGACATTGCTCAGGAAGAGCTTTTGGAGCAAGGGCAGGAAGTTAGCATGCCGCCCGAGAATGAGTGCGAGGCTGTGTTGACATCGGTGCTCCAGGAGTCTGGCTGGGTGGATCCTGAAGGCTGCGAGCCCGAGGTTCCCACTGCAGATGCTGATGCTGAAGCCTTCAGCAAAGTCTCCATGAAGGCAGAAGTTGAACAAATGCTGGCTGGTGGAGGTGCTGATGACACTTCGCAGAAGCTGCCATCTTCCTTGCTGGAGATCATGAATGGCACGGGGGAAAAGTTCAACGCCATGTTCCGTTTGATCGTGAAGTTGAGGTGCGGCCATGGCGGCGTTGATGCTCGGTGGGTGACGAACCACAGGAAGAGCAGAGTCGCCGGCAGAAATCTGAACTGGCATCAGTACCTAGGCTTACTGTAGTTTTTTAAGTTGGGCACAGCATTTTTGTAGCAGAGAACAGTTGAAGTATGCATCTTTTAAACCTTCAGGATCCTTGAAAGCGATGTAAGAAACAATAATAATTCAATATAATTCAAACATATTCAAACAATTAGACAGAAATGGAATGAATCACACCCTTTTGGGCCAAGATAAACAATATTGTTTGCATTTTTCACTGACCCGATTTCGTAGCAAAACTGTGGACTTGGACGCTACCGATTTACCAGATTCATAATGGTTTTTTGTAGTGCACCAGATTGCGCCAAACATTTTGTAAGGACATGTGTGGTTCCCAGGGTCTTTGCAGCGCTGCCAGGTATAACGAGATGCGCATAGCCCAGGCAAAGTCAGAGGCAGAGACCCCTGAGTACAGATCAAGGGCAGCAAGGCTGACCAAATGGCGTGAGCTCGTGGTTCAGGCTCAGCGAGACCTTGAATTACCAGCAGCAGCTCCGGAGAGGATCATGTTTCTCGGATTTTGCCAGTGGGTTGCTATATGGTTAACGTATGGTTCATTTATGTATGTTAAATCTGCTTGATGATTGTATATTTATATATATACATATACATCTATATAATAAATATATGCATTTAAATTTAAATATCTATGCGTTATTGTTTGAATTTATTTGGCGTTTCTACTACCGGTGGGTTTCTAATGATATGGGGCATATTCATGCTTCTGGTGCCAACCTCATTTTGTAGTAGGTTCAATTTGGTACATTCATTTTGTATCGTTTGAGTTGTTAGTTGGTATCAGTTTTTGGCATCAAAAAACCGAAGACCAACTCAACCAGACCAATAGATACCAAAAGGGGATCCCCTGGACTGGAGTTTTTGGATGTTTGTTTGATGCATTTTGATATATAGACCGTTTTAGTTTAATGTAGTTCATGAGCCTAGCTGGAAACTACATGAAAATATCATTTTGTAATAACATTGGTTGGATACAAGCATTTTATAGTTCACACAATTCAACCAATTCCAATAATATAACAATTAATCATAAAACATCGTACAGCCATTATCACCATATAACCAATATGACCATATATAATCAGATATACCATCACTTTTTTCTACTTTGGCTGCCAATGAGTAATCTGAGCCACAGACAAGGCCTGGTCATATCGTGCTGTTCCAACTCCCAGAGACCCAAGAGCACAGCGGCATCGAATTGGGAATGGTGCTGTCTGTGTGGAAGGGAGTCAAGAATCCACGGTTGTTTGCGGGTGAGACCCACGTCAACAGCTGTGTTGCATTCAGAGCGGTGGCTTTGGAGATGGTCGATCAGGAGAACAATGCAGAGTGGTGGTGCTCGTCCACTAGTGTGGCGTGGGTTGTTCGGCTGGAATCCTTGGTTTGCATCCTGGATTGCGACAGCTGTGCCTTGCTGCAAGTGGAGAAGGATTTATTTGGATTTATTTGGCACATTTTCTAACATTCTATCCGACGTATATTCATATTCTGACATTCTATAGTCTTTGACAAATCTTCTGACATTTTGTAGTCCGATAGGTTGGTGCCACCATTTTCTACACACGGGTCGGTATATATGGGATACAAATCAGATTTGGTGCAGCATTGGCACCTGTCCAATCTATCCAAGGTGAGCAACCAAGCGATGGATATGGACGAGTCAAGCTGCGCCTGACCCAGGAATCCACTGCTGTTCTCGAAAAGGCTGTTACTTTGACCCGTTGGAAGGTGCAAGCCACAATGTCTCGGGGATCAAAAACAGAGAGCAAACCCACGGAGAAGAAGGAGAAAAAGGCTGGGCCCAAAGCCAAGCCAGTCGACCTTCATGTCAAGAAGCCCAAGGTCGCAGCCAAGCCATCGAAGCCATCCGTTCCAGTTGAAGAGCACAGTGACAAGAGCATCCGGCGCACAAATGCAGGTCGTGCTGTGATCAGGGAGCTCCTTGACGATTTGAAGGCGTTGGACAGTGAGGCCTTTCCACAGGCCCCAGCTTTCGATGATGAGGGCCGCTGTCGCATGAAGTTTGAGGGTGCTGAGTCCATCAAATGGCAGGAATTGGCTGACATTGCTCCAGCGGCCTTTGAGACAATGTACCTTTAATACACTAGTGGTTTTGGATGGTTGTTTGATGCCAAATACATCCAAATACTCTGTTTGGCATTTTGTAGTGCTGAAGTTGTGACCCACCATTTTATAGCACCTCACAGTCAATGTGGTCCTCACAATAGCATACAATCATTATCACCATTAATATTCATTGATTGTAACATATTGTAACCATATATAGACCCATTTAACCTCATATAACAATAACACCATAAACATCAATCATATAACCTTATAACCATATAAATCCATATAAACATGTTCTTGGGTAGTTGATTATTGCGTGTTATGCGAGAAACATCCTTCAAAAAAATCATCAGTTCTCCGTTTAGCATTTTGTAGTGTTGAAGTTGTAACCCACCATTTTATAGCACTTCACGCACTGTCAGCTAAGGTATAAGCATGCTTCGTCAGGTGCGGGCTATGGCAAGGCAGTGTGGCGCCACATCACCTCCGTGAGGACCAGCTTGGGGGGCAGTGAGCCAAAGCGTCAGCCTTGGCTCAGGCTCGTGAAAGATTTGTCTGACTTCCTGAAGGCAAACAATAACGGCCAGGGCACAAATTGAGTCCAACTTTTGATTTTGATTGGGGAGTTTTGGTGGTTCTTGGCTGTCCAGGACAGTGGTTTCCAATGATTTTTGAATATTTTTGATTGATTGCTCATGGTTTTCCAATGGTTGAGTGTTATCTAGAGTCATTTCGATAACCTGTTTTGTTTGTTTAGAATCGTTTAGCCATTGCAACCAAGACTCCAATGTTTCGCTTCTGGTTCAGCCAGAATGTCCAAGATGGACAAACAGCCATAGGCTTCACGAAGCCTGTTTGTCGTCTGTTTGTTTGGCATGAACGTAATGTCGACGTCGCACCCGTCGACAATATTCGACAATTAGTTTGCAAGATAGGTTAGAGTTCAAGATGAACCAGCCAACAGAATTGTATCCAAACCATTCCAAACATTTCCAAACCTTTTTGTATCAGCTTGGCAATCCAACACTCAACCCAACATGGTTCCCACAAATGTATACAAATGTATACAAATGTATACAAATGTCAAATTAATAAAGTGAGAAATGAATAGAGATGACCTTTGTTGGCTGCAATTGCTGGCCTTTGAGTGTTTATTTGTGTCGGCGCCTTAGTGCATAGCCATGCTATGCTAGGGAAGCAAGAGCCTATGACGCCATAGTGGCAACTGGCTCGACTGAAAAGATCTGGAAAGATCTGGAAAGGAGAAAAAAAACAGTTCAAGGCTGTTTCCTCTTTTTGTAGTGGCACGTGTTGGGCAACACAATGTTGTATGGCAGTTGTTTGTACCCAAACCAATCCAAACCATATAATTGGGCTTAATTATGGTTACTTCAGTTTTCCTTGTTATAGTTGCGTATGTCGTGCAACAGCATGTTGTAGAGGGGTTTGGTAGCTTGTGGCATGAAGTGACATTGCGACACTTTGAGCCTCCTTGCGATTGCTTGATCAGCTTTGCCAATCCATGTGTGCCAATGCCAAACATGTGTAGTCAGCACATGTGCATACATGTTTTTTGTAGCACGCCATTTCAGATTCAAATCTTAGAAGCCCAGGATCCCTTTACGCAGCTTTAAGTTGCAATGCTGGATGTGATGGAAGTGATGGTGCTGGCTACTTTTGTAGCAGGCTGTTTGGTTGGAGCTGGTATCACTGCTTTGGTGCTTTGCTGTGCTCCACGACCAAGCCGCAAAGATGGCGTCCTGCAGTCAGTGTTCGTGAGCAAGACTGGTCGCGCTTTTCATCTGTATGCTACGTGCTGCCAGAGAGAAAATGATGGCAAAGTCATGACTGAGCTGAGATTGTGCAAGCACTGCTCCAAAGGAAGAGTGCATACACAATGATGATAAGTGGTAGATGAATGTACATGAGCTTTGGTCAAAACCATCACTACAAAATTTCCATCACTACAAAATGCGATCGGCAAAATGGTGCTCATCTGCTAGCTGGCCAAGACAGCACTACAGAAAGGGGTTCTCAAGGTATATGAAGGGATTTACGACATGTGGATACATCTGGATTATTCACTACTTACCCTGTAACCCTCATGTTGTAGTGTCGAACATTCGATGCGACAGGTATATGGACACTCATTTTGTAGTATGATTTTTTTTGCTTGGGCCTATCTTTTTGTAGCAACCGTGGTTGGGAACAAGCGTCTTATGTCTACAACATGGGGGCACAACCCCTCCCCCCTAATTTTAACGAGGATGGTAAAGCCAAATCCTTTTTTCATGAACATCATCTATAAATGTGGTAAAGCCAATGAAATATAAAGGAAGCCTACTGTAGGATTTGGGAATGGTTTATATAATGGTGTGTACAACCCACAATTTTAGAAATTGGGATTTTGAGGATGGTTTATGCAATCTCTCAGGGTCCGTTTCGCATGTTCTCCGAGACGAATTTTGTCCCAGATCTGGGCAGGTGCACATGTGCCCACGAGACCCCAACAAATGATGGTAGGAAGGGAACTTTTCTGATGCCCATCCAAATATGCTCCTACAGGAAAGTCGGCAATGGAAAAATGACGAAATTTCAGGCAAATTATCTATAAATTGCAGAGGTTTCCATTGCTATGTTAGATTGTCGTAGGGTATATTCCTATGGGCCTGGGGTGTCACAAGGCCAAATGTCTTTACCTACAACGCCTGCATCAGTGCGTGTGAACGAGGCACAGCACTGTTAGGGTATGTGCCGAGATGCCGAAATAAGATGAAATAAGGGAACATGAGATGTATCATGATTTTCCCTCTGGTGATTTAAGATAGCTACGGATTGTATGTCCCAGCTTTAAATGATATTATATATATACATAATTATAGGACTCTTATTAATGATATATGGATCAAGAATGGCAATTTTCCAGTTCGCAAACTGGTGGTGATTTACCGTCTGCTGGTATCGCATCCCATCAAGCAGCGTCCTTGGAGCATACGTCAGGTCAGCAGTGGGAAAAAGCCTTAGACCTCTTGAAGAACATGAACGATGCTGGTTTGCAACTGATACCCTTGGGGTTTTATCCGGATATACAACCCACTGGACATGGTGAAAAAGAGTGCATATTGTTTCTGGCATGGATATTACCCTCTGATAATCAATGCAACATTAATGGAATATATGATATAAGATGATATAACATATATGACTTAACTAAGCCACTATTGGGTAATCCAGCATGACTAGCTGGGAAGTCCCCGAAGTAATTGGAGGTAATGGGAAATCATGGGACTCAATGCGGGGGTTGTCCAGTGCTGTAGGCCAGATACTGGATCCATTTTTGGAAACCTTTGATATCCTTGGGGAATACTGCAAATGCATAGGAACTAAAAATTTTAAATCCTAGCTCCTGGGATGAACATGGGCCCAGCAATGAAAGCGACAGACGCAGCCCCTTAGTTCGGTTGGCCATGGCGGTTGTGAAGTTTGGAGGGCACTGCGCATTGGAATGTGAACATGAATGAACATGACCATGTTTGCTCATATCGCAGGAGTATTGGAGAGCTGTACAGCGATGGCTAGTACAGCCAGGTGATCTCAAAATCATAGAGAGAAGACACCGGCTGGACTTGACAAGAACGATGACCCCAGGTCACTGACAGGATTCAGGAAATTGGAAGCCACCAGCCCACCATAAAAGCGCCAGGTGTGTCCCCCGCGCCCTGAACGGAACCCCTTAAAGAGTCTAAGGGCGACGCGAAGCCGGACATTGTGTCCTTCAACGCCGTGACCTGGCAGAAGCTCCGCAAACGAGAAACGTGCTGAAGCGGTTGCTTTGAGGCCATGAATGCTTGCCAAAAGGCCGAAGAATGGCGAGTTGCTTTGCAAGTCTTTGACTCCATCACTGACGCTTCTCCGACCGATGCTTGACTGAACATTGGTGATTTTTGGGGGAATGAGTCGGGGAGCTTGATTTTGTGAGCAGACAAATTTATATTCATAGTCTTCACATTTTGTCTTCACTATTTTGCTGCGTTGAGATGCGGGCATTGATTTGCAAACTCGGAAGGCCATGGAATACCTCGGAAAACGTGTGGTTCATCTTGGCCTGAAAGTTGATCCTGTTGATCCATGCCAACCAGGAGATCACTTACAACATCCTCATCAATGCGTCGCAGAAAGCTTCGAACTGGCGCCTTGGGCACTGCAAGTGATGGGGTCTGATTCTGTGCAGGCGCCAACTAAAACGTGCATTTTGTTTGATGATCTTTATTCTTGCTGTTCGTTCATGTGTGGCTGTACGAATTGATGTTCTTAGCAGCTAGTTTTCCAGGAAACTTATGTGAATTTTTCTAAATATATATTTTGGCGTTGCAATCCTGCAAAGCGCACTGTTCTACATTGACATACATTGACCAATGCGACCAAATGTAGAAGACGCTGAGGAGATTGGTGGATTCCATTGATTTCGGGGAAATTTGGGACAGAGCATCTCACGACAAAACTTGAACACTACCCCAGCTTTGCATTTTTTTTGCATGGGAAAACCCTTCCCACAAGCATTGGATTTCTCAATTATTTTAGGAGAGCCAGAATAATCACATCAGCGCATAGAGGTCCATGGTGGGTAATTATAGATGGATGTGCCTCAAAATTGCGCTACAAGCAAATCATCCAAAATTTCCACAGTAGATGACGATAGAACATTATTGAAAGCCATGCGTTCAGGCTCCCTGCAATTCTTCATAGAAATCTTGGGGGAGAACCAAAGGTACCCCGCCAACCCAGGGTGAGAGCCTTGGAGTGCTTGGAGGAGATGAGATGTAAGCACTTGGCCTCTCGGTGCCAGCGAAGCCGACTTTGCACAAGAATTTGCCAAGATTATATATATATATATATCTTCACATGTTCAAAAATACTATATAATTACCCTCTGGTTATTTAACATAGCCATGGAAAATGGCCCATTTATAGATGGTTTACCTATTAAAAATTGTGATTTTCCATGGCTATGTTAAAAAACCAGAGGGTAGAACTAATAGTTATTATTGAATCATAGTTGTCAGGATTTCCCAGGTGCATCAATGCTTTTTACGACATATTAACAGTTTGTTTCCGACATGTGCATCGTTAGCAGTGTATCGTTAGGTCCCTACTACGGCCTCTCACGCCATGGCGATGAAGGCATGTTTGCGAGGACCTGTGGGGTCTGAACATGTGATCCCAATATACACAAAGCGTGATAGCTGATCCACGTGCATACAACATACAAAAAGGCACGCCCTTGGGCAGTGAGTATTTGCAGAAAGCAGTGCATGGCATGATGTGATGACAGCAGTAGGGAGTCAAGACATTTGGACTCCATTTGGAAAATGATGTTCCTCTTGGGTTTAACATTGTTTCCCATTCTTCCCTTCCTTTTTTGTTCCATGTTCAATTTCAGGCGGCTTGATATCCCTCCCCCACATTTGTTTGCCAAAAAATGAAGCCAACTGACATGCCGCTTTCAACGGGTAATTTTCATAGGGAACCTAACCGTATTTAACCGTGGATTATAAGCATCGATATAAAATTTGGAGGTGTTTCGGTGTTTCCCTTTTTTTCAGACAAACCCACAATAACCCACATATTGACCAACAGTGGCAACAGGAAGTTCCTGGTCAAGCGCCCTGCAGCTCTACCAGAAGCTGCCTTCGCATGAGAAGGTTCCTTGGCTCTCCCCCTTTATTCGGGGGGATGGTCATGCCATCGGGGGTTGAGATACCCATTGTGAGGAATCTCTAAACGATATGGGGATGGGTCAAAACCCTGGTACCTAGTGAACCCCAAAATAGCTGGTAAATGGATGTTCATCCCACTAAAAATGTATCTATAGGTATTGACCCATACCCATATGGCAATAATATAGATTCTCATATATTCTGATGGTTATATGGCAGTAATATAGATTCTCATGCTTTTTCGTTTGGTTTCTCCCGAAGCTCTTAATGATCATCCTGTCCCGCAAAAGCGACGTCAATAAAACCTCACTCGATCCATCTATATAATTAAATAATGTTTTCTTTTTTTTTCTTCAACATGTTTAAGCTTCAACCCCATAAACCGTCAACAGCCAAGCTCAGAACTATTTTTTTGGAAAATAGATGGCACGGAGAATTGGCATAGAATGTTATAGATAAAACATAATTTGTCATGACTTGTCAGAAAAAGAAACATGGAGACAGAGGATACAATTTGGTAAACTAGCACTACTATGTAACATCACCATTTTTAATGGGTAAATGAACTATTTCTAAATGGTCATGTTCAATAGCAAACTGTTAGTTTACCAGACGGTGCCCCCCAAGTATATAGTAAGTTGTGGTTTATCAACCCCGTGAACTAGTTCGTTACACCATGTTATACCTACCATAAACCAGAGAATTCAGCCACAGAAATATCATACCCTTTGGTAAACATCCACAGTTTGCTATTGAAAATGGCCCAGTCGAAATAATTGGATTTACCCCGTAAAAATGGTGATTTTCCATGATTTTCCCATCCGTTTTCTGTATGTTTACCAGGCTATCTCAACTGGTGCAGTCTGGGGCCCTTTCCGGGGGCACCGTACGTCCCATGGAGGACGGCCCGGTGCTGCGGAGTCTGGGGATGCAGACCTTGGGCGAGGCATCCGCCTGGCCAGAAGCCTTGCAGCTCTTGCTGGGAAACCCAAAGCAGCATTGGCTCGCGAAGCCATGGCTGGTTGAGAACATCAAGAATTGTAAAAATAGATCCATGAATCACCATAATTATATATATACCTTATATAGAATCACACATATATATATATAGATATACGATGATATATGTGCATGACGGAGAGAGAGAGAGAGAGAGAGAGAGATGTGTTTGCATTTGTGTACAATATAATATATGCAGTTATATGCAAATGCATAATATACATATGTAGACAAGCAGAACAATGGATTGGATAGGATCGGATTAGATTCTGATTAGATAACTTACCTGATTTTAGTTGGATGTGAAATCTTTGAAATGATGGCAATATCATAGTAACATTGCTAGAAGATGCTAGAAGTGGTTTTGACAAGTATGATTTTACCCACTATTTCAACAGAATACCAATCCACCAGGTAGGACTGACACCAGCCGCTTGGAATAATTGTTGCTGTCCTGTGAGTTTTTAAATGAACGGAACATGTTCAGGAAAACCATGCCATTGATGGGGGTGGTTTCTTAAACAAGAACATTGTTTCAGTATCAGATGTCCTTGAACAACACGAATGATTGTTGATTTGGGTTTGCTGAAGGATATGGTTCCATCCACTGCTAATCATCATTATGTATATCATGTCCATCAAATTTTTACACCATACCAAAACACGCTTCGGATTGTTTGTTAAACACTGTATAATCAAGTGGCTGGCGGTTTCAATGATTAATAATTTCATATGTCCTACCATTTTTGGAATGATGATCACCAATGACTAGTATTTTTCAGATGGGTGGCTCAACCACCAATCATCATGCCCCACCAATCATCATGCCTTAGGCAGCCGGACAGAGACCATACGGATCAGGGATGCTTCAACGCAGCTATGAGGTGCCTCAGCATGGTTTCTGGGAGTGTTTAATATTGGGGGGATAGGATGACACACTGATTTTTGGTTACAAAATCGTGAAAGTATTGCAAACATCGGATGGCTGCGGACTTTGTGGGTCTGGCTGCTCACTGCTCGCTTTGCCAGAACCAATCCAGAACCAATGTGTTGTGTTCGCCAATGGTTTCTCCACATCGCCAATTGAATCCCAGGAATTCCACTCCAATTCAATTCCTGTTACCCTCTGCAAAATCACCATTTTTAATGGGAAAATCCACTATAAATGGCAATTTTCAATAGCTATGTTAAATTACCAGAGGGTAGTGTCTTCCAATCCCACGAAATCCCAATCTCCAGATTTTTCTGTTCGCCCAGAGTTTCACCGAACAATTCGCAAAAAACGCCTAGGGCCTTAGAAGTCTCCAACCAATGGTTGCAAGCCTTAGGGCTGTTGGAGGTCATGCAGCAGCGTGACAGGCTGCAGGCTGCGGTTGAGGGATTGGATTTTTTTTTGGACCCATGGGGATACCAACACAGTGATACCATGGGATACCAATGGGACAATGGATGATTTTGATGTTCGGTTTTATAGCTGATTTTTTGTTTTTGAACTTGATTTAGCCATTGAAACATGTGATTCAATGGGAGGCAACGACATACTCATGGGAATGCAATGGGATGCACAACCACTGTAATGTCATATTTGGGTGTGTTTGCATAAAATGGCTATCAAATAATTTTGAACATGGTGATTAGCCGATGGATGTAAGGGCACCCAACTTTCAGACAAACCCGTATTACAATGTGTGCGGTATGTACACACTACACATATACAGTATATGTATAATATATTGTATTTGTACTATATAAGCATTGGTAGTGATTAAACAATCAAGGATATGTAATAGTAATGATAGTAGTACTAGTGGCGAGGGAGTAGCACTAGTTAGTGATGGTGGTGGCAATGTTGAGAATGATAATCATAATAACGGTACTGTAACAGCTATACTTTCCGTAACATGTTGATTGTTGTTTTAAACATATGACTATTTTGAAGATGTGACATGTTACAAGTTACAGTACAAGATGGTTATATTATGTTATATTATTTGATATTAATATTATGAGTGATATTTTATCCGCGCTACGATGCCGTAGATGCTGCCTTTCTCCTCTCAGGACTCCCTGGGGTAGGCATGCCAGTTGACAGTTGAACATGGTTCAAGAGGCCTTCATCCGGTAGGACAACAGGTGAACTGTTTTTGGGATGCAAAAGCATTGGAGTTTTTGTTCAGCAGGAATTGGGATAAGTTGGGTTTGGGTTTATGTTGTGTTTATCACACTATAGTCACTATAATATACTTAGCAGCCACCCTGGAGTGAAATTGCCAAGCCACACTGTCTCGTACTGAGCTGCCACGGCAGGTGGTTCCAATGACCATGGCCATGAGCGCTTGCAAGTCTCCTGCACAGTTCCGGGTGATCCGGGTGAGGCAATGGCTGTTTCTTAAAGTTAGGGTACCCTCTGGAATTTAACATACAGTAGCTATTGAAAATGACCATTTATAGTGGATTTTCCCATTGAAAACGGTGATTTTCCATAGTTATGTAGTGTACCAGAGGGTATCCCAAACGGGGAAACCCCCATGAAAAACATATTGACCAATTGACCAAAAACTTGGACGTCGTTGAGAACAACAATGGGCGCTAAAAAAGGTGGTTTGATGACTCCCCCAAAAACTGCAACTGGGAAATGTTCTCAACTGGGAAACTAGCCCTGCAACGGAGAAGCAGACCCAGATCTGGAAGTTCACAGTGACTTGTTCAGGTCACCAGGATTAGAGCTATGAATTGCCGTTTGTGTCCATGGGCGAAAATACATGAAAATACTGCAAAAGCATATTATACTATTCTATATGCTCTATGACTCTATGCTAGCTTCATGATTGTCGCAACATCCAATCATCATAATTAAAACCATTTAAAACCTATAGATATTCGACCTCATTGTACCTTCATCCATGGAACATCATGGAACCCAATCTGCCATACTTCATATCTGAGGCGCGCCACGGAATGGGCTGCGGTCCTTTTCCTGCTGCGGGACATGATGCCCTCGCTGGGCCTTGACCTCTGGCGCTTGAAGCATCAAACATGTGGATTTAACATTATTTAACCAATACAAATAAGGGGCTACACCAACAAAATTACCGGGTTAAATATCAAACATGGAGGTAAAGCAATAGATAAATACTGATAAAGAATGTTGAAGTTTAGTAATTACTGCAATATCTTGTTACTATATAGGGAGTTGTTATAGCAACAAGTGGGGCTGTTTTTGGTCGATTTTCAAAGATTGGCTTGCCCAAAATGGCTCGGTGAAGCGCGGGGGTGTGGATATCGGTTGGGTGACATATCGTATTGCACTGTATTGCATGGGTACATGCACTTGTGTATGTTCATATTGTATTTCTATGTATTTCTGTATATCTAAAAATATGTGTGTGTAATATCTGTGTATGTATATGCACATATACATATAGTATATATATATATGTACAGTATGTATATTGTGTGTTTGGCCGTATGGGGTTATTTTTTTTTGAACACGAAGCTCGGCAAATTTCCTACGGATCACCACTAAATTTCCCCATAGAATACCGTTAGCAAAGTATTGGGCACACACTATACTGTTGTTATGGAGAAACCTCACTTTGAGACACATGCACATAATATACACATTTCTATGTGTTGCTCTTTCTTGTTGATATATATATATATATATATTATGTTTTTTTTAAATATATATATATTATATATATATTACATATATATTACATATATACTTGTACCCTATACTCACCCGTCAAAATTTTGACACGTGTCAAGTGTCAAGCCGTTAAGCCACTCCGTGAAAGTTTCCGGATGTTTCCCGCTTGCATATCATGTACCAACGACCTACCTGGCCTACCTTTACTAAAACTTAGTAATCTTAGTATTTTCCCGAGGCGGATGGGAGTACCACAAGATTCATTCATTGCATGTGCAGCCTCAAGGAACCTTCCCTACCATGCATGAGCACAGCCTTGGGGGCTTTGCTACAGGTGGTGTGAAGTGCTGAGGGTGCAGAACCTCCATTTGCGGTGTCAAAATGTTAGTTTTGTTGTTCACATTTTTTTACATTCTCATTTGGGATGTTGAGATTCAAACTCAAGCTGACTTGCAGATTTTTGGACATTGAGACTCGAAACCAGCAACCCAGTGAAATTGCGCAGATGTCATTGACTGATTGGCCACCATTGGTCTCACAAAATATGACACTCATACACTCTTTGAATACCTTGAATGAATTTTGAATGATATATATATATATAATGATCATCACCAGATTCCATGGAATGGAATTTACAGGGACCTTCCATATTTTTTCCATACAATTGGGGTTGCTTATGGGGTCCGGCCAGGCTGGCCGTTGGTCAGAGGCCTTGCAGCTGCTACAGGCCGCGAGAGATGGGGTGAGGAACCACAGACCCATGTTAACCCGAAATGGAGGCAAACCAATTTTGTGTTGATATTTCTTGAATGGGACGTGAATTACATATATATATATATGATTATATAATAATGTATATATATATATACATAATATTTTATGGATATAAGTTTACAGAAACTTCTGGCCAGACTTTGCAGTAGTTTGCACTACCCCTGCCCCACCTAGACCCATCAAAAATCCTCGGATCTTCCTGGCAGGCTTCAACCGTGTTAGCTTTAGCGTCTTGGCCAGTCACCACCTGCGGAGCAGATTCTATGGTTTTTTTTTGGGGGTTGAACGCATTGTCTCATGGGGTTGTTTATCAGGACATAAGCCTTGAACGAAACTCTGGCAATGAATCTTGGATTTCAAGGCCTATACTTGGGGTCGAACAATGTTTTGCTCACAAACTCCACAACAAGATGCAGCTTCCCCAATCAAATTGTCGTGTGCCCCTCCATGGTCATGACTGGAGTCATGGATCTGGGGATGTTTATTCGTTACACCAGAACCATCATGTTAACCTGATGTATCCAAGCCGTTGTTTGTTCTTAAATGCCTTTCTCAAAACATCTCTGGTAAATGAACCAATGAAATGGGTGAAATCCCGATGCACTTGGCTAAGGATGCAGCAGAATGCAACCGGGCCTTTAAGGACTTTGCGACGTCGCGTTCTTGGGAAGAGGCTCCCCAAGCTCAGCCAACCCCTGAGGCACACCAGTTATTAGGATGGATCAGGATGCCCATCCCAGCACCATTCTGTCATGCCTTCAGAACTCGCATGAAATTTATTGGCGACTACCCTCTGGTAAATAAACAGAGACCCTGAAAATAGCCAATTTTTAATGGAAACTAGTCTTCCAACCCCTATCTGCCAGGGTCTATGTTAATTTACCAGAGGGTATCATTGAAATCATGAAATCATTTCTGGATGATGATCAGCAGGCTTTGTTTTTCCTCTGGCTGTAACTGCCCACGTTTTTTTCAAGAAACCACCCCTGGGTTTCTTGGAAAGACATCTTGATAGACATCTTGATGGAAGAAGAAGAGGAAGCAGCAGTTTCAAGGCGAAAGTGACGGGAAAACAAAGGAAAAATCCATATTTTCACATATATTCACACACATCATATATATATATATATTTATAATGTGTGTATATACGTATGTATTTATATATAATTATAATTAATTATATATATATATATTCTATACTATATATCTATTATATAATTATAGATGCTATATTTACTATAGACTAATATCATTTTTATATACTCTATATAATATATAATTACATATATATATATATTTATATATATTTATCCTCCATCCCTCCGGAGTCACCAAACATGGCTGGAAAATCCCTCTGTAAAATGTTGATTTTGCCATGGATTTTCCCAAGAGGGGACCCCATTAAAAGATATTAAACATATACAGGATTTCCCATATGTTTCCTATGTTTGTTTGAAGAGATTTTCTCATTAGCCCCTATGTTTTGTCCTATGATTTTCCTGTGATTTTTCCCATCAAAACTCCATTAAAAGTAAGATCTTCAATATGTTTTCCTATGAAATTCCTATGATTTTCCCAATAAAACACCATTAAAAGGATAGGATTTCCCATGTTTTTCCTATGTTTTTCTCACGATTTTTCCCGCTGTTTTTTAGATTATGATTCCCATTGAAACCCTCGATCTTTCGGCGCGACCGCCAGGCGCTGGCGCTGGCAGAGCACATGCGGCAGCAAGGGCTGACCTTCACCGAAGGCGGATCGGATGAGAATTGGATGACATCGGATTTGGATGGTTCTTGAATAGTCAATGGGTATATCAAAATAGTTATTGGATAGTTATCCAAATAGTCAATGGGTATAACCATCCAAATAGTCAATAGTTATCAAATATTGGCTAGTCATACCAATTATTTGGATAGTTATTGGATGTATTTTTTTTTTGACTCCAATTATAATCATTAGGTGTACCCAATAGCCAATAGTTATTGATAACAATAGTCTATTATAGTTGATTATTGAGAATTTATAGTGATATAAGTGGAATTTGTAGTGATTTTGGACTATTGGATAATGATAATTGGTGAATTATACAGTACATGATTTGATATTTGGATATTGGATAATGATAATCTGATGAATCATAATTGATAGTCAGAAGTGATATCACTGTGATCCAATAGTCAACAATCCAGTAGTATTCCAATGTTCTATATCCAATTGCATGACATAGATACTACATTGATAGTCAATAACCTATGAACTAATAGTGATAAGTGGAATATTATATCTATATCTATATGTATATATATATATATCATGATAAATCTAATGTAATCAATACGTTATACCATTATTCACTGGACAGATAGATTTATAATGATTCCTAATGGTTCTGAATGATTCATATGGAATTAGAGATTTATTGTTTATTTTTTTAATGCAGAGGGCAAATCAATATATAAGTTTTCTATGGCTTACAGAGGCTTCATGTAGATAGTAAGGCCAAGCTGCCACCCACATCGTGTGACCAACAAGCTCAGCCACGACAGGCAACCGTATGCTGGAGGAAAGCTTGAGATCCAGGAGATTCAAATAGGGTACCCAGTTTTAATCTACCCTTTGCTATAGTTTAACACTGTTTAACATGTCATTGAACAATGAACGAAATTTTCCAGAAGGTAACCTCGAAATGGACGTTAGACATAAGTTCTTTCAGAATGATGAACAAAGAGAAGACCACCCTCCATTTTACCTGACATTTGTGGATGATTTAAGAATGAAACAACCTACAGATCTGTGGACAGCCAGGTTAAATTAGCTTCAGTCAAGTGCCTGCCTCACTTGCCAGCTGTCCGCAGGTTGCCATCAAGATTTCTACCCGATGGTTGGGCTGTTTACCAGATTTTGCGCACTCCAGCAGGGTTTCGGGTGCGTCGTGTTTTTCTCTCGTATATAGTCCTTACACAGACCCTGAATTACCTCTTCAATACCTACCCTAGTCTAAGACCAATGTGGCACCTTCTATTTGGAATATGTTGAGGATCTGATTATATATATAATTTTATATGTATGTATCGTTATCATCCATATCATACAAGCATGCATACGGACATCCATGTATACATCCACACATACATGACATAACATAACATAACATTGCATTACATTACATTACATTACACTACATTACATTACATTACATTACATACAGTTACGTACGTACGCGCATACATACATACATACATACATACATACATACATACATACATACATACATACATACATACATACATACATACATACATACATACATACATACATACATACATACATACCATACCATTCCATACCATACCATTACAATACATTACATTACATTACATACCATTACATACCATTACATACCATTACATACCATTACATACCATTACATACCATTACATACCATGACATACCATGACATACCATTACATACCATTACATACCATTACATACCATTACATACCATTACATACCATTACATACCATTACATGACATACCATTACATACCATGACATACCATGACATACCATGACATACCATGACATACCATGACATACCATGACATACCATGACGTACCATGACATACCATGACATACCATTGCATACCATTACATACCATTGCATACCATTGCATACCATTGCATACCATTGCATAACATCACAGAACATCACAGAACATCACATAACATTACAGAACATTACAGAACATTACAGAAAATTACAGAACATTACAGAACATTACATAACATTGCAGAACATTGCAGAACATTGCAGAACATTGCGCAACATTACACAACATTACACAACATTACACTACACAACATTACACAACATTACACAACATTACACAACACTACACAACACTACATAAGACTACATAGCACTACATGACATTACATGACATTACATAGCATTACATGACATTACATTACGTTACATTACGCTACATTACGTTGCATACATACATACATACATACATACATACATACATACATACATACATACATACATACATACATACATACATACATACATACATACATACATAGAGATATATAGATATATAGATATATACATATATATATAGATATAGATATATAGATATATAGATATATAGATATATAGATGCATACCTGGAGTCTCCACTACCCTTCGTTTTTTGGATCGTTTGCAAAACACCCGTTTATATTGGGGTACGTTTGATACGTTTTGGGGTCGTTTCATGAAAAAAAGGCCTTGTATCTTCCAAGCATGTGCTGGCTGTATACTAAGCATTACTAAACCAAATCATGTGAACGCTTTGTGCTTGTCCTGCCTGATGTTGGATCAGGCACCTCACACATCATCTCAGGCCCAGGCGTATGACTCGTATGACTGAAACTTCTTGGCACAACAACTTTGGATCCTCGATTTCTGTCGAGATATGAAACCTTTGCCCGCTTTTTACAATGAGCTGCGGGGGCAAACATTTGTACATTGCGACACTTCTGAAGAATACACACGGGGATTGAGCACATCCACTCGCCCTGACCTTGTGGTGCCAACTGCTGACACAGTTTTGACAGATGGACGGACGAACGGTGAAAAAAAGGTACGATGTCCTTTGGTTCGGACGGGTCCAAACTGGACGGATATTTCCGTACTTTGGACGCTTTTTTCCGTACTTTCGGACGCCGTCCGGACGGCCCTCGGCACAAAAAAAGTACGTTTGAAGTTTGAACTTTGCATGTTTGCATTGTCTGGGCAAATCTTCCCAGGAATATTTGTCACCAAAATTGAGCAATGCACCCGCATGTCCGCAACTGAGTGTTGAGACCTACCCTCATGCGTGCAAAAATGAAAGAGCAAAGCGCGCCCAAGAATCAAAGCAAGGAAGATCGAAACCGTGGCATCAAACATAAACGAGAACCAATGCTTTGGAAATCTTTTCTCCTGCGCCTTCAATCATCCAAAACCAAAATAACACCTGCAACAATGAGTTTCAAGTTGGCAATGTGGCGCATTTCTTGATTTTCCGCAGCTTCAGCCCACCTCCATGAGTGACCATCACCAACATGCAAGAAACAGTACTTAATTTCAAAACCAGTACTTTCGGAAAAACATGTTTTTTTTCTTGAAAGACCCCAAAAATAAAGGGTCGTTGGAGAGTCAAGGTAGATACATAGATACATAGATATACAGATACATAGATACATAGATAGATAGATAGATAAATATACAGATACATATACATAGATACATAGATAGATAGAAAAATACGTATACATACATGTATATACTGTATATCTAACATCATCCACCTCCAAAATCCTCCAACTCCATTTTAGCAGAACACGATGCCACCAGGAGGCTGGCCCGGCCGCCGCCTCCACCCCGGAAGGAGGCGCGTTTCAGTTGCCAGGTCCAGTCGTGAAATCCGACCTTTTAATGGTGTCTTCATGGGAAGACCATAGGAAAATAGAGGAAAACTATGAGAAATCCATAGAAATCCCTTATAAATGGGTGGTTTAATGGGAAAATGAATCTAGAAATGATGGATGTTCCATTGCCATGTTCGGTTACCGGACACTGTTGTTGAGGGAATCTGAAAAACCGACAAACATAGCACGTGTGTATCCAGTAATGATGTTCCGAACCATTTTCGAATTCCCCACGGTATACCCTTTGGATCTCTTGGTAAGAAGGTGAGTTTCACGTTTGGAAATTGTTTGTGTTTATTGTATTTGAGTTTCAGGGAGGTATACTGATAATGTTGATGCTGATGATGAGGATGAGGATCAGGATCGTGAGGATGAGGATGAGGATGATGAATGTGATGATGAGGGCCTCAAATAATATCAAAGAATAGGACCCCACAACGAAGAGGCCCACTTCCACCAGGTGAAGCCACGACCTGCAGGCCCACGGCCAGCGGAGGACCGGCCAAGTTACAACATGGGTTGTGTAAAAATTGGGAAATCATGGTTCTGAGATTAGATGGAACTTGTTATTAATTGGTTCTTTAAGATTTGGATTTGTTAAATTATTATGATTTTCGCAAAGTGAACTTTGGCAAATTATGGGCAAAAACGTTGGTCTCACCCAACTGGGGAAGCAACATGATAATATGTGAAAGGTTGGAGTGTAAGTCAGTGTCGGCCGCAATGAAAGGCCTTGAAAGCAGTGGGATTGGAGTTCCGACCAGTCCTTTTCATCACCGTATGCATGGATATTGACGTGGTTCAAAATAGACTGACCCCAAACCGTGAACTGCGGAACTCCGTGAATGAACGTGCGTTGCACTCTTGGGATTTCCGGAGAGTATGTTTGCTCCAGTGCTTAACTGGGATGTTTTAACGCTATTTTCACCCAAACAATTCTGTGGGCCCGTTGGTGTCTCACTTTGGGTCGGCCATTTGCTGCATCGCAGCAGGAGATTGATCCCGATGCTGAACCCCAGGCGCTGTGGCCTTGCCAAGAAAGCGAAGATCTTGCGATACATCTCCCAGAAATGGAGTTTTTAGTGAGGGATTTTCCAGCAAACCATGGCTGCCATGTTTGATTACGGAATGGACCCATCAAGACGAATGTACCCTCTGGTAATTTAACATAATTACTATGGAAAATCACCATTTATAGTGAATTTACCTATTAAAAATGGTGATTTTCCATAGTTTTCTGTATGTTTACCACGAGGTCCCACTTTCGAAATAGATGGGAAAGGATGGGATCCCAGTGATGTGATTTTTATCATTTGCTGCCAGGGATCCGCCGTGTGTTGTGGACCCAGCATACTCCCAAGTTGGTGCCACAAATTAAAGGGTTTCGGGTTCAACATACATTAAATCGCTTTTATATGGACATATGCGGCATATGCGCAAACATTGTGCATATTTTTTCCGGGCTTCACCTAGGCATGTGCAGCAACCTAGTGAGGCCATGTCATGCCGTGCCAGGCAAAGAACTATGAACTCTTGCAGTCTGGGGAACCTTGGCGTGGTGAACTCTGGAAGGTGACGCAAGATGGTTTCGAACGTTACTACATTGATCCTGTTTTGTGTGGGAAAATTACACCTTTGTGGGAAAATTGATGCAAGTTTATGTGTCACCACATCCTTTGCTGGCCATGGGGGCTATATGAAAATCCTCGCTGGTCATAGTTCTGGGTCAGGGCTACATCCGCAGAGTTTGGGATCAATGCCGTGCCGACGGAAAGCCCATCATGGAGGAGTCAGCAAAGAAAGCTCCGTCAGATCATGAGGACGGCTCAGCATGGGCTTCGTTGGGGATTGGACGGGATGAATTGATGGCTGGGATTCATCGGCTTATGGGATCAGTTTGGTGATGGGGATACCTTCCTGGGAAAAGTTTAACTGCTGTGACTTATCTTTATTGAGGTTCGGATTACCAGCCCATTACATCAGCAGTTTACTATTGACAATTGGTCAAACACGACGTGGCTGATGCCAACCCATGTCGCTGTTTTGTAGATGTTTCCAGGTTATGTTCGCACTTGTGCCAACATGCTACAACAAATGGTTGATTGGACCATTATGGGAACTGTAGCTTGACTATTCCTCATACTATAAAGGCAAATTCTGCAAGATAATTTGTGAGTTGTTGCAACCAGATCAGCAGCAACTTACCTTTCTGCTCGCAGGAGGTTCGGACCACGATTTTGCGGATGAGCAGCTTTGCAGCACCATGTTGATGCTTAAGCCACTGATGAATGACTGCTCAGACTGGATATGTTGAATCTGTATTTTCTGATGATGTTTGGTCACGGGTATGGTTGCTTGAGTTTTTTCCATGCGCAGAAACTAAAAACCGGATATGACATCGTAAACATGTTTCAACAACATAGCAATATAGTGAACATAATTGTTCATACATTCAACTCGAAACTTTCCTGCTTGCTGAGGCAAGAAGGGTATGCCAATCAGTAACATCGGAGATCTTTGTGACGTGGCACCTGCAGAAGTCGTCCGAATTCTTGCGCAGGTCTGGGTGAATGGCAACCGTACTTGTAGCGATTAGACCCCAGTGTATGGGGACCAAAAAACAATCATTATGCCCGTTTAGAACCTCAACTGCACCCACAAGTATCCCCAAGTACTTGGGATTGGTGAATTATGATGAATTATGTCGATTCAGCATGATTCAGCCAGATAGGTTTTGCCTAGTCTTTGCTTTGGGGGCAACGGAAGTTGCCCCACCTGCATGTGGACAGCTACAGCATTTTCCGTTTGGAGTTGCTAGTTTCCCCCCCTTTGGTGATGAGCGTTCTCCCATCGCGTCAAGGGATATGTGTGGATTTGTCTACAAATGAGGTACCGGTACACCCAATTCCAATGGAATATCATCATGTTCCCTAGTGCAGGAGGAAGCACTGAGTCCACTGGCAACTTGACTGCACTATCTTAGCACGCAAACAGATTAAACAGATAGTGGCTCGTCCAGTGGGATATATCCCAGTTATCAGTGGGATAAGGTGGATCCGGGAATCCACTTACAACTTATCTCTTATAACTGCGATATACCCTCTGGTGAACTAACATAGCAATGGAAAATCACCATTTTTCATGGGAAAATCATGGAAAATCCACTATTAATGGTCATTTTCAATAGCTATGTTAAATTACCAGAGGGTAACCCAAAAGTGGGATGACCAAGTATTAACCCGCCAAAAAATCCATACGGCAGCTCGGTTCTTTGAACAGCTGCCAGCTCACATACAAAGTTGGGATGCTCCCACTGCAGGACTTGTTGGGAGATTTCTCCATCAGGTCTCCAAGTGATAGATGATTATAAGATTATATGTTGCTTTATAACCCACATGAACTATAATTAGTTATTACTTGTTATTACTTGTTATTACTGCCATAACCCTAGTTGCCCTAGTTATTGGAGTCAATTATATCGCCATTTGTTTCACTATATCCACCATTGTATGTTCATCCAAGGTCAAACGTTTGACAACGGATCCAGATGAGCTTTGCTGCTCCATCTCCCAAGCGCGCTTCGTAAGTCCTGTTGTGGCGGCAGATGGCAACACCTATGAGAAGAACTTCATTCTCAGGTGGCAGCAGATCATGTATACCCTTGTTTTTGGGAGCTTTCCAACTTTAATTAATGGGGAAAGAGATAAGAGACATTTTGAAGGAAAAAAGGACGCCTGTCTTGGGGTGTCTTGGAGACTGGGTGTTCACAAAACCCTGTATATTTGAATTTGCGTTGCATATGTGCTTCAAACAGGGTTATTTTTCTGTGTGCTTTTGTTCGGGCACCCTTATGGAGTAAAGCACGCGGGACTGAGAGAACGTAGCATGGCCTTTTCTACACAAAATGTGCATTTTGTAGGATAATGCTGTGGTTTGATGCATCGACGGACTGAAACTTAGAATGTTACTCCAAAAATTGGGCCGGCATTCTAAAATTCCCCTTAAACGACATGCCAAAATCGGCATTATAAATAGTTCCATTATGTTCCACTTTTCTTTCTGGGCAGCGTTGTAAGTTTCAGTCCGTCGCTATATTATTTATTTATATATATATATATACAGTATATATGTCACGTAATTTGTACATTGTACATATATATATATATATGCCGCAGAGATGTATTTTACCCGCCTTTAGCTCTGCTGATCTCCTTGAGAAGGCGATGGAGCGGGAATATGTACAATATACATACTCATGTAATCTGTACGTACCTAGTACCTAGGCCCTACATCTACCCCCAAAAGTGGGTAAAAGTTCTAAGGCTATTGGGTAAAACACCATCTTAACGGGTCCTTGCAGGATCTATGTAAACATATATAGGAAAATGATAGAAAAATATAGGTATACTAGTATCATATATATATATATATGTATATATATATTATTCATGCATCACCTCCCCAAAGAATCGATGGCTTTAACACTTCAAACGATAGATAGATAGATAGATAGATAGATAGATAGATAGATAGACAGATAGATAGATAGATAGAGAGAGAGAGAGATAGAGAGATAGAGAGATAGATAGATAGATCGATCGATCGATCGATCGATCGATCCAAATAAGATTGATATTTATGCGTGTTACCTCAATGTTATCTATATAATGTAAGTTACAACGTACCATAGCCCGTACCATATCCAGGTGGTTCGTGATGGGTGGCCGCCGCTTGAGTCCTCTGACTGGAGCACTTTTGGAGAACGTCACGCGGTTCGACACGTCACGCAAGGAGGTCTTCAAATGGACCTCCAAGGAACCAAACTAATGTGGGTACAATGCCATAAACCAGCCATTTGGGAATGGTTTATACATGTTCATACTATCTATTTCTGTTGATTTGGGGGATAGTTGATTATTGTTTTACCCACAGTAGTGGGTTTATGGCATGATCATGGGATTCTAATGGGATTACAATGGGTTTGTAATTGTTGATCATGGAAATAAAACCCATATGCCCCATGGTGCTGGAATATTTACCAACATTTGCCCTAAAACGGAACAAAATCACCCAGTTTTGTAGGTAAATATACCAGCACCATGGTTCGCATATGGGTAATGGTTGATATCGTGAAGAATCCCATCCCCTCATATTCAACAGCCCCCAGGGTCCCCATGGTCGATGCACGGGATGAGCTATCGAAAATCAGTATTCCTGCTAGGTAAATGAACTAACTATGGATCATTTTCCATGATAGCAAACTAACATAGACCCGGGCAAGCCGGCGGCGGAAGTTTCCCAAACATAAATGACCTATAGTTCAAAGACAACCTGTCCCGACCGCGTCCTTCACTCGACAAGCGGCTTTTTTTTTCAGCGAGAGACGAAGCAAAGTCTTCACACTCCACACTTCGCACTCCACACTTCACACTGCACTCTTCGCACTCGAAACTTCACACTTCACACACTTCGCACTCGAAACTTCACACTCCACACTTCACACTTCACACTCCACACTTCACACTTCTCACTTCTCACTGCTGCCTTCACACTCCAAACCTCACACTTCACACTTCACACTGCGCTCTTCGCACTCCAAACTTAAACTTCACACTCCACACTTCACACTCCACACTTCACACTTCACAGTTCACACTTCTCACTTCCCACTGCTTCCTTCTCACTTCGCACTTCACACTCCACACTTCACAGTCCACACTTCACAGTCCACACTTCACAGTCCACACTTCACACTCCACACTTCACACTTCACACTTCACACTCCACACTTCACACTTCACACTTCACAGTCCACACTTCACACTTCACACTTCACAGTCCACACTTCACACTTCTCACTTCTCACTGCTTCCTTCACACTCCAAACTTCACACTTTCACACTTCGCACTTCACACTCCACACTTCACACTTCCCGCTTCACAGTCCACACTTCACACTTCTCACTTCTCACTGCTTCCTTCACACTCCAAACTTCACACTTCACACTTCTCACTTCGCACTTCACACTTCACAGTCCACACTTCACACTTCTCACTGCTTCCTTCACACTCCAAACTTCACACTTCTCACTTCGCACTTCACACTTCACAGTCCACACTTCACACTTCTCACTTCTCACTGCTGCCTTCACACTCCAAACCTCACACTTCACACTTCACACTCACTCTTCGCACTCCAAACTTAAACTTCACACTCCACACTTCACACTTCTCACTTCCCACTGCTTCCTTCACACTGTACACTTCACACTGCACTCTTCACACTCCACACTTCACACTGCACTCTTTGCACTCCAAACTTCACACTCCACACTTCACAGTCCACACTTCACACTTCTCACTTCTCACTGCTTCCTTCACACTCCAAACTTCACACTTCACACTGCACTCTTCACGCCCTACACTTCACACTGCACTCTTCACACTCCACACTTCATCTCATCTGAGCTCTTCTCACCTTATCCCAGCTCATCTCTTCTCATCTCGTCCCTTCTCATAATTTATCTATTAAGCTTTCATTAATCAATTCCCAGCACTACTACTAATCACTGTCGACCCCTTGATGCACCCACTCCAATACGATTTACGAAGTCCAGCTGCAACAGACAATAGTATTGCGCATGCAGCCGTGGCAAGAAGCAACCTTGACGCAGCCATTACTATGCGATCTGCAGAGACTGAGTTGCGAAACACAATAGAAATACGCGCAACTGGGTCGGAAATTGCAGCTCCAAAACCGGATCTCGACGCCAAAGCGAAAAAAAAGACGATTTTGAAGCACTTTTTAAAAGGATTTTTAAAAGAAAATCACTGGCGCCAAAATGGAGAAAATCTGCTGACAAATCACTGTCGCAGCCTTCATGCAGCCACTCCAATACGATTTACGAAGTCCAGCTGCAAAAGACAATAGTATTACGCATGCAGCCGTGGCAAGAAGCAACCTTGACGCAGCCATTACTATGCGATCTGCAAAGACTGAGTTGCAAAACACAATAGAAATACGCGCAACTGGGTCGGAAATTGCAGCTCCAAAACCGGATCTCGACGCCAGAGCGAAAAAAAGACGATTTTGAAGCACTTTTTAAAAGGATTTTTAGAAAGAAAATCACTGGCGCCAAAATGGAGAAAATCTGCTGACAAATCACTGTCGCAGCCTTCATGCAGCCACTCCAATACGATTTACGAAATCCAGCTGGAAAAGACAATGGTATTACGCATGCAGCCGCGGCACCAAGCAACCTTGACGCAGCCATTACAATGCGATCTGCAAAGACTGAGTTGCAAAACACAATAGAAATACGCGCAACTGGGTCGGAAATTGCAGCTTCAAAACCGGATCTCGACGCCAAAGCGAAAAAAAGACGATTTTGAAGCATTTTTTAAGAGGATTTTTAAAATGAAAATTATTAGCGCCAAAATGGAGAAAATCTGCTGACAAATCACTGTCGAACCCTTGATGCACCCACTCCAATACGATTTACGAAGTCCAGCTGCAAAAGACAATAGTATTGCGCATGCAGCCGTGGCAAGAAGCAACCTTGACGCAGCCATTACTATGCGATCTGCAGAGACTGAGTTGCGAAAGCACAATAGAAATACGCGCAACTGGGTCGGAAATTGCAGCTCCAAAACCGGATCTCGACGCCAGAGCGAAAAAAAGACGATTTTGAAGCACTTTTTAAAAGGATTTTTAGAAAGAAAATCACTGGCGCCAAAATGGAGAAAATCTGCTGACAAATCACTGTCGCAGCCTTCATGCAGCCACTCCAATACGATTTACGAGATCCAGCTGGAAAAGACAATGGTATTACGCATGCAGCCACAGCACGAAGCAACCTTGACGCAGCCATTAATTACAAGGCGATCTGCAGAGACTGAGTTGCAAAACACAATAGAACTACGCGCAAACACAATTGAAACCGCATTTACAATGCGGAACCGATCCGAGACCGATCCGAGAATGATCCGAGAATGATCCGAGAATGATCCGACCACACACGAGACCGTCTCGCGCCCGTCGCACCTAGTAGATCATCGAGGTTCGGGGACGGACTTTGTATGGAAAAACATAGGGTTTCGTGCATCTGCTATCTCTCAAAAACGCATTTCGTGCGAGACTTCCTTCAAAACTCCATCGGCAACTCCTCCACCAGCACCACTTGCAATCCCATTTACATTGCGGGAACGATCCTACAGTTGCAAATCACAATGGAATTCTGTCGACCGCGCATGCACGAAAAACACTTGAAACCCCATTTACAATGCGGAACCGATCCGAGACCGATCCGAGAATGATCCGAGAATGATCCGACCACACACGAGACCGTCTCGCACCCGTCGCACCGCAGAGGTAGATCATCGACGTTCGGGGACGCACTTTGTCTGGAAAAACATAGGGTTTCGTGCATCTGCTATCTCTCAAAAACGCATTTCGTGCGAGACTTCCTTCAAAACTCCATCGGCAACTCCTCCACCAGCACCACATGCAATCCCATTTACAGTGAGGGAACGATCCTAGAGTTGCAAATCACAATGGAATTCCATCGGCAACTCCTCCACCAGCACCACTTGCAATCCCATTTACAGTGAGGGAACGATCCTACAGTTGCAAATCACAATGGAATTTTGTCGACCGCACATGGACGAAACACAGTTGAAACCCCATTTACAATGCGGAACCGATCCGAGACCGATCCGAGAATGATCCGAGACCGATCCGACCACACACGAGACCGTCTCGCGCCCGTCGCACCTAGGTAGATCATCGAGGTTCGGGGACGGACTTTGTATGGAAAAACATAGGGTTTCGTGCATCTGCTATCTCTCAAAAACGCATTTCGTGCGAGACTTCCTTCAAAACTCCATCGGCAACTCATCCACCAGCACCACTTGCAATCCCATTTACATTGCGGGAACGATCCTACAGTTGCAAATCACAATGGAATTCTGTCGACCGCACATGGACGAAAAACACTTTGAAACCCCATTTACAATGCGGAACCGATCCGAGAATGATCCGAGAATATCCGACCATCCGACCACACAAACGAGACCGTCTCGCACCCGTCGCAAACCGCAGAGGTAGATCATCGAGGTTCGGGACGGACTTTGTATGGAAAAACATAGGGTTTCGTGCATCTGCTATCTCTCAAAAACGCATTTCGTGCGAGACTTCCTCCAAAACTCCATCGGCAACTCCTCCACCAGCACCACTTGCAATCCCATTTACAGTGAGGGAACGATCCTACAGTTGCAAATCACAATGGAATTCTGTCGACCGCACATGGACGAAACACAGTTGAAACCCCATTTACAATGCGGAACCGATCCGAGACCGATCCGAGAATGATCCGAGACCAATCCGACCACACACGAGACCGTCTCGCAACCGTCGCACCGCAGAGGTAGATCATCGAGGTTCGGGGACGGACTTTGAATGGAAAAACATAGGGTTTCATGCATCTGCTATCTCTCAAAAACGCATTTCGTGCGAGACTTCCTCCAAAACTGCATCGGCAACTCCTCCACCAGCACCACTTGCAATCCCATTTGCAGTGAGGGAACGATCCTACAGTTGCAAATCACAATGGAATTCTGTCGACCGCACATGGACGAAACACAGTTGAAACCCCATTTACAATGCGGAACCGATCCGAGACCGATCCGAGAATGATCCGAGACCGATCCGACCACACACGAGACCGTCTCGCAACCGTCGCACCGCAGAGGTAGATCATCGAGGTTCGGGGACGGACTTTGTATGGAAAAACATAGGGTTTCATGCATCTGCTATCTCTCAAAAACGCATTTCGTGCGAGACTTCCTTCAAAACTCCATCGGCAACTCCTCCACCAGCACCACTTGCAATCCCATTTACAGTGAGGGAACAATTTCTTTGCTAACTCTTTCTGTGACTAACTCTTTCCCTCACTAACTCTTTCTTTGACTAACTCTTTCCCTGACTAACTGTTTCTTTGCTAACTCTTTCTTTGACTACCTCATATATCCTGACTAACTCTTTCTTTGACTACCTCATATATCCTGACTAACTCTTTCTTTGACTACCTCATATATCCTGACTAACTCTTTCTTTGACTAACTCTTTCCCTCACTAACTCTTTCTTTGACTGACTCTTTCCCTCACTAACTCTTTCTTTGACTAACTCTTTCCCTCACTAACTCTTTCTTTGACTAACTCTTTCCCTGACTAACTGTTTCTTTGACTACTCTTTCTTTGACTAACTCTTTCCCTGACGAACTCTTTCTTTGCTAACTCTTTCTGTGACTAACTCTTTCCCTCACTAACTCTTTCTTTGACTAACTCTTTCCCTGACTAACTGTTTCTTTGCTAACTCTTTCTTTGACTAACTCTTTCCCTCACTAACTCTTTCTTTGACTAACTCTTTCCCTGACTAACTCTTTCTTTGACTAACTCTTTCCCTGACTAACTGTTTCTTTGACTAACTCTTTCTTTCACTAACTCTTTCTTTGACTAACTCTTTCCCTGACTAACTGTTTCTTTGCTAACTCTTTCTTTGACTAACTCTTTCCCTGACATTCTAAAAGTCCGTAACACGGAAGTTTCTCCCCCTAAACTTCCTTTGATTATATGACCAGATGGTAAAAACAGTTTTTGACTTTGCTTGAACTTGGCTACTTGAAGATGCTTGATTCCCAAGAAATCCGCGCGTTACAGTCAGTGTTGTTGTCACAAAACTGCCACACGACTTGCTGTTGCTCTCTACAACGTCCAAGGTTGTGCTCCATCCCAACCAGAACATGACATCCAAAGTGATCTCTTTCCAGGAGGACTGTTTGGTTCAAAAAAATGGGGGGTGGGATCCAACCCCCCAAAGGTGGCGCAGGGCTCACCTTGGAGGCCTTGAGGCCTTGAGTCCCCAATTCAATGGGATTAGGTCTATTTTCCCCAGTGGGATGCTGATGATTGATGGTCCATGATGATCCCCAAAAAAAGTGCGTTTTTTTCCCCAAAAATTGGCTGAAGAGGAGACGCTGGCAGAAATTCTTTCTGTTGCACCACTCCTTCTGAAAGCTGGGTGCATTGAAGCTCTTGAAAATCTGTTGCCCAGGGCAGAGAGCTTTGTCATTCTCCTCCTGAACAACGATGCATCCGCCCGAAAGAAACTACTCAGGTTGCTCAGCATTCGGACGAGGATGCCTTTACTTCCTGATTCACTTGAAGCATCTGACTCAGCAAGACAGGAGCTTCATGAGCTCCTTCAGGTCGCAGATGATCAGATAGAAGCATTGCTGTCTGGAATTCAGGAGTCAGAGCTTCGAGGCCTTCTTGCTGAAATTGAATGGAGTATGCTGGAACGTCTCCAGAAAAGCTTGAAGGCATCTTGCAATCCTTGCAAAGATTGGATCGATCAAGAAGTGGGCTACAAACGCGCCCTGTTGTTTTACAATTATTTTCGCCTTGACCTGAAACGGTTTGATGAGTATTGGCAGTTGCTGATTGAGAATTACCAACATGCTGGTGAGTCACTGCTCGTCCGGGACACAGGGGCACGTAACAGAGGGGCGAAGGCTGCAGCACTGGTCTTGGCCACATTTTCAGACAGGGTAGCAACCCCCCTGAAAGACATTGATTACCAGGTGCTTGAACATGCTCACAGACTCCTCAATAATCGTGCGGAAGCAATTGATCTTGCAAAGCGCTTCTTTAAGTACAAGATCAGGATTGCTGACCAAGTGGCTTGGCCTCCAGCGTCATCCGGACGTATATTCCTGGAATTGGCAGCTCGTCAGGGGGACGAGAAGGAACAGTTTCTTTTGCTGGTGAGGGCATATAATGTGTGTGCGTCTGATACGCTCATCCGTAGAGCTTTGCTAGAACAACTTCATTGCAAGATCTTGGAAGTGGATTCCTTCGGTGGCGGAACCGTTCGCACCACTGCAAATTCCGCGTGCAGCACTGATTCTTCCAGCCTGGAGGAGTTGTTTCTGAAGGTGAGTTTAGAGGAGGAAAGGCAGATTCCAGCGGATTTGATTAACAAGCTGACTCTGAAGGACACATATCTCCAGCGCCTCAATGGAGATTTATTGCCATGGGCACAGCAACTGGGCCATGCAGGTCGACCTGTTGATGGCGCGCGCCTGGCGGTGCTGGTGGGGCAACGTTTGGCCCGGAAGGGCGACAAGGAAAGGGCAGTGGAGGCGTTCTTTTTGGCGTTTCGGTTGGATTCTGGAAATTCTGATGCGGCCAGTGGCCTTTTGGATTTTGCAGAGTTGGTAATTGCAGCCAACCAAGCGGCAAGCCACAAGGTTGTGACTAGAGGAAGGAAGCCAGTGCCAAAGCACTTTGCTGTTGGACTGGGACTTGACAGAAAAAATCTTTACAAGCAGCGAAGGTGTGGACAGCCCAAAGTTCCGAATCTCCCTGCAGGTCCTAGCTTGGATTAGCATTTTCCCACTGGAACCATACCCAAAATGCATCCTGAACCTGAACCGGGCTACAGATGTGAAGCTGAGAGTGGAGGTGGGGAATTCAAAACAGATAGTTGAGAGTGGCAATGGGATGAAATTCCAAAGCTTCTACCTTTGTAGCCAATCAGACCTTGATGGCCACATGACTGTGCACTCAGTATGATGTCTATATCAACATGCCCCGGAAGCGTCCTCGGAGGGGCGCGGTCCAGGGTCGACAAGTCTTAATGCCAATGCGCTCGATGAAACCTGCACCAATCAAGGAGGAAAAGGTCACCCGGTGTGGGTCACCCGTTTTTGTTGAAGAAATCTCCTTGATTTGTGGAAAGACCGGATATTTTGTGGTTGTTTTTCCAGTTGTTCTTCGGAAAATCTATGGCCCCCGCATATTTAACCGGCATATACTGGCAAGAACTATGATTTTCCGGTAGATTCCCCACGAATCGATCGATTTAAAGTTCAATCTTGGTACCTCACAACACTTAAAACACAAAAATAAAAACCTTGATTAAAAACATATGTTATATATGTTCCTGGAGATCATCTGGAGATTTCTAATAAAAACGGATTGATTTAAGGATGGCTAGACTCAGCAACAAAATCATCAATCAATCCATGGAGACTCCCAATGGCATCCCCAAGGATGCGAAGATCGACCTGCACGGGCTTCCCGTTGAGGTGGCGAAGGTCGCAGTCCAGGCGCAGATCCACGAACTGTTGGGGACCTAGATGATTGATAGGTACACAAGGTGTAGGGCATATACACGTAGTACACACATATATATATATATACACGTATATATAATATATTATACTATATGTATTATTGCACTTTATTGCATTATACAGTAATATATATATAGATAGTATAACATCAACTGATATATTATATTATATTGAAATTATTTACTTATGGTATATTACATTATATTATTGATATGTGATATTCATGTATATATAATGCCTAGACCCTCCAAGTACCCGTGAAATTTATCTTGTACCACAGTTTTAATACGTTTACCAATTTTTGGGTGGTGGTTGGAGGATCTCGGTGATGGTATAGATACTTTAGATTATGTTTACTCATGTATATCATTTCCGGTTCTATATGCAGACAATAGTTTATTTAAGTTTGAATGACATTTGAACTGTATGTGCACGTGAATCTTGACTTGGGATTCAATTGAGACTATGGCTGTTTGGGCACAAGGGTGTTGACCTGCACGTGTGTTTCATCAATGAAAAGCTTGCAGCAATTGAAGAATTTGAAGACCAACAGGAAACCATTGTTTTGTCCACAAGTCAGAGAGGATTGCCGTAAATTTGATGGAACCATGTTTGGGAACCAAACATTGGAGCACAACATGAACCATGCCATGCTTGATTGATCACGAGGGATGGTCGGTTCATTCCACTGATTTCCACTGGGATAGGTGGTCCCTCTAGTGCCATGACTTTCATGGACCCCACATGGAGGTTAGTGAAAAAAAATCCACGTCATTTCTTGCTGATGGAAAAACCCATGGTTGTGGATACCCATATTTTTTGTTCAGAAACAACTCCTCTATTAGGTAAACCATTTGCAATTAGCTATGAAATTATCTATGAAATATCCAATACTATCTATATAATATTATAGGTTATCTATTAAGATGTCATAGCAATTTAGATATCCATGAAAGATATTGAAATATTATGAACATCCCCCTTGGAATATCCTCTAGGAAATGGTGACCCTGGGCGGCGCCATTTCCTTGAGAGCTGAATTTTATGGATTGCCAATCTTTGACCAAATGCATTCTTTAGAGGCGGGGTTATCATCTGGGATCACCTCTAAATTTACAATGTCCCATTCTTTAGACACCAGTTGTGTGTTTCAAAAAAAACAAAGTTCCATTTTTTGGAGCTCACTGGTTCAATGACATCAAGGGGTATGCCCTGGGGACCTCCATTTTTTAGAGCTCACTGGTTCAATGACAAGGGGTATGCGCTGGGGCCCTCCATTTTATAGAAAAAACGTGCGGAAACACTGACATATTATAAACATATAATAATATAATATCATATGTAATATCAAACAATAATTTATATAAAATATGTACAAAAATGAACACCTAATTATGTTGTATTTGTTATGTTTTTTGTCATTATTTCAGATTTTCCCAAACTCTTCTGTGCCACTGGCTCAAAGATGTTCAAAGGTGTTGAAAGGTGCTTTAGATTCTAAGAAATTCTAAGAACATATATTTCACGAGGCAAAGATTGTCTCAAACCTAGGCAGGGGATAAAAGGGCCCATACAAATCACATCAAATCACTATATACTATAGAATGGAACCCATAGGCACTGGTTGGTGTTGTTGAACGGACCATAACGGACCCAAAAACATCCAAAAACTCTAAAGAATGGAACTTTGAACGTTTTCAAGGTCGATCAAGAATATCCAGACAACTACTAAAGAATGGTATCCCCAGATACTGCAAAACAAACAAAATGTTCACATAATTTTACAACAACTCTGTCCACCATTTCCTAGAGGAAAAAAGGGGGAAAAAATGAAATGAAGCACTTTTCAAGCCAATCACCTGGTCCTCCATTTTATAGACATGCCTCTGTTTGTAGGACCCTTGGGGTTCCATTCTATAGAGATTGGGGTTCCATTCTATTGAGATTTGTTATGATATGTTAGTCTGGCCCATCCATTCTTTAGAGCTTGGGGTTCCATTCTTTAGATGTTCCACTTCTAGCCCCCGGTCCACTATAGAATGGCGCCACCCACCCTTTTTACTGTGCCAGGTAGCTCTGGAGGATCTGGTGCTGGGTGCTCCTGGCTCTCCAGCGGCGGTGGATGTGGGCGATTTGATCATCGTCACCGGGGTGGGGAACAACAGCCCAGGCGCGTTGATGGGTGGGGTGTATGATATTATACATACTGTTACATACATACATACATGACATACATGACATACATGACATACATGACATACATGACATACATGAGATACATTACATACATGACATACATGACATGCATGACATACATGGCATACATGACATACATGACATACATGACATACATGACATGCATGACATACATGACATACATGACATACATGACATACATGACATACATGACATACATGACATACATGACATGCATGACATGCATGACATGCATGACATGCATGACGTGCATGACATGCATAACATGCATAACATGCATAACATGCATTACATGCAAAACATGCAAAACATGCATTACATGCATGACATGCATAACATGCATTACATGCATTACATGCATTACATGCATTACATGCATGACATGCATGACATGCATGACATGCATGACATGCATGACATACATGGCATATATCACACACATACATACATGACATACATGACATATATGACATACATGACATACATGACATACATGACATGCATGACATGCATGACATACATGACATACATTGCATTCATTGCATACATTTCATAAATGACATATATGACATACATGACATACATGACATACATGACATAAATGACATACATTACATACATGACATACATGACATACATGACATACATGACATACATTACATGCATTACATGCATTACATGCATGACATGCATGACATACATTACATGCATTACATGCATTACATGCATGACATGCATGACATGCATGACATGCATGACATACATGGCATACATGACATATATCACATACATCACATAGGTAACATACGTAACATACATTACATACAATACATACAATACATACATTGCATACATGACATACATGACATGCATGACATGCATGACATACATGACATGCATGACACATGACATGCATGACATGCACGACATGCATTACATGCATTACATACATTACATTCATTACATGCATTACATGCAATACATGCATTACATCACTACATGCATTACATGCATCACATGCATAACATGCATAACATGCATAACATGCATCACATGCAAAACATGCATAACATGCATAAGATGCATAACATGCATAAGATGCATAACATGCATAACATGCAAAACATGCATAAGATGCATTACATGCATTACGTGCTTTACCTACATTACATACATTAAATACATTACATACATTACATACATTACATACATTACATACATTACATACATTACATACATACATTGCATACATTACATAAATTACATACATGACATACATGACATACATGACATAAATTACATACATGACATACATGACATACATGACATACATGACATAGATGACATACATGACATACATGACATCCATGACATCCATGACATGCATGACATACATGACATACATGACATACATCACATACATCACATACATCACATACATCACATACATCACATACATCACATACATCACATACATCACCTACATCACATACATCACATACATCACATACATCACATACATCACATACATGACATACATGACATACATCACATACATGACATACATCACATACATCACATACATCACATACATCACATACATCACATACATCACATACATCACATACATCACATACATCACATACATCACATACATGACATACATACATACATACATACATACATACATACATACATACATACATACATACATACATACATACATACATACATACATACATACATACATACACACACACTTACATACATACATACATACATACATACATACATACATACATACATACATACATACATACATACATACATACATACATACATACATACATACGCATGTATATATACATGTATTTATACATGCATATATATATATATATATACATATGTATGGATGGATGGATGGATGGATTTATTTGTGTACATGCACATGTTCATATGTTTTTGTGTCACCTGAAAATTTAAGCTATGATCTGATGATGAGCGTGTTTTTCTCTCTAAGAGCATGAAAGTCTGGCACGAGTTTTAGCCACTGCACAGATGTGGTGAAGTGGTGGTTGCACCTGTAAGAAATGCCTAGCTACCACACACACCCTTGGGTGTTCTACAATCTTCCACAGAAAGATTTGAGTTGGGTCATCTAAGGCCTATGTTCCAGTTCTTTGAGATGTTTTGGGTCAAGATTGACCACTTCAATATCTTCTTCCGCTCCCTTTGTGGATGTCAATGGATAGTTTGAAAACAAAATCTACCGAAAACATCCGAAAACAATTCTTTGACCACCATGTCTAGGGGTTTCCTTGACATTTTCCCATAGTTTCCCATGGTTTGATTGACATTTTCCCATCAGCCAATCGTGGGTTTTTTGACAGCCCACTTTACCCGTGGCGAATGTCCAGCTGGTCCAGGTCGCGTGGCACTGGTGCGGCCTGCTGTGATCAGTTTTTTGAGGGATGAACTCTCGATCAAGGCCTGCCAAGTAGGTGACATGAAGCTGTTGTTGATTATATTATTTAGTACCCTCTGGTAATTTAACGTAGCTATTGAAAATGACCATTAATAGTGGATTTTCCCATTAAAAATTGAGATTTTCAATAGCTATGTTAAATTACCAGAGGGTATTTAGTATTTAGTCTTTATATTTATTTAAATATATATATATAGAATTATATAGACATGTGACACGTGACATGTGTGTGTATCTCTCGGTTTATCTATTCATATTTGTATTTACATATTTTATACATGTATATATTTATATAGGTATGATTGGGATCAAGAGTGATGAACATGCCTTCTGCTGCTTCCTAATTTATTATTTTCTCACCATGGTACCGTGGCATCATCCACCCTGAGAGTGTTACCCAAAAGGTTGTGCGAAGCCAGGCCATTCCATCCGAAGTCAGTGTCTGAAGTCTCCACATGTCCTCAGACTGTGGGAAAAAAACACAAATTCATAGGAAAACGCCATATTTCATAGGAAAAACAATGGTTGTTTCCTGCAGTTTTTCCCTTAAACTTATCCATTTTTAGTGGATCAACGCCTCAAACTTCCATGGTTCCCCTTGCAGGTGCTTGAGCATCGCCGGGATGGGCCTGGACGTTTGCGGGTCCCTTCCTCTGAGCTCAGGTGGGCGAAATCATGGAAGATAAGCCCCTGGTAATTCAACATCTGGTTGGTGGTTTGGAACATGAATTTTATTGTTCCATATATTGGGAATAATCATCCCAACTGACTTTCATATTTTTCAGAGGGGTTGAAACCACAAACCAGACATAGCTATTAAAAATTGCCCATTTTATAGTTCATTTACCTATTATATAAAGATTGTGATGTCCAGTTCGCTATGTTAGTTTACCAGAGGCCATTTTTGTCCATTAAGGGAACCCATGCCCGATGGATCCCCAAATAATTTCTTGGGTATTTGGGATACGATTTAGGGGTTGCAGTAAGTCAGTAAGTAGCTTCTCAGACGGTGTAGGGATAATGGTGATTTATCATAAGTGCTAGTTGTTTTTTATATTTCACATTATTCTTCCATATTTTGCCCATAATAATGGTGGCAGAACTTATGGAAAAAATATGAAGCTTATGGGCAAATTTACGTAAGGGTAGATAATCAGAACTTCTGGAACATGTATCATAGAAATTTCTATCTCATTAATCATTGAACATGTTTTGCAAAAAGGTAAATATCATCGCTCTCAACAGACGATTTTCCGCAGCAAACGGTGAAATTACCAGAAGGCATGCTGAAAAATAGGAGATAGGCGTAGGATGGCGTAGGGGATATGACCAACATAGTGGAATTATTGCAACTATATCGGGGGTTATAAAAATTGTTTATTGGATGAGGGTGATTCTGCGTGTAACGCTGGGAACCCGGAGGCATCCGGTGGCTTCCCTCCCGCAGGAAACTTCGTGGGGTGCCACGCCCTGGCTAGCGCTGACACAAAAGTGGCACATGGCTGGAGCGCCGCTGTTCGGAGCTTTCCCCCAAGTCATGGGGTACCCCAAATCATCCAAGTCCTTAGTGACTTAGTATTGAAAACCCATGGTATATGGTGACCCCCATTTTAGGACACCTCCAGCCGGATTCTATGGCTGGGTCTCCCAGCAGCTGCACAAGAGGGTCGAGTAATACATGCCCAGAGAAAATAATGATAATGATGCAGTATGATAGAATATGTTCATAGGCATATACTGATATATGTTTTGATATATGTTTTGATATATGTTTTGATGTGTTTTGATATATGTAGAATATACATTAATGTGTGTGCATAAAAAAAACTATGTATATTGATATATACATGGCACACAGGTTGCTGTACATTGATATGCAGACACATTGCCTTTTTTAAACGTTGGAGGAAGCCACCCGTCGACAATCCGACCGCGCATCCCAGGTCTCAATCGTCGGGCTAGCCGCCAGCGGGTGGCCTGCCAAGCGGCAAAGCGAAGGCGGGCCGACATAAACCGCCTGCTGTATGCTTCATTCATACAACTGGGATGATATATGCAGATGGGATTATATGTTATGTATGTATATATATATACATAACATATGTATATATATATATAAGACTGGGTTGCATTTAGAACTTGGTTATATGTGTTCTAAGGATATGCAAACTTGGCCCTTCGGTTTCGCCGTTGGATCCCAAGGGACCCTCCAGTAAATTAGCATAGACCCTGGTAGTTGTTGGGGTTGGAAGATGAGTGAAACCACTAAAAAATTGTGATTTTCCCATTAAAAATTGCCATTTATAGTGGATTTAACGACTAAAAAATGGTGATTTCCAGGGTCTATCTTAATTTACCAGAGGGTACAATTGGATAGAAAAATATGAATATACATGGGTTAAGAGATGTTAAGAGGAAGAAAGATGTGTAAATACGTTACGAGGCTAGACCCAAATTTGGTCAAGCAGAGACTTGCCAGGGAGGGTGCAGGGGATGCTCAAACTCGGGGACTCCCAGAACTCTCAAGCCCAGGCAGAAAGTGGCCAAGGTGCTACCTGCAGATGGCTGGGGGTGCACATTTTGTTTTTTGGATCACATTCCTGATACATAAAACTATGGTCTTCTGGCAGTACCCCTACCCAATCTGGAGATTTCCTACAAGAATTTGCAAGGCATGTTGATGACCTGTCCAAGGATAAATTTGCAACAGGACTTTTCAAATCCTTATCCCAAATCGACTAATAAACGGTTCAAAGAAAGTCACACCAGTACAACATATCACAACAATACTTCAGTAGCAGAATCCTAAGAAATCACTGCTGTGTCAGATCCGTGACAGTTCCATCCCTGCAAGGAGAAGGCCCCTACGGATCTGCGGGAGCCAACGCCGTCCCTGTGGCGACCTGAAATCCGTATCAACTGGGGTCCTTAGAGAGAATCGCAAAGGGGTTTGTCCCAAAAGAAGTGAATTGAGCCACTATTTGTTCAAGCATGATGTTGCTGAGAAGAACTTCAGCATCATTCGAACATCTATTGATAATCATGATCCAAGATGATGTCCAATATGTATTGATACCCTCTGGTAAACTAGCATAGCTATGGAAAATCACCATTTTTCATGGGAAAACCCCCTATTTCTATGGTCATTTTCAATAGCTATATGTTAAATTACCAGAGGGTAATCTATGCATGGGTTTCACATCATATCCAACATATCTATTGCTTTTCAGAGCGGGTTGATGTGAAACCACCAACCGGTCGCCGGTGGATTAGTCTAACCATGAGCCAATGTTGTGGATTTGGTCGGAAATCGCCGGATATATGTGTTTATGATTTAGTATATATATATATATAGATATATTATATACACACATATATCATATATATATATAGATATATTATATATACTAATGAGTATCGCAAAGGTGATGCACAAACACTACCTTTTTATCAAGATGGATCTGAAAGGAGCTTTCGATAACCTCAAACATGCCAGTGTTGCTCAATTTTTGGCTTCCTTACCACCATCGGCGGCGTGGGAAGCAAAACGGCTACTGCAACTTCTGCTCAGTCAAACTCTCGACTTCCAGTTCTTGCAAGAAGAATGGCAGCTCCGCAGCACCGCTGGAACACCTCAAGGTGGATCACACTCTGCTGGTCTCTTTGCTCGTACGTTGGACTACTTCTTGGCAAATCTGGTGACAAAATGGGAGCGTTTGGGATACCGGGCTCCTTTTGACCCCTTGTGGCTTCTGCTGTATGTGGACGACATCATGCTCTGCTTTAAGAATTGGAGACAAGCCTGCGCCCTGATGCCCTCCTTCTTGGACATGCTGAACTCCATTGGCATGAAGGTCAACTTTAGCAAGAGCTGTGTCATTGTCGATGCAGTGCTGCTACGTGCTGCCGCCACAGAATGCACAAGCCCACTTCTCCGCGAGTTTCAATGGAGCGAGACAACGTCCTACCTCAACCGCCCTTTTGGCTACCAGGTGTCAGTGGAAACGCTATGCCAACAAGTAGCTCAGAAAGTCCATGCTGCATGGGGTAGCCTCAGAGGCATTTTGGGGAGACGCTGGTGGACAAACCCGTCCCAAACAGATACTCTTCTGACAAAACATGTTGGTTCTGTATTTCTGTGGCTATCTCCCGTCCTTTACCCATACAGTGCAGTACTCAACAGCATTCAAACACTCCAAACCACGGTCTTTGCAGATGCGCTGGGGCTCTTCATTCCTGATCTCAGCTATGATACAGCGGTGCAACTTGTTCGCCTCAGGCGCCATGTGGTCAAAAGATGGTTGCTTCATGTCGCTCCCGCAGGCAATTGGTGTGCCAAGCTCCTTAGGCGCTTGTGGACCTTTACGGGGCATATCTGTCGTCAAACATCTCATCCGTCGCAGCCGGCGCGAGTGATGATGGGCCTTTTCGCCTCAACTCATGCGCATGGGTTAGCCAGACCTGGCCCATGGAAGACACTGCATGCATTGTTCCACAAGTTCTGGACATCACAGGAGCTGGAAGGTGACTTTCTCAACACTGCTTTGGATCGTGAATCTTGGAAAACCCTTGAGCCAGCCTTCGTTCAATGGTTTCAACCTTCCACTCGCTGCAACGTGGAGTTTTTGCAATGCAGTCCGTGGGAATCGCCGGACATGCTTCTACGAGCACACGTCCCATGGGTACACACAATTGTTGTTCAACTGCCCAACGTTGCAGACAACAGATGGCGGCTTGCAGTCACCTGGCTCGACGAAATGGATGGGATGTGCTCCTGGAGCCACTTTTCTGACCAGAACTCCAAACTCACCACCTTCACTTCGGGAATGGCATGCTGCCTTCGATATTTGGCAATGATATACCAACCCTTTGTCATACAGATCGCTTTCGCAACCGCATCTGACTGGGCACTCGTCTTTGCCAACAGTGAAGCCGTCAATAGTGTCTTTAAGCATTGCCCTTGTGGTTCGTGGGTGCAGCTTTTCCCTCTTTCTAAGAAAGAACTGCGACACCGAACCATTTCCCATAGTTTGACCATTCTTGCTCCTTAAGGGAGTCCCTTGGTCACGCCACGCCATTATTCTTCACTTATGCTGTAGGGCAAACCATTGGATGCCCAGGCAAAAAAATATATATATATATATTATGAATATAGAATCCCTTCAAGTACTTTGGGTCTGGAATGGGTAGACCTCCAGGACCCCTGTAGCTAGGGTATTTTTCACTTTCAGGCCCAAGAATAGACGTGTCGCCCCTGTTAACACGGTTTATGTTCTGGAGTTTTGTGATTTATGTTCACCAGGAAACCTCCAGGGTCTGTGACGTCCGGGCATTTTAGACCCTTGGTGAGTTTGTGCAAAAATGGGTTGTTCTTAGCTGCAAGTCGCAAAGCATAATTTCTGTGAAAATGGGTTCCCGAAATGAAAGCCTAAACTGTATAAAAATGGATCCTTGCTGCTTCCGTTGATTGAAAGGTTTTGCAGGTGTGGCAGGGTAGACCCTAGATATGATATGTAACATGACCCCATTCAAGACCCCATGCTCGACCTTCATGATATGGCAGCCATAAATTTAGTTAATTTGAGCGCAGGGTAGCCTTTGCCGTCCACAAACCACAAATACCAGAAGGTTTATAGTAAAACAAGAAGATCATATGAAACCCTCAGGCCCTCAGGTAACTTCTAAAAAGACTTGGGTTTTAGGGTGTGAAATATAAAATCCACGGTCCCTGCCAAGTGGCTGAGAGTATAATATAGATACATGATGCATATGTATATATTTAGTTATATATCTATGTGTTCATAGATGCATAGACTGTTATTGGTCGAACACCGCTTGGCAGGACGTCCGAGAGATCAAGAAAGAGATCAAGGCAGGGAGAGCCGTGAAAGGTTACCACTATTTGAGCAGGATTTGTTGTGTGTTCATTGTTCTTTTTTGGCGGGGTGACATGCTATTTGTGTGTGTGCGCACTCGTAGCATGTACGCATACCATCTAGAATCTATAATGTATCTATATTGCTTATATATGTGTATTGAACTGATGTCATTTGCTATATCAGAATGCAGGTGGACATGGCATGAAATGATGGTTTGGGATGGATTTCTGCCGGTCTACGGCCCACAGCATTGGCCCAAATGTCCACAGCGCATGAGGAGATCACTTCGGAGATCGCGGATGGGTGGGAACCCGGGGGATGTGGCGGGTTGGGTGGGGTGGTCATATTCCAATGGTCCACCCAACCCGTGGCTTCTGAATTGGTGGATTTTTTTGGGGGTTGGGGGAGGTAGGTGGTTGGGCTAATGTGGCAAGTCCCATGCTGTAAAGTGATGAGTACGTTTCCTAGCAGGCTCCTGTGTCACCCGTTCATCGGTACAAGTACCAACAAGTTGTCAACGCAATGAACATTTACAGTAGTCACCTGCCAGTTTTTGGAAGTTCCAGGCAAGGTCCATCCGTTTTCCATGTTGACCATCA